TGTGGCAGGTGGATTTCTGCCTGACACTCGGGGCATCTAAATTTTCCATGTCTTTGGCTCACTCTTGCGTGTTTTTCCAAACACTCACAGCAAAACGTGTGAAAACACGATATAATTTTCGGTTCTTTGAAGGTCTCGAGACAAATCGAGCAAGTAATTTGTCTGGTGAGATTTCTCAAGAACGACTCCATTGTCAGCGTTCAACAAGATCACTTGTAAACACAGCTTGAAAAAGCTATTGTTTGAAATTCCGAGAAAAACAGGATGTAGTTGAGTGACCATATGAACTGAAGCTAAATATAATTAGAAACTGGGCTATCATCACGCAGTCACGCTTTTGTTGTAGAAGATCATGGCCGATAAGGTTTCTTTTTATACGGTTAAGAATATAAGAAAGTCATATATTTGAACTGCGGATAAAGACGTGAATGAAAGTGATCCTCGCAGTAATGTGCACTACTTGGGCAGTAGAAAAAAAATTCAGGCCTGTACGGGATTTAAACCCATGACCTCTGCGATACCGGTGCAGCGCTCTACCAACTGAGCTAACAAGCCAACTGTTGGTAAATGTTTTCACACATTACTGACTTCGAATTCTCGCTTACATTTTTAAGTCGTAAATTGACGTGTGGAGTTAAACTGATCTGTTCCTCACTAATTATTTGACCTTTAAGAGTGACTAACATCTAATTTCTCCTCATAATATCACCACTGATTTAAACATTACGGACACGAGAATACAAGAAATGGTTACCAACTATGGAAACGTTTGATTATTAAACATATTCTCCTTGTCAGCACGTTAGGAAATGTATAAAGAACAGTAAGGAGAAAATGCACACTGGTGTTAGGATGGAAAGGGTTAATGTTTAGACAGGGTAATTTAGTGTCATCAAATGAGTTGATAACGTAAATTGGCCACCGTAAAGAGTTACAAAGCTGATGTTTCGAACTTTAGCCCTTCGTCAGAGGAGCAAACAGTATTTGTTTAAATCTACCAGTGGTTTATCATAAATCCTGCAATATGGTTGCGGTTGTAAGATACAAGAGTCTTTTGTCACTTTACTCACCGTCTATCAAGGATTAGATAACGAGTAGCGTAGCCGATCAGATTGCAAAATTTGGGGTAGTGCGGTGGTTGATGAAACGTGATAGAAACCCAAAGTGACTCGTGAAATTGTTAAACAGTACTCATAACTGCACTTACCGTTGAGAACGTTGGAAATGGTCATTCACTCTCAAGAGTTAGAGCATGGCTATTAAGAAACGCACGATATTGATACCTCTTGCTAGCGAGTTCGAGGTCCGTACTGTATTTTATGGACCAAGTTATTTTCCGGCCGCTCGGATTTATGGCCCTGGTGTGAAGTGCGCAGGCCATAAATTGGGGCTGGAGAAGACGAGGTTAGTAAAATGTTTATCATACCTTTGGGTTCAAAGAGAGGGGAAGATTTGAATTCTGTAATTTGATTACATTGATCCTTCCGATCCATAAATCCTTTCCAATTAGTTGAGTGGAAGGCCACATCAGTCACAGTAGCCGAGTTTTACGGCGCTCTCACCCCGAGAAATCTTAATGTTGTCGTTCATTCATAAAACACATGCCGTGAGCAATTTCTTTTATCATCATCATGCTAAAAGACCTGCGTGTTTATATGAACCACAATTCAGCCGGATTTCATGGAACGTTTCACTTTCAGATTCTTTATTAAGAAAAAAAAAACACTTCAAGCAGAAGTCATAGTGTTGAATCCAACCTGCCGTACTATTTCAGTTTATGAACTATTGCAGATTGTGATAGTTTTGACAGTTTAGAAAGCTTTCAATTGAGAGAATAATCTGTTTGGTTGAATAAGACCAGTGGTCTTATACAATCAATCAGATTATTCACTCAATTGCTCCCCTACGTCTCGTGTTTCCCCCTACACTTCTTATGTGCTCTATCCGCTTCCTATTTGTTTTACTACAAAACAAAGCACAGTCAAGGCTTCTTTGTTTGTTGAATATGTTTTAATCCATTAGCATTTATTTTCACTGATGACCATCTGCCAAATAAAGGCAGATTTTGATGTCTCAAAAACATCCTCTTTCCATTTCCTCTTTTTTTCAATGCAACAATGGGAAGAACAATTAAGAACAGTCTTACAGGCGTCTTGAAGTAATGAGATAACTAGAACTATCAAAAAGTTATTCTTCAACCTCGCAAAGTCAAAAAGGGTTTGGTTTTTGTTGGTTTCTTTTTCCGGGAGCGAGGCCTAACAAGAGCTGGATGTCACATAGTACTCGTCTGTTTCATTTTTCAATTTTTCTCAGACATTTACCATTTTTATCGAATATATAAACACAGTTTTTACCATTGTCAGAACTCGTCTGTTTCAGCACCTGTTTCAGCACCCACGTATCGCCCTTTCTAATAGCTGCTAGGTTATCGAAAGAAAATAATGTATTTAACGCAACGTACTAAATGCAAAATATTCTTTGACAATCAGAATCCTTTTAACATTTACACGTGCTACATTATTACGAATATGCATAAACGCCACCAGCAAACCAAATTTAAAATCTCAAAGCTAATTAGTTCAGTTGTATTTGACAAAGCTTCTTCGAGAAGAAGAATAAACTTACAAATTTCAGTCTCCGATTATTGCACATTAGGAAAGAAACAATTCTGGCCATTAGAAGAAGAATACAAACTGCGAAGTAAATAAGTGTCTATTGAAACAGCTACTTTAATATGAAAATCTTGACAATGCCCAAAGCGAGTTGGGCATTGTCTCTTAACTCAGAAGCTGTGTGGTTAAACTGTCGAATCGTTTCCTTAAAATCGTCTTCCCTTGTTCTGCTCATTAAAGCATCCGCCATGATATTTCCTTTCTCGTTGTCAGCCGCTTCGTCGAGCAATTTAACTTTGTGACTTTGATGATCCGTGACGATGCAAAGATGGCAAACACAACACTGACACTGGAGGCAGTAAAATATCGTGATTTCTCGCTCGTGGTACTTCTTGGTGCAAAAGGGCTGTCGCTTTAACAAAGCCTCGTAATCTTGATCTTGGAAGTCTTTAACAGGCATCACTTTGTGTCCTTCGAATGCGTCGCGCATAATTTCATGTGCGTTCAGACATGGAGAGCACACAAATCGAGCACAATCAAAGCAGTAATGGACATTGGGGCTGGTCTTGTTACAGTTGCCACAACTGACGTTTGTTCCATCGCCACTTTGTCGAACGGCAAGGATATTCAACAAACTGTTGTGAAAAAAACTGGTTGGCAACGCTTCGAAGCGATTTCCTTCTGGCAGGTGGATTTCTGCCTGACACTCGGGGCACCGAAACTTTCCATGTCTTTGGCTCACTCTTGCGTGTTTTTCCAAACACTCAGCAAAACGTGTGAAAACACGATATAATTTTCGGCTCTTTGAAGGTCTCGAGACAAATTGAGCAAGTGATTTGTTTGGTGAGGTTTCTCAAGAACGACTCAATTGTCAGCGTTCGACAAGATCGCTTGTAAACACACCCTGAAAAAGCTATTGGTTGAAATTCCGAGAAAACAGCCTACGTGTAGCCGTACCCGCCCCCGTAAGGTGAAACGGAAGCGAGGGACCTGACACTAATCGTATTCCGGGAGTCACTCTAATTTATGCAAAATAATGTCGATTGTTAATATCTTTTTTGCGAAGTGCCTCTTGTTAGTGTGAAGGTTATCAAGATAAACAACAACATTAAGGTGAATTCGTTTTCCATTTTTCGATTAAATTTGCAATTTAGCGTCCGAGTTCAAACATGTACTTTGTTTTAAGGACATAGGAAAAGATTATGAGCGATTTTGGCATAAAAATTAGAAGAGGACGATGTTCGATTGGCATCGCGCTTACAAAACTAGACTTTAACGTCCACGCGGTTTCTGCTTGCATTTATAAACAGTGCCACAGTCGTCGAAAAAAGTGGGACCATTAGATCATGGTTTTTACAGATTTCTTTGAGCCGATAGTTATGCTACTAGCGTGAAGAAAGAGCAACTCTTTTCTCGGTAGAAAGAATCGCTGCGAGAAACAACTAGCAACTAGCAACCGTTCGCAAAGAGAGCGTAAGTTGAAGGCGGACAACAGCTGACAATCCTCTTGACCTAAGCACATTAAGATAGTGCACCTGGTCTTCTGTTAGAGCTTTAACGGGCGGCACAATAAATATAGTGACCGGTTTCTTCAGGAGAAGAGAGGTGATCGATCACTGGCTCTGCTTGATATAATAGAGATTTTCCATAGCAAGTTGGTAACGAAACGGAGACATCGTTACCCTCGAAAAAACATATATGTGGCTTTCTGCTGTTCCTCTTGAAATGTCTCTTTACCAATCTATCCTGATGTTTTCAGATCGCTGTTGTCTTAAAAGATGACCATGAAAACATTTTGTTCACCATCTTGTTCGTTAGTGTGAAAACAAATTACCAACTCTCGCCAATAAGAATTGACGAAAGAATCGGCAAAAGGGGTTAACCGATAAAAAGTCATTATACGTTTTTTTGCAAAAGAGTGACGTCACGGAACACGATTAGTGTCAGGTTGCGTAGACGTTCCCTCGCTTCTGTTTCACCTTTTTTTTGCGGGGGGAGAGGAAGGAAGAGGGTGCTAAGAAAAACTGGATGTACGTGAGTGACATGAACTGAAGCTAATCATATTTAGAAACTGGGCTATCATTACGCAGTCACGCTTTTGTTGTAGAAGATCATGGCCGGTTGGGTTTCTGTTTTGTTTTGTTGATTGTTTGCATTTTTTCACCCATTCTGACTTCGAATTCTGGCTTACGTTTTTAAGTCGTAAATTGACGCGTGGAGTTAAACTGAATTAATCCTCATTTATCCATTGACCCCCAAGAGTGACTAGCATCTGATATCTCCTTACAATATTACTCCTGATTTAAACATAAAGGTCAAGAGAATACAAGAAATGATTACCACCTAGGGAAGCGTTTGATTGTTAAACATATTCTCCTTGTCAGAAGTGAAGGAATAACCATTCGCAGATACACCACTTTGAATTAAATCCAATACCTCGTGAAAGATTTTGCGTTTCATGGGAGGAAGAGTTGACTGGTCCATCCCTCTTATTGCATTCGCTGCATTTGCCAATCGTAAGTTCACAGGAGCTGCAACTTGAGTTCGTGCACTTTTTGATTTTTCCGTATTTTCATTGCAGTCATCAACAAAAATTTTGGCCGCTGTGTAGCCATTTCCAACGAGGTTATGGTTAATAAGTGTTGCCTCCAATTGACTCACGCTCAGAATGTTCACGAGAGAGTCAGGAGTATTTTTGCCGATGTAAGCAAATGAGAACCCATTCTGGGGATTGGTTGTACTTGAAGCATCACAGCAAATCGCTGTCCAGAGGTAACTAGGGACGGTGACTCGATTGAAATCTCTGTGAGTCACGTCTCCTTCCAGGTCATGTTCTCTGTTTGGAATTCGTACTCCCTGCGGAACGATTCCCGTCACAAAATAACGTCTGGCGCCGGAAAAAGAGCAACCATTCCTCATTGTCTTCAAAGCGACTTCTTCCATTTCCTTCCACGACTGTTGGTTAAAGCAGGGATCTTGAGGAACGGCGTTTGTCAAGGTAAAAGTTGCTGTTCTTCCTTCTCCGCATTGGTAAAAGTTTGGATTGAGGTGACCCCTGTCGTAACCTGTGTTACGATAGTCTACGTTTATCGCCTGTACTGTCTTGTAGCGTTCAGTTTGCTGGGAAGCTGTCTCCATATTTGTCTTAGGGCTGGTGTCAGCGGCTACCAGGAGCTGTGAGGAGAAAAACAAAAAGTCTGATTATAGCTAAAATCATAAAATCTTTTTGAGTAAAATCTTGGTCAAGTTGATGTCATTGAATTGGATGAACATTGGTTTATTGTCTGTTGGTGGAACCACCGAACAAGAACAGGAACACTTTTTCTCAGTGGAACATGATCTTCTGTCGATTGGTGAACAAGTAATATGAATGTACTGTTGTCGGCTTTACCTTAGAGAATTAAAAATTTTCATATTTTTCTGGATTTTAATTCCGTTGGTTCTTCAAACTGATATTTAAATTAAGTTTCCAATCGGCAACTTGCTTCGATTCATAATTTACGAGGTTGAATGAGTTACCTACCTGAGGCTCGACAAACCATGTGGACCTTCTCTGTGGTTCGGGAGTACCCAAGCAAGGATCAGGCAGGGTATAAGCTGAATACACAGGAATCTTTAAGCTGGTGCTGTACAGTGTGGCATAGTGGTAGACATTGTTATACCGTTGGCAGATGCTTCTGGGTGATTCAACGACATTCCCAGCAAGCCTTGGCGGGGTACTTTTGTAAAAGTATTGCAAGCAGTTTCTGAAATCTGAGTTGACTTCACTTCTCACACCGAATGCATTTAACCACAAAATCAAGAATAGCTGGTTCAAAGTGGGTTTCATGACTCCTTAAATATCTATTGCAGAGTGGTGCTCTCTTCACCCAGTTTCCTTCTTGAGCTTCTGACGCAGGTCCTGGCAAATTATCACTATTCAAATAAATTCGAAGCTATTCAGCCGTTAGATAATATTGATTAGGTAATGAAATTTGCTGAGAGATTACCTCAAACATTATCATGGCAACCTTTGCGTGGTGATGAGGAAAGCTTTTGCTCTTTGGCCTCCTTTTGCGTTACCCGCTAAGGCCATAGCAGCTTCAATTAATCGACATGGGTGATTCTAAAATTGGTTTTATGCGATACTTCCTCTTACATTGGCCAGTCGCCACAACTAATTAATGTTTTACACGAACTTTGCGTAATTCTTGTCGAACATTCAAGACCTAATGCGTGTGTAAAGTTCAAGGAGGTTAGGAATTAATGTCTTTGTACCAGCTCATTTCTTTTTGGGCTGCCTCTGTAAATAACAGGTATCTACTATGAGACAGACGCTTTTTGACTAAAAAGACTGGCTATTGCTTTCTTTATTGCTTGTCGCGGTCGAGACTCACCAGTTTTCCAAAATTACGGGTTTGAAAGGAGCGACTAACGAACTCATAGCAAATTTCTTTGCCTTTAAGAAGCCAACAGAAAGTAATCCAATATTGATTAGGTAATGAAATTTTCTAAGAGAGTACCTCAAACATCATCATGGTAACCCTTGCGTGGTGATGAGGAAAGAAAAGATCTTTACCATTTCTAATGCCCTGAAGACTCCTTTTGCTCTTTGGCCTCCTTTTGAGTTACCCGCTAAGGCCTTAGCAACTTGAATGAATGGACATAGGTGATTCTAAACTTAGTTTTATGCTATGCTTTCTTTTACATTGGCCAGTCGCCACAACTAATTAAAGTTTTACAGGAACTTTGCGTAATTCTTGTCGAACATTCAAGACCTCATGCGTGTGTAAAGTTCAAGGAGGTTAGGAATTAATGTCTTTGTACCAGCTCATTTCTGTTTGGGCTGCTTCTGTAAATAACAGGTATCTACTATGAGACAGACGCTTTTTAACTAAAAAGACTGACTATTGCTTTTTTTATTGCCTGTGGCGGGCGTAATTCACCAGTTTTCCAAAATTATGGGTTTGAAAGGAGCAACTAACGAACTCATAGCAAAGTTTTTTGTCTTTAAGAAGCCAACAGAAAGTAATCCAATATTGATTAGGTAATGAAATTTGCTAAGAGAGTACCTCAAACATCATCATGGTAACCCTTGCGTGGTGATGAGGAAAGAAAAGATCTTTACCATTTCCAATGCCCTGAAGACTCCTTTTGCTCTTTGGCCTCCTTTTGAGTTACCCGTTAAGGCCATAGCAGCTTGAATGAATCGACATAGCTGATTCTAAACTTAGTTTTATGCGATGCTTTCTTTTACATTGGCCAGTCGCCACAACTGATTAATGCTTTACGGGAACTTTGCGTAATTCTTGTCGAACATTCAAGACCTCATGCGTGTGTAAAGTTCAAGGAGGTTAGGAATTAATGTCTTTGTACCAGCTCATTTCTGTCTGGGCTGCCATTGTAAATAACAGGTATCTACAATGAGACAGACGCTTTTTGACTAAAAAGACTGGCTATTGCTTTTTTTATTGCTTGTCGCGGTCGAGACTCACCCGTTTTCCAAAATTACGGGTTTGAAAGGAGCGACTAACGAACTCTAGCAAATTTCTTTGCCTTTAAGAAGTCAACAGAAAGTAATCCAATATTGATTAGGTAATAAAATTTGCTAAGAGAGTACCTCAAACATCATCATGGTAACCCTTGCGTGGTGATGAGGAAAGAAAAGATCTTTACCATTTCCAATGCCCTGAAGACTCCTTTTGCTCTTTGGCCTCCTTTTGAGTTACCCGCTAAGGCCATAGCAGCTTGAATGAATGGACATAGCTGATTCTAAACTTAGTTTTATGCGATGCTTTCTTTTACATTGGCCAGTCGCCACAACTAATTAAAGTTTTACAGGAACTTTGCGTAATTCTTGTCGAACATTCAAGACCTAATGCGTGAGTGAAGTTCAAGGAGGTAAGGAATTAATGTCTTTGTACCAGCTCATTTCTGTTTGGGCTGCTTCTGTAAATAACAGGTATCTACTATGAGACAGACGCTTTTTAACTAAAAAGACTAGCTATTGCTTTTTTTATTGCCTGTGGCGGGCGTAATTCACCAGTTTTCCAAAATTACGGGTTTGAAAGGAGCGACTAACGAACTCATAGCAAAGTTTTTTGCCTTTAAGAAGCCAACAGAAAGTAATCCAATATTGATTAGGTAATGAAATTTGCAAAGAAAGTACCTCAAACATCATCATGGTAACCCTTGCGTGGTGACGAGGAAAGAAAAGATCTTTACCATTTCTAATGCCCCGAAGACTCCTTTTGCTCTTTGGCCTCCTTTTGAGTTACCCGCTAAGGCCATAGCAGCTTGAATGAATCGACATAGCTGATTCTAAACTTAGTTTTATGCGATGCTTTCTTTTACATTGGCCAGTCACCACAACTAATTAATGTTTTACACGAACTTTGCGTAATTCTTGTCGAACATTTAAGGCCTCATGCGTGTGTGAAGTTCAAGTAGGTTAGGAATTAATGTCTTTGTACCAGTTCATTTCTGTTTGGGTTGCCACTGTAAATAACAGGTATCTAATATGAGATAGATTCTTTTTGACTAAAAGGACTGGCTATTGCTTTTTTATTGCTTGTCGCGGTCGAGACTCACCAGTTTTCCAAAATTACGGGTTTGAAAGAGCGACTAACGAACTCATAAAAAGGTTTTTTTGCCTTTAAGAAGCCAACAGAAAGTAATGCAATATTGATTAGGTAATGACAGTTTCGCTTACTAATTGCCCACATTTTTCATAAAATTGTAGGCGTTTCAATTGCGCTCAAAAGATTTGAGAGGCAAAACAATGGTCGCACCTTCAAGCATGAGTTGTCATCAAAATGTTTCACATTCACTCAAGAGGGACAATTCCAGGTAATCGTGGCCAGAGTGGCTTTGAAATTTCGAGTTTTTCAACTCACTCCTTCATTAGGAAAGTTTGCCTGTGACTTATATTTGACGAACTGTTCAGTATGAATTCTAATTTATGTCTTTCCACTCAATAGGCCATTTTCGACATATTAAAATTCAAACTTGGCTGCGAGGCTTGGGAGAATAACACACAGGAAATCACATCGTGGTTGAGGGATTAATAGTTAATATCCTTTTTTTTTTATTCCCCCATAGCCATGTTAGAATTTTAATATATCAAAAGTGACCTCTTGTATCAAACGCCAAGAATTGAATTAACTTAATTTACTCCTAAACAACTCGACCGATGTGTACCCTATCTCGTGAACGTGTCTGCCGTATTTCAAGAAAAATTGTAGCATCTTTTTTTTAAAACCTGGGCGAGAAAACTATAATAAAAATTCCTAAAAAAAATTCGACCGGCACACTTTACCCATTCCACGTGCATGATGCAAACTTGTAAATTTCCTTCAATGTATGCAAAATTCTAATAATTACTGAATCAGTTTAGCATGGTCTGGCTGCCTTGTATGACCCGCGATAAAATGCGTGAAAACTTGTGAGAGAATTCGTAAAGAAAGGGTTATACAGCGGCAAGAGAGGGCAAATCTCAGCCTCCCGTGAAAGGCTGCTGATGGAGGTGAGTTTATTAGTTTTAACTAAACCAACCGCACACACGAGTTAACTCTATGTGCAATATTTGGTTTGGTTTTCCAAAATCCAAGTTAACCACAAGCTTGCTTTACTATGTTATGGCGGTAACACTAATCGACGGCGAATTTGAGCAACGACGAAGTCGAGTCGTAATAAATTATAGTCAAAGTTTGTGATCTACAAGTTGTGAAGTGCTTCTCACAATAAGCTTATTAGCATTTGCTCAGCAAAACAGCCATCTTCTCAGCCGTTCTGATTTGGAACAGCCCCGTAATTACTCAATTCATGATCTTTGTGTGATCAGATACGAACGTATGTTCAATAGCCTTGCATATTTTAATTTGTAATGATCAACTGTTAGAGTGAACGAAGTTTTGATTAAGCCTTCAACTCCCAGAAGTGATCAAGATATAATTTTCCCTATACTATCCATAAATTTTCTAGCAAACAGGTAATGAGAATACTCATACTCATCAAGTAAAAGTTGTTAACTTGATCTAGCACCAAATTCTCGTAGCAGTTCTCTTGTGGCAGCTAGTTTAGAGGGGAGAATTAACAATCAGATCTTGGGAGTTAAAGGATTAAGAGTGGAAATGAATTAATTCCAGATGATATAAAATGGGGGTTTGTAATCTTTTCGTAAACGAAATAATTCACTTCGAAAAAAACACAACCACATCAGGTTTTATTTCACATGGTTTGATGTTTATTTAGTTTTAACTCTGTGATACTTTTTCAAATTGATAATAATTCTCACTCAATGTCAATGTGGTGATGCTGTGAAACTCACTGCGTCGTTTTGCCTTCTTTCCTTAAAAAAACCATAACAAGCAGGTTTTTGAGGTAATTCTGTGATGGGACCTAAAGAGTCAGCTATCAATTCATTTTCTTTCGCTATCTGTAGATGGTAACTACAAATCAGTCAAATTTTTGTAAGTCACGCCATTAGGGTGGTCACGCAACAACTCATCCCGTGACGACCTAATTGAAGCTTGCGTGCCTCCTTTACATAGCATGACGTCATGACTACCATGTTGGGTGACTTCCACTATGGTTGCCACGTGATTTTCACTAGAATTCTGGACACTAGTGCCAAAAATCGAAAAAAGAAAAAAAAAACAATACTTCTTTTCAAAGTAGCATTGACGATAGTGGAATGAAATTGTAGATAATCAAAATTATCTACAATTTCATTTCGCTATCATTATACAAATTATCATTGACTTTCTATACAACGCACCCGATTTAAATGTGGCAGATGACACCCCATCGCATTCAAAAAAGGCAGGAGTAATGAAGAAATAAAATCATACACATCATCCTCCACAACTTTCTCAACTGAGAAATTCCCTTCGAGCCCGCAAATTTTGTATTCCTTGATTTGAAATGTTTACTGGTGTCGGCACCAGACTTTCTCGAACTGCAGAACGTGCACTTGAGAGCGGGGTCCTGGGGCTCAACATGGTGGCGTGATGCGATGTATGAGGCCTCTGTTTTGTTGACTCAGACCTATAATGATCAGTTAGAATTTTTGATTTTGTTGGTTTTCTTTCCTTATTTACCACCGCTGACAGTTTTTCTGCTAAGGCAACTTCTTCTCTAGTTTCCGGTACACTCATTCGTCGCTTAAGGCGCGTGCTCCGTTCTGTACTTGGAACATCCGGGATTTCGTTTCTTAGTGCTGTTAAACTGACGTCACATCTTGTGCGAGCTAAGATAACGGCCTAGTAACGAAAAAATGAAAACCGGATCAGTAATTTGCAAGAGGAGCAGAAGAAAGATAAATATTTAAGATTTCTGTTGGATAATTGAAACACGAAGATTGTGCGCTTAGTTTTTAAGTTGCTTGTCTATTTATAGCTATGATTAAAGAGTAATTTCAATTTCTATCGATCATCTTTACCTGTAAGGTACTCTTGGCTGTGCGAATTGAGCTTTCCTGTGAAACCAAAACGAAACATCTGTCAACTGATTATGTTCTCACTGCAATGATCATGTAGAGCTCTCAAAATTCACTGTGATAATACTCATACTTGTTCTGCATCTTGTTCAGTCTGCAGTTTAAACATCTGTTCGCATTTCTTGATGTAATGTCGCCTAAAAAAAAAAGCAAAATGTAAACAATTACGCATCCAAAATTTTGATGCTAACAAAGAAAAAATGTAGAAAATAAAATTATAACCCTCATTTTGTGTATGAACCTCATCCGGTCACGTCTGTCATATTCAGAGAGAATTATTGTTTTGTTGTACATCTTCTTGTATTCCATTTTAACAACTGCAATATAACTAGCTACGCTACTTGCTATCTATTTCGAGTTGGTGCAAATCTACCAACGTTCTACCACAAGTGCAGCAATCTGATTGGCAACGTTGCTCGCTTCTATCCCGAGATAGATAGCGCGTAGGAAAGAGAACGGCCTTACATTGGGTGTTTATCATCCAAAACAAATAAAAAAGACATGTGCCATTTCGTTTTAGTGTTTTGAACGGCAATTTCATTTATACAATAATTGATTAATCGTTCTCGATTTCATGCATGATGGTTTAATCGGGCATCAACCATCATGTAATAGAAAACTGGAGTTCATAATCTCATTTCCATTTGAAAAAAAAAAAAGTTTGTACTATACATGTAGGTCACCCAATGCAAACCCTCACATGCTATTGAAAACGTCCGGTTCAGAGAGACTTGCAAATAACAATATTGCATAACTAAGCCCTCTTTTAGGCGAATACACCGCTGACTTACACCCATTGTAGGCCTAATAAGGAAGTGACCCCCGCTCTCTCCCTCTGAACGTGCATGTTACCTTAGCATAAGCCGAGTGCCTATCATATCATGTGATTGAATTGATTCTTTGAAGTTGATAGTCTATTGACCACTGAATGTAAAATGATCAATCTAAGTCTTCGAGTTTTAGAGGAAAATATTGCAAAGAGGCCATTTATAAAGTATAGCGAACCTTAGACTTACCTTAAGTCTGTATTGTCTGACATGAGCCCCTGCATTCTCATTGAATATCTATTGTCAACTTCTTCCACCTAGAGGACAAAGACTCCACCTCATTTGACGATCAAAAATTTGATGCTTTCGTCTAAAAATCCCACATTGCAATTAAAATAGAATAGCAATCTAGGACAGATTTGTCACCTGAAAACAAATATGTTCGGAACGGTGGAGGAAGAATAGTCAACGACTTACTTTCTCAGCAAAGTGTTCCTCAAAAGCGACTAATTTGACTTTCTGTGGAAAGAAGCACAATCACAACACCAGTGAACTTGCGTTATTGAGTATGAGTGAGGTGACAACATGACTTAAAATTACCGCGTTTTTTTTTTTTCACGTTGCTATGGACTTTGCCTCGTTAGTGCACGTGGCTGTCATTTGGGCTCGTCACGCAGGGCTTGATGCTCGCATGCTTGGCTTGATTGCTACAGCTACACTTAAAAGAGTAAAATTATTTGAGAAGTATAAGGAGTACCTTGTCTTCAAGTTCCATCTGAGTCTTACGAAGAATTTCTGTTTTAGTTTTCACTTTCTCTTCAAGCTCTTGTTTTTGTTGTTTAAGGGTCTGAGAGGAAAGAAACATGTTAACATTCAATGCGATGCGAGCATGAAAGAATCATTACATTGATAGGGAAAACTTTCATCACGACAGCACGATTCATTTAAACACAAACATATATATAGCTGCAAGAAGCTAATCCCTGTTTACAGCGTCCTTTTTAGTAATAAATACGTTGTAGATATTCTTTCACCTTCATCTCCAGAAGAGCTGACTTGAGCTGTTCAGAATCCTGCACACACTCTGCAAACTTCTCCATCAAGTGCTTTAATGCAAAAAAGATTATTATTAGCAACAGACCCATACGCGTAAGTTTTCTAACATAGTCACAGGAAAAACTGATACAATTACAGATTAATTTGTTCCTATACTCACATCAACCTCTTTCTTGTGATCTTCAACCAAAATCTGTATTTGTCTCTGAAACTCCTTATTCATCCCTTCAATTTCTTTGTTTTTCTCATGAAGCATTTCTCTTCCTGTCATAATTAACATAATAAATAGCTGTGGTTCAGTACAACCCAAGTCTACCTTTTAGCCGGAGCTCTCTAACAAACTTACAACCATATAATATCATCTCTTAAGTCCCATCGCAAATGTTCTAATCTGACTGACTACTCGTTGTCTTTTTCGTGATTTACAATATGTTGATGAGTTGAACAAAAAAAAGACAAAAATGCGAGCCTTTCTTGAACAACTGGTAGAATCACACAAAAATTATTCGATTATTCCCTCTCCATTTCCATTTTGATTAGCGCTCCACCCTCATCAACTTTTAAGCAGTAGAAATCATAGAGAGCACATCACCTCACCGTTAACTATACCACAAACACAGGCAAATATTACTCACTCTGCTTGGCCAATTCATCTTCTAGATGCCTTTCATGCTCATGACGCAGCTCTTTCTGTAAAATAAATTTATCAAGAAATTCTGAGAGATTGACTCGTGAGGTTAAAATGTACCAGATACATGAGTAGCCAAGGTTTACTGAACAACAACAATAATTCGATTTACGTGTATCAAATGCAATTGATAAACTAAGCGAATGTCATTTTTGTTGTTTATGGATGGTAGAATAATACCATACCGATTTTCTCTGCCATTTGTAGTCCATCTCAGTCGCTACAGTCTCCTGTTGAAAACCCAACAATCAAGCAAGTATAAAAGTGTAGCAATCATGATAGTGCCATACTTCAGAAAGTACTCGTAACCAAGCCAACTGTTTTAAATTCAGTTTACAATTAATTCTCATGACACCACTCCCCGTCAGAATTTAAACCACCCTTCTTGAATTGGCGTTAAGCCAATGGTTACACTATTTAACTGTTACTTATAGACGACCCATCTGGTTGACGCGCACACACAGCGCGCGGGCTCAGACATTTTCAGGTTAACAAGGTCGTTAACAAGTGGTGCGTACAATTGGCGCAAGTTATGATAAATTTTTGTGCTTTAATTGGAGAGTGGCATTTCAAAGATTTTTCTTGAAAAGTTACTTTAACTGTTTTAACTTGTTACTGGGTTTTTTAAACCGCTCATTTTTCTAAGGGTAGTTGCGAATTGTAACAATTGCCTTGTTTTTGAAATTTGAGAATTCTTCTGCTTCCTGCGCGTATCATTTTCAAAAGTTTATCTCTTCCCTACCTTGTAAGCTTCAAACGCTCCTTGAAGACTCTCCATTTCACCCTTAAGACCGGCTGTCGATACAAGTTCGGGATAAAATCATTCAAAAACATAGTCAAAGTTTTCCTACTCGTTCAGTTGCAGCAGAGTGCGGCGGGTCACAGAAATGCGGAGACAAGCGTTTCACCGTATACTTTTATAAACTAGCCTGGCTGAAGCAAGCTTCAAAGCTGAGGGGGAAAAGAGTGAACACTAAAGTGCGTAATCAGCACATTCCCATCTAACGAATTTAAAGTGGACTCGTTGGGACAATTTTATAAAAGCGTTTCCCTCCTTTACTTCAAATTCATGTCTATGTCATTTTGTGTATCCCAAATAGAATATTAAGCGTAAACCTATAGCGTGTGCATACAATTGCTTCTTAAGTTTTTCGGAAAATTTATACATTCGCTAAATTTGTCTTTATGTTACGCGGGATAGAAATTCTTTCTGTACCTTTCTCAATTTCAGCACTTCTTTTTTCCTCTCGAAGCTGCAAATGTAAGAGTAGATACGAATATATTACTCAAATATCTATACACTAGTATTAGTTCAGTTCTAGTACCTAGTATCTAGTCGTACTACACTACGACGCGAAGCGGAGTGGTTTCCAGCTTATCGAGTGTTCTCCCAACCTCCCAATTGTTTACATCAGGCTATGTAAACACGGAAACCATTTTACATTTCTTTTATAAATTAAATAATGAAAGAGGAACGAAAACCGTGTCTACATACGCTCATGTAAAATGGTTTTATGGCCAATCAGAGCGCGCGTACTATTTGAATTATTTTAATTATAAAATAATAGAGTAAGTCACTATCAAGGGTTATGATTGAGCAATCACGCACTCGCGTTAGCCAATGAGATTTCAGAATTTTGCACAGCGCTTGACGTTACATCGAAAAAGCTTATGAAAGTTTAATAAGTCTCCTATTGAAAACAACGAAGTCACCTTCTGGTCAAAAGAATTGTTTAACTTCTCCATTTCTTCCTCGTGATCATTTACTATAGCTCTGCAACAACAAAAATAAGGAGTTTTCCTTAGGTTAGAAAAAAAGTCTTAAGATTTGAGGGATTGCTGTGAAAATTTACCTCTTAAATGAAAAAGCCTATTTGGAGAGCCACAAATCGTGCTACCAAAACCAAAGAGACGTAGTTCTTTCTTTACAATTAAAGAAAGATTTTGAAGGTCGCGTCAGAGTGAAAATGATCATGGATAAGGTTGCACTTACTTGATATGCTCTCTGTGTTCTTCATGTATCTGTTCAATATGAAGATTATGGTTCTCATCCGTCTACAAAAAAAAAAAAAAAAAAAAAAAAAAAAAAAATAGCCACAGGTCCTTGAGGGAAATTTCTCCACTGTGCTTTTCAATAAATTTGAAGTTTGAGATACATAAGCAAATTGTTTTTAACCTTTAACTCTCATAGGTGACCAAGAAAGAATTTATCCTTACAATATCGATGCAATATCGAACAGACAGGTGATGAGAATAAAAGAATATCAATCAGGGGATCATTAATTGATCCAATACCAAATTCTCTGAACTGCTCGTAACATCATAAGATTTAGACAGCAGACAGTGAGGAGAATTGTGATTAAGATCATGTCCATTAAGTTATGACTGAATGATTTTTCTCCATTTTTAAATGCTTCTGATTTACTTCAGATGTCAGTTATAGTAAGTAACAAAAATATGAAACAAGATTGCACATTTAGCTCTGGGCCCAAGAATTCACCCCTTAATAAACAAGGAAAAAAGGTTCTTAACAAGACAGGATTTAAATTAAAATAACTAACTGATCATAATCAGTTTCTTCCTAGTCAGTGAGACAAATCATTAAATTTCCAACTCAAAAAAGTGATTTGCTCTAACATGCACATGTTGCCTAACCTTCTTCATGTTCATTTTGTGGTTCAACCTTTCTTCCTCTAAAATCAATGTCAAGTCATCAATCTGTTGGTGAAGTTGTTGAATGACTATATCCCTGTACAATTTGATAATATAAAGAAATAAACCTTGAATGTAAATATATACTAATATCATAAAATAATTTTTCAACCTTCATTTCCGTTCACTCTTGAGGGTGAAAGAGGGGGGAGAAATGAAAGTTCTTCAAAATGAAGAAATTACTTTTGTCGTTGTGCAAACAACTTCAATGGAAAGATAAATGTATTTTGGACTTACTTTTCATCAGGAGGCTGTGATCTAAGAAACCAAAAAAAAGGAAAACTATTAAACAGCAATCAGTATCAAGAGCGTTCTAATCAAAACTGATTATGACATATAACAGCATAAAATAGGGGGTAAGTTATTGTTTAAAAAAATTATTTCAGTTTGTAAAAGCTATTGATATTGAGTACTTACTTTTTCCTTGTCTTAGCCTGGTAATAATAAAAGGAACCAAATCAGAAGATTTTTAAATATAGACTTATCTCCATTTACTATCTTTATTAATTGTAATCACACAAATACCACAGTTAAACTTGAAATGCATTCCAAAAAATCATATGCAAAAGTCCAGTTGGCATTAAATATATACGAGATAAATTTTTTTTTTTTTTTAGTGGAGTCCAAAAACTATGGCACATTATTATTTAAAGAAAATGGAATTCATTCAACCATGTGGAAATAACTGTAGGCAGTATGCAATTTCTCTGTTTGTAGACTGATACGGAACTCACCTTTGTGGTGCCATCCTTCAAAAAAAATTCATCTGTTATTGTTACATTTATCTTTTCTTTACTTCTGGATAACAAATAACCAGGTGCTAACGTAATTGTCATGCCATCCTATATTGGAGAGAGAAATAAGTCATAAAATACATATTTTTTTCAGTAAATAAATTAAGGAGATTATACCACAAAACTTAACAAATGACAACTTTGCAGAATTACAAAAGAACAAATAAAACATTAGCTTTCTGGGTTTAACCCTTTTAAATCCTGCAAGTGATCAGCATCCAATTTCACCATACAGAAATATTGCTGAATCATTCATGAAGATCACAAGAATAAAGGATGAGATTGCCAACCTAAGAAGCTTTGATTGTCGAGCAAATTCTCCTTGTCACTTACCAAAAGAAATGTATGAAGGAAAGTATAGAGAATATACATACTCATATTCTAGGGTATAAAAGGTTACATACTCACATCATTTAAGGGTTCCTCAAGAGAATTTCTATGTTGTGCACTCTGCACTTGTCTCCACCTGGAACATCTAATGGAAATTATTTAGAGACATTAATGCATTGCTTTAATACCACAGAACCTTTTTTTTTCAAGTTTTCACTTCAGTGCTATGAAATTTATAAAATCAAAACTTGTTGTAATGAATAACAGGGTAATTAGGTGTTATCAACTGAGTTGAAAATGTAAATTTGCCACTGTAAAGAGTCTAAATGCTGATGCTTCAAGCATTAGCCCTTTGTCAGCCTTTAAATTCTTTATCAACTCAGTTGATAAATTATCCTGCTATACTCTCCCACCAATATAGCACCACAGTTTCACTACAAACTTAACCCCTTTATTCATAATGAATAACACCCCTTCATTTTAGTAAAAATCTCCAGGGTCCTTATCACAAATGCTGCAATCTGATTGGCTTATTACAAATGACCTTATCTCTACCATGATAGATGGCAAGTAGCCAATGAACAGTGTGCCCTCGTAACCATAATAGAATAGTAAAATAAAAACACAAGTCTGTCTAGTGATCAATTTTGAACCACCAATAATTCTGAAGATTTACTTTTCAAGCTGAATCTCAATTTTAAAGGTTGTATATACAGCACTGACATGTGTAAAATATGTTGATAAAAGTTCTTTTAACTGACCTTGCACGAGGAGAATTGTCAAAGGTGACATTAAGTCTGCTTGGAGTGGATCTTAAGTTGTAAATAGAATGAAAAACTCAAAATCATTTGAGGAAGACCAAGTCTTAAGTTGTGCAGATAGTTTTTAGTAAACCTCAGGGGGCCATGCAGCCTGCACTATAATTTTCTATCAATATAATCTACCAATAATTTGATTCCACTCTAATGTGTATCAAAGTGCTCAATATACAGGAAATAATTGAAATTGTTAATTATTCTGAATTATTTTACTGATACAAAGTTGTTCATAACTTGTAAATCATTATAGGTACATGTATCTACAACTGTAGAATAACTAACAAAGGTGGAAATCTTCCTTCTCTCTTGTTTTGGAGAAAGATTCTTCTCCTATAACATTAATGACAACTTATTGAAGAAATCAATATAACTAGTTTCACAAAGAATATTATTAGTTTTAACTAGTGGCAACAAATCAAAATTTTTATCAATGCTCGTCTTGGGTATGAAATCATAGATTTATTAAAAGATTTTGAAATTATCCCATAAAAAAAACAGGCTCAAAAAAGTGAATCAGTTAACATTGTCGACAAATCCACAGAACTGCATAATCAATGTGTACACTGATTATGCAGTCAATGATTACAAACAGTTGCAAGAAATCACGAGACATGCTTGTTAGGGAAATTTTTCTAAATTGCTGCCCATGATGTGAAATGAAAAATTTGAGCCGAGAAGCTCCTAAAATTCAGAATTTAAAATTCATAATTTGACGACACAGTGCTGATAATCAAGTTACGGTCGTACCGCAGTCCCCATGATTAGTGTTTATAGAAACTAGTAGTTACTAAACTCGACGGATTTCAAAGGTAAACAATGCTTTAATTCGGTTAAAAAATTCGGATCAAAACAGAGATGATTCTTACTTTGGCCTGGCTGTGTTTTCTGTCCATGCACGACCTTTCCTCTCTCTTGATGTTGCAGTTTGCGCTCTTCGATGTATTTCTTCGCTTCCAACTTGTCCGATTACCCATGCTGGTCTTTTGTAAGGTGGCCTTGTGCCATTAATGTAGATCGTTTCCAAAATCGTTTCAGTCATTACGACGTTAAATCGTGATCGTGATAATGTTATCCACGCAGGTAAATGGTATTAAAGATTATTATCTTCAATGATTTTTCAGCAGTATTTCGAACATCTGTCTTCGAAGTCTGCCTTCCTCCAGGCACGCAAGTAAACATCGGAATGTTGTCGTTCTCTTAGCCCTTTCGCGAATATTTCGCAGCAATCAGTGTCGAATAATCATTTTCGATTAAGTATGAATCTTCCTGGAAATTCAGCGGTAGATTTTTCTTGAAATCGTGGAGAAATTGAAAGAATAAAACTATAAATTTTGCATGTCAAAAGCCAATAATGTTTGAAAAGTCAAATTGTCAGCGGACTAAACAATACACGTCGCAACCATGACAACCTCACAGCTCTAGAAACTATCCATTTACGCGCGCAAATTCTGGCGAAGGTAAAAAAAGTTAAAAAGAGCTTTGGTTTGTTTAATTTTCTTTGAGCACTTTTCAAGTACTTTTAAGTCGTGAGATTCTTAACTGCCCGATGACCACAAATTTTTCATTAGATTTTGGGGTTTTCGTTTCTTATTTTGGGAGATTTTCCGTTGATCCAAGCTAATTTTTCGGCCCCATCCGTCGATTCGCAGTTTATTTGTATAAATACGGTTCTGATTTACTTATCTTTAAAACTTTTTAAGGGATAAAGGCACTTGGTTTTGTTTTTGTTTTTGTTTTTTTTTCTTTACTTATGCACCGATCTACTTTTACGGAAAGGAGAAGGGAAAGGACAAATTTCGTTAAGAGCTCCTCCACGGCCGCGCCGGACGGTTGTTCAGTGTTACTATGAGATCTGGGTACGAGATTAATATAGAAGTGCAAAGGGCCGAATCTCATCGTGTAATACCCGAGCTTCTTTCATCAACCCTCCTTCCCAACCCCCCCCCCCCCCAAAAAAAAAAAAAAAAAAAAAAAAAAAAAAGGACCTGGGCAAAACATTTTCACAACACAAAGAAAAATGCACCTGGGTTTGTTTTGTGTCATTATTTCATGATATATTTTATTATTTCATAACCGTTTGCTCTTAAAAGCATTTCTCTTCATCCATGAATAAAACAAAGAGAGATGCCTGACGCAAATGGATAATTTATTGGTACCAAGAGCAAGCGAGCCCTGATGATAAATACAGCGTTTGCAAAAAAAGCGCCGTAAAAGAGTGATAAAGGCCTGATGCTCTGCTGCTTGGGCCGGGTGGCGTTGTATGGACAGGTACAACAGTTGCGTTGCTGTATTTGTTGTATTCTAAAAAAAAAAGAAAAGGAATAATAATCAAAGGTAAAAACCAAAAGAGAGAGAAAAAAAAACCGAAGAAACAGGCGTCAAACTTTCCCACGGGAACAGGCTTTCTCGCTAGCGCACAATCGCTTGCTGAAGCGCTTGTCAACATGTTAAAAGTGACCTGCTTCCTAGCCATTCCAAGGTAAAAAAATCATGCGCTCGTCTGATTACACGATTGCTAAGAACCTTAGTATGTTGATAAGGACACTGGCATGTCTTTTGCTCTTTTGCTTCTGATGGGAGAAGTTGAAAAAAAAAAAAAAAAAAAAAAAAAAGCTGACCTTGTTTCGGTAGCACTAAGATACTTCGTGTCACTGACATCACTGCTGGACCAACTTTGACGGTGAAAGTGTAATCTCCAGAGTCTGATTCTTTCAAGTTTCTTATAATGAGAACAGTCAGCCAGTTTTCTTTCTTTGTAAAAGTGGTGTGGAGGAGCACGCGCCCATAAACCGAAGGTAGCATCGGTATCCCACTTTTCTTCCAGCCCATGTCTTTTAGCTAAACTCACAACGAATAAAATAACAAGTTCACTTCATGGGATCATTTCTCGTAGACGTGGACAAACATAAATCGAGCCTTTGACAAATGCTCTTTCCCAAGCTGCTAGAAACTCTTGAAGAACTTTGCTACAGGTTTCGGATTCAGAGCTCAAAGTAACAACATGCAACATCAAAATACCTGTGGCGCGGAAAAACGCGCGTTGAAATGTCGTGATTGGTTTCTGCATCTGATTGGTTGAGCAGGTGGGGCCAGTTTTCTGAGCCAGTCACAGAGCATTGAAGTTTAATAAGACCATCGCAATGCGGCTTTAATAAGACTCTCGCATGAAATTTCCCCTACCACGGATCTTTCTCATATTCAACAAGGGTAATTTAATATTTGCAAACCAACTCACCTGTGCTTTAGGTTCACCACCTTTCACTGTAACATTTATGTTCACCTCGGGTTCTCCTTCGTGAAATCTCTGGTACACAGCGTGCGGTTGAGCTATCAACCTTGGCTTGACTGGTATAGTGAAAAGTAAGGCAATACACAATTTATATGAATAAAGTTCAGTTTTGCTGCAATTTTTCTTAGGTGCAATTTTAACAACTCTATTTAGTTCTGTGTCCGTTTTCCTCGCGTGAACTAATTTTTTGAAAGGCAGCTGCTCATCAAAAGCACGATGTCGGCCCTTGGCTCTCTCGATCGCCTTTATCTTTGCACATGCGCAGTCCTTCAATCCTTGTGCTCACGAAAGGAACCGCTTCAGTGAGGTTTAACCGTCTTGATAAAGTGTTGCGAATAATTGTAGTTGCTTATAGAAATTTCCAGACTGCTGAGTCATGCTGACTTTCATACCGTAGAACTTTCCAGAACATTTTATCAAGTCACGAACTTATTATGTGATACTACTGAAATAGTTCCTATGTAAGCTTTTGGAATGTTCCAGAACATTTTGTGAATATATGTAGAGACTCATTTATGTGGTAGTAGTAGTTGGTATCGTCGAAGCCACGACTGTCTCGAAAGTTTTACCGAGAGAGAGTTATTGCGGACGATTGCTCGTTTCAAGGGACTTGAGAGACAGCAGTGAGATAATGTCAGTGGTGAGCTAGGATATAGACTGTGTTGGGCTGAATTAAGTTTATTAACGATAAGTATTGTACTGCTTTAGGATTCGCCCCTTGTTAAGAACGTTACTCGCTGTTTAATAAAGTAGTCGAGTTTGTGGAATTGTAGCGTTTTTGTGTCGGTAGGATTATACCGTAACAGAAGTATTAAGAATTCTTGAGAAAATTTATCGCATTTCATCTCCCTTACTTCGCCATTAATTAATATGAAACCCAACCAATCTTTATTGAGGCTAAATCGGAAATCTAGTAAGTTGTTTATTGGCTCAATACTTACTGATAACTCTGACTTCCACTTTCTTTTCATACTGGCAATACTTTCCCCTGGCCACAATCCTGTATGTACCCGCGGTCTCAAAACTGATCCGAGCTAATTTAAGTTTCTTTCGGAAAGACGACGAGCCATACCTTTCCCCTGATTGAATAATAAATTAAAAAAAATTGTAAGTAATGAAACATTTACCCGGATTAATTGTTTTCGAACAGTGCCTGATTGTAGCAAAATAGGAAAATAACACGAAAAATTATACGTTGAACGACTGATCTCTGGGGAATTAAGCAAGCCTGGGAAAACATCACTTAAAAATTAAATTTTCGTCCCTCCAAAGTATATTAAAAGTAACTAAACGTTTGCTCTGTCTCTATCAGAGAGTTCCAGCTAAAAATATGTGAAAAATTTCTCCGTCAGTGATCCCATTTTCAGAATGCGCAAATTAAGGGACATCAAGTTGTTAGTTTGGAATAGGACGGCCAGGAAATGTACAAAGTTTTAAAACGCACGTGCTGAGCTTTTGTTTTACCAATTAGACCTTTTGTTTGGCCACGTCTTCGTTGCCGTTGCCGTCGTGGTTTGCTTAGCTAGGGCCCCTTTTCAAATTTCAGGGCCATACTGATTTGCTCACCAGGGAATGTGAATCCCTCCGTATTTGTGTCTATTAAAGTTCCATTGTGATACCAGTCAACAGTAATTAGCGTTTTGTCATTCTCAATTTTTACTTCCAGTATGTCGCTCACGTCTTTTACCGCTAAATGAGGAGATGGTGTTACCCAAGTGATTTCCGGCACGTCTGAAGAAGCAAAACAAAAATGTAAGGGTGAGTGAATATACGCAACAAGTAGTTTAAAATTCATAGAGGTCATGAAAGGCAACTCGAAGGGTTTCTTTTGTTAAACGAATGCAGTTGTTTAATTCAGACATTTAAATGTGACGTAAAGTATTTAGTGCACACATGGTTATCTTGCGTCAAACAGAGATAAAGCCGTGCTGTGAATACCCTATTTGCTATAAAACTTATAATAAGGCCGGCGCGATTGACGTAATGTGATGAAAGAGGGAAACATAAGTTGTAAATTGGTTCCAAGTTTCTAATCATATCGTTATATGTTCCTGAGATTTCACAGCAACCAAACTCTATTATTTTACACTCTTAATTGGCGAGAGATCACTTGAAAGTAAACTGTTTTCCAAGATTTTACAAACAAAAAACCGATAAAGGCTTTGACTAAAGCTTTTCTAAACGGATTTCAGCGAAATGACTAAAGAAAATTCATCGAAGAGCTTACCTTCGGTGACAAAAAGTCGAGTCACGGCTCTAGCCAACCCAAATCGATTGCTGACTTCTGCCTCATAAATTTTTCCCGAGTCATTGACTTCGGGGTTATAAATAGTCAAAGTGACGGAGTTCCAAGCATTACGCCATCGTTTTTTTTTGTTTTTTGTATATTGTATCATATACCAATCAACTCTCCAGTAATGTGGGATCTCATGATTGTTGTCATGCAAGGTGACGTTCAGTTTCACTGGAATTCCTACGCATGCGCCGAATGTTTCTGGCAGCGAAATGCGAGGCTCGTCTACATGGAAAAATGAAAACAACCAAGAAATTAACGTCTACTGAAAATCACATACTCCAAAAAAAAAATATCAACAACAATTGCACGAAGCTTGTGGGAAAAGCTCTTAGTTTAGTTCAGAAATGGTGTATCACAGTAAGTTGCGAGTTCTTGAGGTCGAACTGAATTCAGATCAGCGAAGTTTGAAAATTGCAACATACGTTTGTGTGCTTTTACTTAACGGAAACAGTTCAAAATTGTCACTTTTTGCGGTTCTCCTTTCTTTTGAGTTAAGATACTCTTGTTAATGAGTTGACATGTTGGAAAGTGCGGGACATGCACTTATTATATTAATTGAACAAGGTTTTTCTGGAGAAAAATTGTCCCCTTTAAGGTACCCGCTAAAAGTGCCGATCTCGAGTTGTTTACGCGTGCCAATTTCAGACGCACCCTTTGTAAGTGGAAGGAAAAGCACTGGAGACAAGTTTGCGTCAACTGTTAAGGAAAGCTTCGACAACACTTAAAACGTTTTCGAAAATGTTGGGAATATCTATGACACTTTGAAGCGTCTCAGAATTTGATTGTTGATTTCACGAAAATTCTACCACTAGGAAAGCTTCTAAATTCTTCGTATTTCTTTCGAAAGTATTCGGAATATCAATGGCAAATTTTCGGACGTCTTCGGAATTTTAGCACAGCGGGCCAATACTCAAACCTCTCACCTTCATGTCTTAATTCTATATTAGCTTGGTTCCCTACATTACTCCCAGGAACGTACACCTCAACCTTGTATGTTCCCAGGTCAGCGGGTGTTATTCTCTCAATCTCTAACACGTGACTTCCAGTAAAATCATCTCCGTAGTAGGCTTTGTCGTATGACCGGTACCGATCGCGAGCTCGGAATCGGCGTCCTTTCTCGAAAAAGTCATTGTCATTTTCAACCTTCATCGTGTATAGTAGTGATGTTTGCCGATCTGGGTCGCTAACGTGGTAATTGAATATTTGAATCCATTTTTTTCGCTCTGGATCAAATTTGGACCACTTGATCCGATACTTTTGAAATTTTCCTGAATAAGAAAATGTTTTATATTCATGAGAAAAAAGTGAACAAAACTTTCATATTATGAATTTTATTATGCTGTACTAATTGTTTCTAACGTTTAATTTATTTCACTGGGGAAATTTGAAAAGTGAGAGCCACGAAGCAGGACCTTCATATTGTTCCATACGAGTAGTATATACACTTAAGTCTTTGAATTCACCACCGTTGTGTAAGAATTCATTTGAAAACTACTGAGATGTACTTAACTTGCTTAATATCGAGCTAATAAGGAGCTCAGACAAACATTAAGACTTACTCATCGCCCTGATGAAATATGGTTTGACGAATTCTCGATGCACGGTCGGGGAATAATCCTTATAACCATCAGGCACTTTCCATACATTTTCAGGCATCGCATACGATGAGAAGCACTTGTCGACGCTATTAATGAAGTGGTCATATCCTTTCCGTTGCGCAAGTTTCGAACAGTAGTAAACCACACGCTTGTCGTCCTTAATATACCCTAAAAAACGTTGACTCCATAAACGTTCTCCTCTGTAGCTCCTCGGTACCATTACTGTATAGTATGCTGTGGTGTTTATTTTCAGGCCGGTCGAGAGAGAAGCGAGATAACAAGAGTTATCAATTAAAAATTAAATGGAATTTTAAATGAATGGACAGGGAAAGGTTAAAAGTTTTGAAATAGATCGTGGAATAAGGAAAGATGTCGTCCATTTTTGGGAGGTAACCGAGACACTACGCGCTTTTTAATAGGTCAAAAACCATTTGTTAATAAAAACTATAAAAAAAATTCTCAATCGTGACTCGTTATCATTGGCCAAATTTAATATATATTTATCATTTTTATAAGTACTAGATGGATAGCTTACATGCACATCACGCATTTCATTGGATGTCAATGGATAGTGTACGCGTCATGCCTGTGTAATAGGACAGTACGCGTCATGTGTGCGCCCTGTTGCATTGTCGCTGAGTTCACTGTTGTTTTTACTTCGAAAACGTACCAATGATGTATCATTATTCATCACTTAGATATCTACAATCATTATTCATCACTTGGATGATTTATTTGGACCCAACTTAATGACCAGCTTCTAGTTGGCATGTTAGCTCATTTGGTAGAGTGCTGCATCGGTATCTCAGAGGTCAGGGGTTCAAATCCCATACGGGCCTGAACTTTTTCCAGGTTTTCTTTCAACTAATAGTTCAGTATTGTTTATAAGTGCGAGGATCTCTTATATTCGTTTCTTCATATATATGATTTTCATACAATCATTTTGGCTGGTTTCCTTCTTAAATTTATCCATAACCATCTTTGCCCATCTCTAACAGGACCTCCTATCGTCCAATTCTACCTGTAACCATAACTTGTAAATAACAAATTAGACTCCCGCTTCACGATCGTTCGATTTTGCCAACCACTCGTACGATTTCAAACCGAATTTTACTCCACTCAGTCCCATGAGGGTCTCAATAGGGTTTAACGTTAACAAAAAATTTTAACCGTAAAAAAAATTCTGATGTTGGTCAGTTAGCCGTAAAAGCCATTATCTCACTGAGACCCTTTCCTATTGCAATTACTAGTTGTACTGTTAAAATCGTAGCCTTTTTATAAAAAGATACACAGCATTTCGTAGGTGCCGCTCAAGAAAACGTCAGTTCAGATACTTTAACATACGGATACAACTTACGTATTCCTAGAATGATCACACCGACGGACGCCACAGAACCGCTGACATAAACGACTGCAGGCTTGCTCCAGATAGGCTTCCCACCATCATAGGCTTGATCTACTCTTTGTTGTATTATAAACTGTGGGACTTCTATGTAAACAAACAATGAAGGACAAAGGATATAACATATTTTGGTGAAAAATTGATAAGTACTATTAACTTCAGTATTAAAAATACATTTGATTTGCATAGGGTCTTTTACGTGGTTTGGAATTGCTCATCCTTCCGTAAAAAAGTTTCTGCTAAAAAATTTCAGTAATACTATTTTTCTTGTGAGAAAATTAGTAAAGAAAGAAAGATTGTAAATTTTTCTTCGTTGATGAAGTAAAATTTGCCATCTTTCTTACTTGATATACTCGCACAACACTTTTAAAATTGATGATCCTTACAGTATGCAGAATGGATGTTACATTTCCACCTACAAATGGGCCATATCGCAAAAGAGTTTTCTAAAGTTCAATAGTAAAGCATCGGTTCTCGAAATCCTGAGGTCTGAAGTTCGTAGGGAAGGCGAAACCTCCGAGGCTTCCATGTCGAATAAACATGGCCAACATCCAGACCCTTTCAAAGCTTCCGATCCAGAAGACACCTTACTTAAGTTGACTGGTGAATTGTGTGCCCTTTTTTACGAGTTGAAAACCTTGAGAATTATGAGTAATAGATGTTGGTCGGTAAGTGGCCACTTAAGCCATATGAGGGACGGCTCTCTCAGTACTTATTCAGTCATAGATTTACACTTTTTTTTTCTCAACTGCAAGTAAATGTCGCGAGAGCAATAGACATTCTGTCCGATGGACTAAGATTTCAGAAAGAAAACTACATCATCCAGATTTCTTACCTAACGCTGCGGCCCAAAAACCTTGAGTTTGAACCATCCAGGGACCCCCTTCAAAGTCTGTTGGTGGTTTCTTTCCTGTTATGATGAAAGTGGATCTATGTCAGCATGTGAGCAACTACACACCCACCCCTCCCCTAGCCCAACATTAACCCAAATATATCAGTCGATTGTTGCCAAGTTGGGAGGGGGGAGGGTAGGTTCACCGCTGTTCAAGTTTTCTACGTTTCAATACGCTGTTACAAGTTTTTTCAAGACGTCAAAAATCGCAAATTTGATTCGTACCAATTTTGGCGGTGATAACATGGTGCCGATACACCTCTGTTCCATCACTCAACTTTCCTTTGCACACAAAATGTTTGCCACTTTTTGATTTAAGGGTGCGCCGTTCATCAAGGAAGAGAAGGGGACCTCCAGATGCTTTGAACTCCTTGTTAAATGCATCTTGCACCCAAGCCGTTTTACTGAAATCTAGGAGCTCCCTGAAAAAAAAAAAAAAAAAAGGAATTGAAGGAAAAGTTTTGATCGTTTACTCCGAGGAAAGAGGATAAGGAATGTGAATGAGGGGGGGGGGGGAGAGAGAGAGAGAGAGAGAGAGAGAGAGAGAGAGAGAGAGAGAGAGAGAGAGAGAGAGAGAGAGAGAGAGAGAGAGAAAGAGAGAGAGAGAGAGAAAGAGAGAGAGACAGGGAAGGGAGAGGGGAGCTTGGGGTAAGTAAACTTCTTACAACAGATATCGATCATTCCTCCAAGGGATACCGTCGTCAGGTGGCTTTCCGCATGTGAAGATAGCCGTTTTGTAGTATAAATTAATGGGTTCTCGATGTTTGTTTTTATCTACTCCTGTTTCCATCCTGACATATTCCACACGTTCGCTTTCTATGTCTGTGGCGAAGAGAAAAAACAAAGCCAAACGATTTATCTGTGTTTTTCACAAGATTGCCTTTCATTCTGAAGAATCTCAGGTAAGATTCCATCACAGCCCAATATTTTACTCACCGATAATTTTCTTTTCTACTTTGTCTCGCAGAGATTCACCTACAAAGCAGAAATAAAAGATTTGAGGTATTTCGTCGAGTTATTGACGCCTCGTAGTACTGCAGGAGCTAACAGAAACCCTTGAGGTAATTCTAAACTGTAAGGGTATCGTACTGTGCTCCCCGGTACTTCAGGGCGAACACGAGACTATGAGCACGGTTCCATGCTTTTACTTCAAAAGAATGCAGACAATTTAGGATATAAATATAACAACATATTCAATCCAGGCGATCAAAGGAACATGGGAACTTTGCAAAATTTGAACTGAGGACCATATTTGACAATGTTTGAAATGTGTGATGAGGAGGGAGGGGAAAGGAGAAATGGGACAAGAGAAAAACATAGGCATTAGATCATTTAAGGGTAAAAGGAAACTTACCCCTCCCCGCTCCAAGGAGACCTTTGGTTTTTTTCCCCTTCAATCGAAAAATGGTAGATAGCTATATACCACTAGACACACGTAGATTACCAAGAATTTCGAAAGAGTTTTGAAAGATATTTATGTTCGATTAAAGACAATTTTTTTTAACTAGTTTCACTCCAGAGAGCTAGGTGCATTTAAATATAAAATAACAATATGCTAAAATTTTCCATTTTTTGAAAATACGTGTGGGATAAAGTTCCATCATTTTACTCACCAGCATCACAGCCGTAAATTTCAACTCTCATACAGATCCAGTTGTACCAGGTAACGGGGACAAAACGAACGTATCGCGCGCGAATTCTCGGATTCAGATATTGTCGTGCTGTGTCCCGAGAATTCTTGTTGGCGACGAAATACTGAAAGGAAAATAAAATTGGCACTGACAACCTTAACAACACTAATCAAGCAATGAATCCAGACACTTGTAATATTCTCTTTCAGTACACACTCTTCTATGTAACTTTTTCAAGAGACAGTTATATTTTGATGGGCGTATGATCAGTTATTTGTTAAGACACGGATCGCTGTGTAGTCTCTTAGTTAAATGTTAGAAAGAAGTAGAGTAAGTTTGTAGACGCTAGCTCGGGAAAACACGAGTGAGCAAGTCACGATTGATTGTTGATTTTAGCTCAGGTCTGATTGGTTGAGAGGTTGGCAGCAGCGGGGTAGGTCTTGATGAGTGGTGCGAATTTCCTAGATCAATCAAAGTTCAAACTAAAGCAAAATCAATGTAATCCATGATCACTCACAAATCAATGCTCTAAAATCAGAAAAAAAAAAAACAATTGTTTTACCCTTTCTCGTTCTTCCCAGGAAATCACATCCCATGAAAATCCATCTAAGCTGTAGTGTACTAAATATCCTGTCACAAAACGGGCTAAACCTCTGTTCGAATGTCCTTGGGTTGCAAAACCGTCGATAAACTTCTCTGACAACAAGTCGACCTCTGATGGTAGAAGTTTAAATAAAGGTACATGAGACTGAAGATTATTAAAAAATTTATAAAAAAAAATTGTCATTTAATGTTTTTTTTTCTAACCTACTTTCCACAACTTTTTTCTCACTATTCTTTTGTTAAGTTGTGAATAATACAGATAAGATGGTGGTAGCATGTTTTTTTAATTAACAATTGGTTCATACGTCAGCGTGCGTTCATCGAGATATGAAGCACGCGGAAAGTTTGGAGAGCACGAAAGATGCGTAAGAGTAGCTTCTTGGGTGCTCTCCAAACTTCCCAAGTACTTCATATCTCGATGAACACACAGCTGACGTATGAACCAATTGTTCTATAACATTTCAACTCGATGGAAAATTTTTTTCGCGAGGGATTTGTTTGCTGACGTCATGAGCGTGCACAATAGGAATATAAAGCACGCTCGTGCAATGGAATTTGATTAGACAAATTTACTAGCTATGTAAAAAGATCTTTTTAGTTTCTCTGGGGCTCTCTCGTTACCTATACTTCATATCTTTTACACCCTGTTTTCATTTCTAATGTGTTAGATAAAAATGTTCATTTTGTTATACACTTTAAATTCATTTTTGTACTTTGTACAAATCAGAACTAAGGGTGACAGAAGAACTGTCGCGACATGTCCCATATTTTATTAAATATAAAAGATTGCTTTTAGTACCAAGGAGAACGGCTTTTAAATTGGTTGAAATGAAATAAATATTTTGAACCAGTAGGCAATTGTTATAACAAAAAATAACGATACACTTAAAAAGACCGCGGGCGTTAAAGGATGGCAAAGAATGAAACGGATTGCTAGCAGAGCGCTTTTCGATTAAGTGTCATAAAAGCAAAACCAGAGTAATCGCAATAGCCAATCAAAAAAAAAAAGGAAAATACCTTTTGGAGCCAATGAAAACTCAAACTAACAACATTGGTTTCAATTTTGCATCTGATTGGTTGAGATAGTGGTGCGAGTTTTATGGAGCAATCACAGAGCGGAGTACAGCAAAACCATGCAATCTCGGATTACTTTAGCCATTAACTGAAGATTGCTCTAAGTAACAGAAATAACTTAAGCTTGATATTCTAAGATGCGAAATTCGTGACTCTGCTTACCTAAAAACTCTTTTGGTAAAAAACTCTTGTATTTCCGGTTAGATTGTGTGTACTCGTAGTTTTCTAGCTTCTCAACGCACCATCCACCAACAACATTAAGGCGTCCATCTTTACCTTTCGTGTTAAGCTCCCTTTTTTTGACTGTTGACGCCTTTATTTGGTTGTCACGGATTCTGCGAGACACCATTCCCAAAGATGAAGAACATCCTAGCAAGAAACAAACCAACAATAAGCAGATTGCCATTAATCTTTTTTTTTTCGATTTGTTATTATTTTTGTTAATTTTGGTGAAAGAGCAAATTGATTGGAAGTTTGTGAATTTAATTAATGGAAGACTTGCAGATTTTTGACATTTTGGAAAGCAAAGATTCCTTAAATTATGTTCGGCACTTCGGCGAACAGTATGAAAAATTCGTGAATTTAAGGAAAATGCGTCTGCTAACGTGCTGAATATGAAGAACTCTAAAAATGATGAAATCTTTGTTACTTTCTTCTCTAACATTCGTCTTAACTGTCCAAAAATTATTAAATAGCAATTGTAGATTTAAAGTTCTCAACCACGAGTGCAATTAACTTTATTTTCATTTCATTAAATTTTTTTTACGACAAAATATAATGAAGAACTATTTTTTATTAGCACAATTTCGTTAAATTGTGAAGTGAGATGTGTTAAGTTTTTTTTCTTTGTTGAGAGGAATCTAGGATTATTCATTCACTAGTTTTGTGCGTCAAAACATCCAATCACACAAGTCCTATTTCTGAATAGTGTGGAAAAAGGAACGGGCTTGAAGAACTTTTAACAACAAAAGTTTTCCATGTTTATTAACTTTGACCGCACAAGAATTAAGGCATTGCAAACTATTAAGGCCGGCAAGCTAATTTTAGTTTTATAATCAATCTTTGTTCCTGAGACAACACAATATATAAGCAAACAAATATAACTAATGAATATAACCTGGCTTACGCTTCCCTCCTAGCGGCTTAGGCAATCCTAAAATTTAAGAATATTAAGTCAGTGTGCAGTGTCTTAAACATGGTGAAAACCAGCTGATCTTTACTTGTGTTGTCCTACCTCCTTAGTAATATAACTTTTTTTGTTTGTGTGATCGAGCTCTGAAGATAAGGAATTTTAAAATAGATTTGTTTGGCAGGGATGTCTCGGAAAATTCAAACTGTCATGAAACTTTGCTGCTTTTGAGCATCCTGGGTCAAAATGTGTGGGTAGCTTTGAACCTAACGATGCTAAGATTACTGAAGTTGAGTACACGAGGCTAAACTGCAAAGCTGTGGCAGTATGCTGTCTTACGAGGCGTGTTTCACGTCCTACATCCCTTTTCCTAATTGTCAACGAACTTGCTAGTACAAGGTGTCGCCATAAATCAAGGAGTTATTCCACACCACTTTGAAGCGTTTATTGAGACCCAAAACTAACTCTCATTTGATGGAAGATACAAAATTAGTTTTGGAAGATTTAAAAGGAGCCAAAAATTGTCGACGATAGACCAAAATGAAATTTAGACCTTTGTTCAGTTGAAAGGTTTCCTGCCTTATGTCCTTAGGTATGAGCCTCCGCAAATACTCTCGGCGCGCGAGGGGCTCTTCTTTGAATATTCCTTACGCTGGTTACTAACAGTGAGGCAACTGCCCCAATTTTTAGACATCTATTTATTCAATCCAGCTGCCGTAAGGAAATATCTCCTGCATACAAGCTGTAAACGAGTTTGTGTTTCGCCTCCTTCGACTCCGCGAAGAAAAACGTTTACGCTAGTTGATACATTGATATCAATTTCCAATAGCAGTACGTACCAATTTCATTTCCCCATATGCTTATGGCCACGCAGCTCTCCTTTTTCTTATTGGGGGATTCCTTGATCCAGAGGGACCTTGCGTATATGGTTGGCATGATTTCCACAACAGCAACACACTGATATTTAGGGTTGTAGTCAATATAAAGGCCCTAGCAGATGTCAATATGAAAAAGCGGTTTTTTTTTATGGTGGAAAACATGACCGTGGGTTCTTGCGGAGTACAAAAAACAAGTAGAATCGAGCCATGTGTCATATGCATGGTCGCGCATGCGCGTGAAATCTTTTTCGCCCTGTGCTTGATTTAATATTGAAATTAAACTTGTTGAGTTGTTGAAGTAAATATGTTAGTATTCCAAAGTGAATGGAGGTGAATAGTTGTTTTAGCCTATACTTAAACAGTGAGATAATGCAGTACAAACCAACCAGTGCTGGCCTTCAACGCTATCCGCTGTTAAGTACATTAGAATTTACGATGATACGCATCATGCTCAATGATTCGTCTCGGGGATTATTCGACAATATTCACCGATCGTGAGGCGAATAATTATTTTAGTATAGTCGCTAAGGTGCTTTCGAGTTCTGTCGTAAATTAGCTAAGTTATTGAAACCATTCTGTTACAGTTGCTTTGGGTTAATGGTATCGAGATATCCAGCCACTTTCCGGTTGGAATTTAGCACGTTCATCCAATTCAATCAACAATTACTTCACATCTTACTTTGAAAAGTGTTACGCCAAACTTATTGGTATCTTTTGTGCATACTCCTCAGAATTGAATTTTCTTCAATCGAGTTTGTTAATTTCTGTGTAACATTGACAAAATGCGACGCAAGCATTCTGAAATATAGCGTCCCTGTTATAATGACCTCGAGCGAGGTGCTTGGGACGAGATGTAACGCAATCCTCAACTAATACGAGCGTGGGCATCTTTATGATCTCCGGAGTAATTTTATCGCCGCGGTCGGCAAAAATTTCCATCACCGCACCGGGCACACCTGCTGGCGATTTTCGCTGATCGCCGCGACCGGCGTTAAAAATCGCCAAGTGTGTCGCCGGCTTTAACCGAGATATTCGGATTCGTAATATTTCGTCTCAAATACCTCCGTGAGCCTGTCATGCACTTGGTTATAGGTTCCAAAAGGACTCCAAAGTTTTCCATCGAGGCTTGAAGACAGAATCAGACGAAGCGATGACTTGTCGCTCAGGCACTTCAATGATGGACCTTCTCTCTTTGTTTTTCCAAGAACCAGTATTCGTGTAATAGATTGCAGCTGCGCCATGTCGACGCGCAAAAATACGGAACTATGTCTGGGTGCAGAACTGCTCTGTTGAATGGAACACACAATGACATCAGAAGTACAGAAGGAGCAAGAGACACACGGGTGTGCAGGGCTGAAAGACAGATAGGTAGACTAACGTACGGTTAGTCAGACATACCATAAAACAGCAGATAGTTTTTCTGCCTGTCTATTGGTCGGAAGTGTAAGGCAAAACAAGAGACGTTCTTCTGTTGCTACTTGCCGGCTCGCTTGCTCCAAAATTTTACTTTAAATTAACAAAAAAGCTATAGAAAAGTCCTGGAAAAGCTCGGATATTTTTGCAAATGGCATGACAACTTTAGCTCAGCTCTATGTTTTGCACTCTGATAGAGCACGCTTCTTCATCAAATGACAGCGCGAGTTATATCCGAACTTTGTTATAAAATTACTTAGCCCACGGCATCAGTTGTCTTGAATTGAAAGAAGACCTCACCGTACAAAAAAGACTTTGTCCCGGTTCACCAAATGCCAATTTATTGCGATCTTTTAGCTTCTTTTTGTCAATCGTCGCCCGATGGAGTTGCATGCGGCCAAAATTGACAGAGTAAGATCCGCCATAAGCTGGACGAGCCCACATTCCAGTAGACTCCATTTCATCTGCATATGTGATAGAGTACGAAAATTCTGTTTTTCAATAAGTCTACACCTACCTATAAGTATATTGATACCGACAACATTGAGACCACAATTCACTACGCTTAAAAAAAAAAATCATGTAGGACAGTAGAATTTTCAATAAAGTACGTTGTTATACATGTTTCTATAGAAAATCTTTTTCAGCGGACCCCCATACAGTGGACTCAGTAACCAAAACTGAGCTCATGTTCCTTCATTACATGACATCTGTATCAAAAAGTTTGCATGTTGAAAAAATTTTAGGGCGGAACCTAAAATTTCTATCATGATTTCCCTCCAAGACTACATTGTTTGCAAAAGAATATATATTCTGGTAATAAAGTTTTTTCCCGGTATTCCCGAAAGTATCAGATTTAAAAGGCTGCTGGTTATTTTTTCTGTACTCTTTGGGGTTTAAAAAGAAATCATTCGTCTATTACACCGTTATGAAACAAACCGTTATCAAATTCATTATTGAAGAAAATAAACAACACTTTTCAAAAACATGTTTCGACATTTCTTCTGCCATCTTTAGTTCTAATTGATACAAAGTACAAAGTTGAATTTTAAGTGTATGACAAAATGCTGATTGGACAGAACAAACAATAGTAGCAGAGCAATGTATACAATCACAAGGGAAGTTTTAAATTAACATGATAAACTTAAGGATTAAGAGTAAGTTGCTCCCATTGAATGTAAATAGCTTCTTTGATTTTAAGTTGGAAAATTGTGGAAGCGTGACTAGAAGCGTGACTAGAAGCGTGATCTAAGATCACGCTTCCACAACTTTTCCAACTTAAAATCAAAGAAGCTATACACTGCCCAATTACACTGGCATAACGCGTACACTGTCTAACTACAATGGTTTGAGGGGTACACCAGATGTAAAGCTTTTTGTCCTACCATCCAATACGATACTTGGCAGGCAATCCTAACATATATACCCTCTGTATTTTTTTTTCAGCTTTTGGACATTTTAGATACTGTTTCTATTTTTCTAACAAACTTTAGTGATAACAGGGGCGAGCCCGGCTTTTTGACTCGTAGTCATTTTCAGCGGTTATGTAGCGCACTGACCTAAACCCTTAATGTTAGGAGATTTGCTCTTGGTGCGTCTTTGTCATTTAAGAAATCGAAAGTATGTCGTACAGAGAGTATAATTTTTCTCTCAAACTTATATTAAAATCATATTAATCAAAATCAAGCGGGCGAAAAAAAATTGCAGGCCTGAGCTAAAGAGGCTTGTAGGCTGGTTACGCTCCTTATAGAGCGGATATTCAGCTCGTTAGTTTAACGGCAACTTGTGCCATCAATGGATCCTTCCTGTAAGAATTAACTCACCTGTACAACCAAATAGGTCTAATCTAATGCACGTTACGGAGTAAGGCAGCCTAACGGTTGGAATCCTTACAAATCTACTTGGAAAAATTCTAGCAGCGGACCAAAGTTTTTTAGATGGACTCGGTGCGTTTAGCTATGGAAAAAAAATGCAAAATTGAATAATTCACTGAAAGTTTATTGAACATATAGTGTAATGATATGGAGTAAAGGTAGAATATTGGATTAGAGAAAGAAAATAAGAGAAAAGAGTGGAAATTAAAGAAAACGGAGAAATAAGGGGAAAATAAGCAGTATAGAGTGGAAGGCGACGAGCAAAAGAATTGAACTGAATCAGAAGCAAGTGGAAAATCTTGGAAGAGGAAGGTCAAACTAGTCTCAAAGCAGTTAGATTGGACATTGAAAAACTTGTCCGTCTTCACTCTTTGGCGATGAGTGAATTTGCGTGGAATCGAGTAGTCTCAAGATAGCTTCCTTTCGGAGTCATCGGCGTGTTCTTTTTTTTCAAGGAAAAAGCTTGATTGTGCGGTATCCGTCTTTCCTAGTTATAAAGATAAACCCCCCTCCTCTCCCTCGTCACTTTTCCCCAAAATCACAGCTAGTCAGTGTGTGGAGGAGGAGGGGGGGGGAGGGGAGGGAGGGGGGGAAGCGGTGTGGTGAGGATTCTATCGAGAAACGTGCTCCTGATGAGGTTCAACACTTTGCTCCTAAAATGCCTCTTTCCACTCAGGAGAAGAAATAGTACCATGCTACAAAATGTCAGGGAAAGTTAAGGAATCTTTCACGATTATCCTTAATGGACCAGTCTCCCAGGAGAAATAACATTACTAATGATAAAGCTGGCAGCGCCCGTGGGCAAATAAAGCGATTCCTGCGTTCTGATTGGCTACTAGAGGGGGCATGGGCCCATCTTGCCTGCTCGGGATTGCCTGCTTTGATCCCGTGCAGGTAAGCTAAATCCTCTTGTACAGTCTCCAATCTTAATTTTGACGTTTGCTTGTCAACATTCTGAGCCTATCAAATTACGTTATTTTTCAATTTGTGTAAGGAAAAACAAGCACGCTCCATCGCAGTTAAATTTGTTTAAAAGCGCTCGAAAATAAATAAAAGAGAAGTATTTTTTGTATATGATAAATCCTTCATTGACCAAGCTCGATTGCGTCCCGGTCCATAAAAAATAAAAAGGGGACTCGGCTGATATCCTACCATCTCACGCTTGATGAGATACGCTCTGGAGGCTGAGCTGTTTGGTCATTAAGGACCTGTTTTACACGGAGATGGGGGCCCAAGATAAGGGAGGTAACCCGCCGAGGCGTGGTCGAAAATAACCCTGCTTTTACACAGAATCTTGCAATCCTGGGTTGAAGTATCTAGAGGCTGTTTAAACGCTTGCATCTGTTACATGAACACGACCCCGGCTGAGTGGATTATCCCATCCGGCTGACAGGGTTAAACTACCCAGCAGACCGGGCTGCATGCCTAGACGGGTCACTCACCCCACCTATCACGTAAACGCGATCAAGAAAAAAAAAAGAGATCATATGGGCAGGTGGGTTACCCCACCTGGGCGGTTTACCTCACCTACTCGTGGCCTCTCACCTTCATGTTAACAGGCAAGAGTGCAAAGGGATTATCATCAAATGGACGTACCTTAATGCCTCTCCAAGACCGTTTGTCCACACTAAATCGAAGTTTGCTAGGACTCATGTACTGACTCTTCTTCCAGTCTTCATAACGAAATAAAACAACTCCCACCCTTGTGATGTACCTGATGTAGATCAGGTCGAATTCCAGCCAGTCTGGATCGTACCATCTGTAGCTTTTAGACTCCACGCACCATTTTCCCTCATGGCCCCTGCCATCGACTCCGTAATAATTTTTGTATGGCTACGAAAAAAAGAAAAATACAATTGTCACGATCGTGACATCATAGGAGGCACGTTTCATAACACGAAGACTAAAGTCAAAATAAGCCGTCATTTATTGTCTTTCGGTTGCGCCTCACTCCAGTTTTTGATTGGTTTAAGTCGTTTAGAAAACTCGTGCCACCATCTCGACCAATCATATGCACGATATAACCGATTGCTATTCAATTATTTGCATTTTCCCGCACGTGAGGTCGTTTATATGTTTTACCTTAATTTGCAATGGCTTCTTGAGATGCTGCACTACCTGTGGTGGTGGTTTTGATTAGAATATAGGATCAAAAAACGTAATGGTAATGGCGACAAAATATGACCTCGAATGCCTACAGCTATGCAACACTATCTTAAGTGCGAAGCACATCACTGTGGTGTTTTCTTTGGTTTGCTAGCCTTCCTCGCTCCGTAGCTGGTCTTGTCACGCAACATGGTCACGTCCTTACCATTGGCTGCCTAAACTGGGACCACCCTCTTAATTCCTTTCTTGTGATAAATCACAGAGTGGATAGTGTTGCGTGATTTCAAGTCATTCAATCAGATCTTGAGTTTCAATTCAAGCTTTCACGCTTTCTTTTCGATGGTTTTCAAGTTCAAAATGTCCGGCGTAAATGAGTATCAGAGAGTTAGACATCGTGAAAATTGCCCACTTGGTAAAGACTTGGCTGCGTGACAAAACCAACCAACGTCTGCGAAAAGACTTGCAATGATTGTTTACTTACAGCTGAATTGAGCGTCACTTGCCAATATTGCACGTAAATCGGATTGACGAAATGACAAAAACCTAAAAACAGAGAAAAAACTGAGTTGTTTTGAATAAATGATGGAACGAACAGAAATTGATTGCGATGAATATTGGGAAACAAAGGTCGCGTTCAATACTAAGCCGCCGTGGCTGAGGACCCGGGCACACTGTTACCAGAAAGGCTGAATGCATGCAAAAACTCGTATTCGCTTTTTTTTTCTATCAACTGGAGGGGAGGCGGAGGGGGAGGGGATTTTTCTCGTGTCGCGACGAAATTTACATGATTCTCCCAAAGATCTGTAATATTCTCATGTCCCCCCAGAGGCAGTTAATTGGCGGTTAACTTTCCCCCTTAATATTTAAGATGGACGGCTGATTCCCCACCCCTGCCGATAAATAATAGCTGGGCATTTAAAGGCTTTTTGCTTTGTAAAGGGAAAAAATCTTGTGTGTTGCTTATTGAAAGAGCAAAAACGCGGCCAGCGTAAAGTTTTCTCCTGTCCAAAATGGAACGAGATTCCTGTTACCAATTCAAAGAAGTATGATTTACACTTTGATGAATCTGGTGGGAAACATGTACTGAGTGCAAGAAGTTGACTAAAGTGTAAACTTCCATATATTATATATAATTAAACGCTATACTTCCAAAAAAATGAAAAGCGTTTACTTACCCTTGTTTTTGACACCCTTTGGTTCAATGAGCTGTTTGTTTTTTATAGCCCATCCTTCAAGACACAAGAAAGACACAACATGAAGTAGCAAGTCGGTGTCGGAGAAAGGTCAAAGGTAGGAAATAATCAGACTTGATGCTTGTTTTTAACTCTCGAACCGAAAGAGTTGAGAAAAGGTTTGTACATGTTATGAACTCTCTCGAACTCAGGTGTGAAGCCATAGCGGAGTTTTAGAAATATTTGAAATATTTGTACGACCCCACTACTCACCGGACTCGCAGCCGTACAGCTCAAGACTCAAACACTGACGTCCGCGCCATGCGTGAAGCTTCATACGGAAAAACCGCGCATGGAGAAGAGGGTCGAAAGACTGGTAACCAACTCTGGCTTTGTAGTAGTTCTTGCGAACAGACTTGTGTTCCCGGTTGCTGTGAAAATGCTGAAATGAAAGTTAGTGGTATGTACAATCAAAAAGACTTTTTATCATGGTGCCACTGACTCTTTATGAATAAGCTTTTCATGGATTGAACGAGATAGCTGGATATTGGCCGAGTTCTTTTTTTGCGTTTTTATGGACCGAGAGAAGGTCGAGGTCCATAAAAACGTTAAAAAAGAACGATGCTAATATCCAGCCACCTTGACCGAACCAGCTTAGTAAATAAAGGACTCATCAGATAGCAAACAGATTTCTTTATTAGGGATCAAGAATTACTTGTTTATTTCGAGAGTCGGGAAAGACAGCTAACTGTGTTTGTAACACAATCAACCCAAGAGAGTCGTTTATGTTTTCTCTGTTTGACTGTCTTTCGCCATTTTTTGTGACTCCATCACCGACACTGTCCAAAATTTACGAACTTGGTAAGTCAGCTCCATGCAATGATTTTCTTGCGTGGAATCAATGCGGGCAATACCGAGAATCTTCCCCGCTCGGGTAGCCAATCAGAACACAGGATTCGCTTCATATTGCCCTAGAGCGCTACCAACGATATAATAAATCCTTCCCTCCCATCTTCCATTGTTGACGGCTTTATTCCCTTAGATGTTTCTTCAGTTAGAAATATGTATTAGGAAGAAGTGTAAGGTATCAGTAGTGGTTATCACAACTTATTTATTTCCAAAGATCAGAACAATCGGATAACAACCATAGTGAAGCCGAGTGTGTATTGACGAGGTAACTCTCTAGGGTTAATTTTTCTCGTGTCGACTTGGAATTTGGATTGGTGCTTTTTGCGGAAGAGAGAAACCAAAGAGCCCGATTAAAAAAAAAAAATTTGTGGTAAAAGTGAGAACCAAACTCAAAGTAATTCTATTTGTTTTTTTGGTTTTTTTTTGTGAGGTCATTCTGGCAGAAGATTCTGGAACGAAACCCTAAAACTCATAGGTAGAGGACGAGGTGCTATGGCAATCGCTCTCACCCGTGTGCCATCCTTTTACCCGATATAGAGGACAGATCTAACGATTAGAATCTTCTTACCCGAGGGTTACCATGTTCATCTTTGATCACAGTCCATAGTCGCCCATCTGGACTGAATTCCACACTATAATGAGTCACTCTCCACTTCCATTCCGATTGGGCAGATCGGCTTTCACGCCAATTCCATCCCTCTATCAGAACACCTGATATAAGTTTCATTGCGCCTAAAAAGAAAAGGATTTCCAACCATCAATGATAACAATAACAGCGACAGTAACGTTAATAATAATGACGATGAAAATTGTAATTATAGTAATAATATGACAATATGACGCAGTCGAAATAAAGTAACAATGATACATTACTAAAAGAATTAATAGGAAGGAGGAGAACCGTTGTCTTAATTTGTTAAAACTTATTTGAGTTCCAAATTTAATTTGATCTCAGTCCGACCTAACAAATTTTAAATTACAACAATTTGTTTTTGGGATCCGATTGTTGACCGACGGTATCCGACGATTTATACTCATGACTATATGAAGACTGAGTTTCTTCCGACGAGTCTAAGACTGTCCCAATCGTGATCTGACCTCAGTTTTAGACCCCTTTTTTTAGAAACTCTTCTTTCATATAGATGAGAGTTTAAAATGGCACGAAGCTTTAACATTTTACACCGCTACTTTGGGCAACATTCGGAATTCATGTAAGCATATTCAAAAATCTTCGTCAGAATCTCACATCTATTTAACTCCGGAAAAGCAGGCAGGTACATGTAAATCAGCAAATGGATTCCACTTTGCCGTTCGTCTGTTCATTTATTGATCACAGATGACTTCATGACGTTTTAACAGCAAAAATGTAGCAAACGACGTACAATCAAGTTCGTCACCGATGTTCTTATCAGACCAAACGCACGGCAACATGGCACCAATTAAGAGAGCAAAATTCTTTAACTGATAGCGTCTGTCCTCCAATATTTCATAGGCAAGAACCAAAAAAAAAGCGTGTATCATTTAGCTATTGATATGAACAGTTATATTACCCAGGTCGACTTGGACCCATTCTTTGAAGGTTCTATCCTTTACGCACCAAGGGACACTCTCATTCACAACTCGAAGAGGGTCTCCAAAAAGATAATGTTCGGATGAAACTTGGATTTGCTGTCTGGGGTCGAAGTCTTCGCCCCTCAGTAGTGGTTTCATGCAGTCTGCAACCAATAGATAAATAGCAAGTATTTCACCCAGTTGAGAAAAATATAATCCTGTCTTTAACGAGCAGATCAAATCAATTGAAACAAATGATTGGTATGCAAGACATTGACATAGCACGATTTCTTGCAATAGTCGTATTTAATAACTTTTTTATAATAATTCATTGGCCTATTTCCATTATTCCATTTTAATTTTGACAGTCACTATCTGACGGTCCTGGGAGATGATTTGTCGTTTGCCAAGGACGAGCACAATCAAACCTACATTGAGCAGAATCAAGAGACTATAAACTATATTTGGAGTTCTACCTACATGGTGTGTCTTTCTTGATCATTGGAATCCAAAACTCAGCATCGATGACATGAGGAGATGGATTAAAGAGAAAAAGGAAAAAGAAGTGCGCAAATGCGCGCATGATGGAAATGAAAACACAACGGCGTTTTGTTTTTGAAATGAACAACAAAGGTTACCATCGCAACGAAATAAACATACCCGTCCACGCGCGCGCACAATAATTATGAAATGCGAAAAGGAGTGACGGGGAGAAAGAACTGAATTATTTGACCACGCAACATGTTTTTGTAAAAAAAAAAAAAAGATTTTCTTTCGCAAAAACAGTCGAATGTCCAACTCCGAAAAAGGATTATGAGATAATAAAATTCTGTCAATGACTGTGGATATATGAAAATCATATATGTGAACTGCGGTTTAATAAATGTAGACGAAAGCGATCTTTGCAGGAATGAACACTACCCAAGCAGTATTGAAAATAAGGCCTGAAAAAAATTCAGGCCTTTGCAGGATATGAACCTATGACCTATGCGATAACAGACATTGAATCATCGCTTCACGGGTTTATTGCGAGCCAACGTAATGGCAAATTCCCAGTTGGCTTGTTAGCTCAGTTGGTAGAGCGCTGCACCGGTGTCGCCGAGGTCATGGGTTCAAATCAGGTAGAGGCCTGAAAAGTTTCCCTTTAAAGGAAGAGGATCTAAATGGGGTGATGACTTTTTACGGCTAACGGTTAACATTTTGGGAAGTTTACCGCTAACAGTTAACTCAAAATGATACGTTGAAGAACGGAGAAAATTTCGGGCTCTCATTTACTCTTCGTTTTAATTATGTTAATTATAACTGTAGTTTAGGCAAAGAATAAATAGACATAAAGCATTGTTATTGTTTTTTTTACGTTATTTCAGTGAAATCTACCTTTTTGAGAAGATAAGATGAAAAAAAATCTCTATTATGCATATTATTCAGTCACTAATACAATGTCAAATTACGGTTTTTTTTCCGAATCTGCGACGATTTGTTTTGTCGATCTTCCAGTTTTTTTGTTATCCCCTCGAGTCGCACAGTGCCCACAAGCAAATTTTTTTTATCCTTTTTCAGTTTCTGAGTACTTGTTTGTTTACAGAACTTGTTTTCACACCGAACGTTTGGTTAATTCATTCCTTTTTTTATGTGCAAGTTGATTACATACAAAGCCATTCTTTCCACTTGCCTCTTGATAAGCTGGCTGAGCGTGCAAAAATAGCTCTGTGCCAAATCTGTGACGTTTCTGCCTGTTATTGGCTGAAGTCACTAATCCATATTCATCAAAATCAGAGAATTTTCAGCAAACCACGCTGTCTAGCGAAAGTGGAGACGTGTCGTTGTTATTCCTAAAATAAAACGATGCTCCACTCTAGAAGAAATAAGACCCTTGAACTATAAAGAAAAGCAACAGATACGAGGAAGCGTTTTTATCATGAAAAAAAGGTGAGCATTGCTTTCGAAAATACTTACGTTTTCCTCTTTCAGCGAGCTGAACGAGTCAAACTTCTTAGGCAAACGAGTCGACACGTGTTGGTTATTTCGTTTTAGGGCATTTCAACTAAATGTTCGACTGAGTGAGGTTGTCTGCCTCTGCGAAGGTTGTAAATGAAATATTTTCCTATGGTTGATATTGATCGAAAAATAATATTGGATTTATTGTGAGCGGTATTCAACAGTTCAGGGCGGCCACGTTGAGTTTCAAAGATTCTTCGCAAAATATCTTCCCTTTGGCCATAATTTTATTTGACGAAAGACATGATACACAATTACTATTTCAGTTTAATAGTACTTCTTCTGATTAATTGTTTTCTAATCTTCGAGAAGATTAAAAGTTGTAAGCATTCCCTAATCACATTGATAATTCATTTTTTCAGGAAGAGGAATGTTGTTAAATGCGGATGGGAGGACGGAGAATCTGGCCAAGAAGAGGTGACGGAATCGTTGAATTTGATGAGGAAACCGCAAAGCTAAGATCTTTGAAAATATTGATTAAAAATAGCAAAAATGGTGGCTATATAAATGTTATTTTTGTAAAAAAAACTGCTCTCTACCAATTGTCCAATTTCTTTAATTTGTGCTTGGAAATGGACTGAAGTACTCGATAAGTGAACAACGTACATCTAGCCACCATTTTTGAATTAATTTTGTTGTGATATGGATTGTTCTGCGAACCTTGAGCGATCATATTCATCATTTGTTAATTTTTTACCTGACAACTCCAATTTGGATTAATTTATTCAAATGAATTCTCGTACATGGCGTTAGAAGAAGTAGTCAAGTTGGATTTTGATCAGAATAGTGGACACTGTTTAAAATTTAATTTGGTTTGACTGATCGCTCATTTTTTGTTTGCTTAACAGTTGGTGTCACTGTAATGACTTAGTTGACGTCGTAATAGGTGATACTCATTGCGATGGCACTGCAATAAAATGTCTCAGGAGACCAAATGAAACTTGAAAATTCAAATCTCGAGATAATGAAATTGACCCAGTTTTTTTCATTTGCCATCATTTGGGCAATAAACCTCACTATTGACTAGGAATTTGCTCGATGGAAACTTGGACACCTTTTCAACGACTGACTTGGGAAATTTGGTTTACTAACTAAGGACAGAATGCTCAGCATTTATAAAAACGACTTCTTTACGACATTTACGCAACCGAAAAACCCATTTGTCGTTTTTCAAAAGCCAGGCGCGGACAATGCTGAAGACCTCATTTACACAGATAAAAATCCATTTTTAATAGGGACTTCCTTCCCTCCAGCGATCTCACTACACCTTGGTCAGTTTCCTTTGTGAGACGCAAACCATTATAGTGCCATCTTAAACTTGTATACACCTCTTTGTCTCGTCAACTGAGACCGGTTTCACTGTGCAAGAGGACACTCAACGATTCGAAAATATTCTGATCCAAGTCATTATACTTGGTGTTTAGGTCGACAAAGCCGTTTTTTCCTCAAGTTTGTGGATTGTGTGCGCTTATGTCCTCTTGTAATTTTAAAAGCTATACCTTCTAAAACTATAAAGCCTGGCCTCGGTAGGTTATTTTACTGAAATACCAGTTAAGCTGTGTTACATAAACCAGTCCAAAAAGATCCCAGAGTTCAAGACGATGAATTAAAGATTTTTATCGTGGTGGTAACTTATCTTCCAGATCGTATAAAAATATCTGTCATTCGTTAAAAAAAAAAAATTAAAAAAGCAAGGAAAAAGGCAACAGTGAGTCTGACTATTGCCAATCGTAGAGAGAAATTAGGTTTTTATGTATCGAGGAAAATTCTATCAGATTGAAATGAAGTTGCTAACCTTCTCCACGAATCGTTGAAAAATGACTTTACTTGATTGGATGAACAGTAATACAAACAAGCATGCATGCTAATCTGGTATTGATCGTTTAGGAAATCAATTATATGCCAAACTAGTCTATTAAACAACATGATTATCCTTTCTAATTAAATATTACTTCGAAACCACGAAGCATTTCATGAGAGATAGGAAGAATTTGGGCGTTTCGTTCTAGAATTAAATTGCTTCAAAATAATAAATTCAATTATTTGCATGCGTTACTTTCGATGAACCTGGCAGAATCTGGATTTCTTACATAATAAATTAATAAATTTCGTTCAACTCGCTCTTCGCATACTAATAACCAAAAATTTAAAAGGTTTCAGTATGAAACACTGACCATTTGTTTTTTTTAGGGGGTTAAAAATTTGTAAAAAAAAAATTATTGCCTGAAATGTAAACTAGTTCAAAAATGTATGTACAGGGTTCGATTGTTTTCAGATGCTTACAAATTACATTCCTTTTGCTGGTTTATGTAACGGTTATTACAATTAGAACCTCTTACATCGCGAAAACTTGTAGGGTGAGCAGGCATTTAGTTTTATAAGGTAATACTATTAGTTAAATTATTTGTTGTAGTGGAAGGGAAGATCTTTTGCGATGTCATTCAGTGTAACACAGGAATACAGAAAAAACTTTTCACAAAATCTGGTGACTTTATTTTCAAATTTTATGGATTCAGAGCAAAAGGAACTCGAAAAAGATAATTATCTTCATCTTTGTGGCAGAGCCAAATTTGAACAATTTCCCATGGAAGTTTGAATAATTTTTTTTGCTTTGTGTATTTCAATACTTGGAGCCTAATTGTGAAATGATAAAGCTCCTGTGGCTCATTTCAAATTTAAACTGTTTGCTCCAACAATTGGAGTATTTCAATCTTAAATTTGCTTTGGCAATTTAGTTGAAAACAAATTGGAACCCAATTGTGAAATTTCATAGTTCCCGCAGCTAAAATAGGCATGCTCCAACTATTTCATATCAAGTATATCATTTCAAGTATCCGGCGGTTAAGCCTTCAGATGGAAAATACATCTTCCTTTTTTTCCATGTTGAGAACACGAAATGAGTCATTGTTAGCACTTTCGGCCAAAAACAAAGTAAAGCGTTTTTTTCGCCATTTCAAAAGTTTGGATGATTTTTTGATCTGTGTCTTTTAATTTTCCATCCTGTGTTGCATTTGTAAAGGGATATCTTGAAGATCTTTTATCCTTTAAAGGCATCATGGCAAGTTTTGAGGAAAGTGTTGTTTAGATAAGAAACAATTTTGATCGTACTATTCTTTAGAAAAGAAATAATTTTGATCTAACTATCCCAAACTTGCCATGATGCTTTTTTTGCTTAAAACAATGAAACATCATCTCGTGCAAGAAAGTTTAGAAAGAAAATCAAGAAATTACATAGTTTTTACAAGAAAAATTCGATTTGACACAAAGGGAATAATTTTTCTTGTACGAGATGTTGTTCGAGTAATTTTTGGCGGAAAACGTTAAAGGACACCTTGTTTGATTTTTTGGCAAAAACTTTTTCAGGGGAAACTCTGTGCAAATCGTTCCAAATTTTCCCGCCAAAAGTCTTAGTATATATACGAAAATTTTTTTAATCATTCAAATTAAAAATTACTTAATTAAATAAAACAATTTTCTAAGTGAAACATTCGTGGTTTACTGAGTGCGTATATTGAAAGACAATAAAAGATTACACCAAAAACTGACTGCTTTATTTCATTGACTTGTTTATTAGTAGATAACAATACGGGAAGACAACAAGTGAAAAATATTAACTTAATTGGTGAAATTAAATTTTTAAAAAAAATCAGGCGCATGCGTATTTTGGGCACCGTATTTTTTCTAAGTTTTTTGGCGGGAAAATTAAACGCATTTGAACAGATGTTACTTACAGAACCAATATATAAACTTAGCGCATGCGTAGAAAAGCTCCCGTATTTTTGGCGGGAAAGTTTTAGGCAGCTTTTCAAATATATATTTTACAGCAAAGTCTAACAAAATTGCGATTACTTTTGGCTCCAAGTCTTGGATGATGGCAAATAAATCTTAGCTCTGAATTGCCGTACTCGATGAGGAAAAACTGTACTTCATTTACTCTATACTTCTGAATAAATCAAGTCTTTCAAATTAAAGTACTTCGCCATCAAATGGTGCCTGAAACCTCAGAGATATTCACCAACCAAGCTGCCAAAAAAAAGAAAGAAAAATCAATAACTGTGAAGAAATTAACTACCACACTCGTGACAAGACGAAAAAAATCATCTTTCTCTTTTTCTTTACCGAGCTCAAAACTTACCATCTCTCTTATTTCTATCTACAAACCTTACGCTATCGACATTGCTGATACTAGCAGTATGCAAGACGCGTGCCATATGAACTTCGTAATAGACTTCCCTCACCGTGGAGTCTCTGTGGCTCTGTGGTAGAGCGCATCGGAGCGCGGAATCCGAAGGAATCCGAAGGAATCCGTCTTGTCACGCTCGAGAGAAGACAAAAAAAAATCTTTCTCAATTAACTACCTGTAGTTCGGTGGTTTGCCAGCAAAACACTGATCTTATTCTTGATGTTTGACGCGTTTAATTCATTACGCAAATCTTTAAGTAAAAAGCAGTTACACGAAGAACGAGAAAAAAAAAGAGCTTGGATTTAACCGCGATGAATTCAAATTGATTTCTGTTGATACTGAAATAAATTCGAGGGATTTAGTTTTTTTGTTTTTGTTTTCGAAATGAATACAATTCATATTAATTTTAGCTCATCTCTCAATTGTTTTCAAAGCTATTTAAGGTTAAGTGTACAGGATATAATTTTGGATGAAGCAACAACAAGCGGCTAATCTCAACGGTCACCTCAGAAATCATGAAAAAAAATTGAATAATACAACTGCACCAATTAAGCTTCTGTATTTTACCAGGTCTGTATCAATCTTTTCAATCGACAAAATACCAAGCTCATCTTTTATTTTCATAAAAGAAAAAGCTAAATCCTGGTCGCACCCCCTAAACTTTAATATATTTGAATAACAATTCTTATTCCCTAACGGGTTTGCGAGGAAGAAAAGCTACTACTTTTTTTCTTCGGCAACATCTATTTTCGAAACTTATTCTCTTAAAAGAAACTTTGACAAAATGAGTCCTCTAAAATATTTCAGTTTTGTAAAGAAAATTTAGACAAGATTTCCGCAGAGTCCATCCTTCATTATTCATTCAGTTCTTGGACTAAGAAAACAATGGCGAAAACGATTGAATGCCGTTGGCATTACGGCTTTGTTTTGCAATAGCACTAGGCTGTGCGGAAATCTTTCTCAAGCTTGAACAGTCCTAAAAATTAAATCAAGTGATTTATCAGAAACATCTTTTGCTTATTAAAGGTTGATTCCAGTTTTCGAAAATTACAACCTACTTTTTTTTTCGGGTTTTGTAGTATCGTAAAGAGAAGGTTCAAACTGGGAAGATAAATTTTTACAACTTCTTTGCTATGGTAAATAAGTACTAAAAACTAGCCATATTTAATGGGACATTTTTTTTTAAATTATTTCAACTCAAAATCCTTATAGTTTCCATGAACTACGTCTTTCTCATGAAGGCGTTAAGGTTACAGCATGGAGCTGGTTTATTAAAACGCATAGAATAATTCTGATAAAAATTTGATAAGAATAGACTTCAAGGTTTTCCCTGAATGAAGTTATTAAATTGAATTAAAATTAACAGTGCATTTAACTTATCAGCAATCCAACAAAAATTGTAGCAAAAGACATTTAATTGAATATCTCTTTTAGATGACACTCTTAAAAAAAGGTGTTATTTTTTCATTCAGTGATCTCAGAACAATAACCTCATCACGAACCGAAGGCAAACGAGTTCTAGCCAAAAATACTGAAAGATTTTCAGGTTTTGAAGGTAATATTAAACAATTAGAATCCAAAGCTGTAACTGAATTAAGTAAAAGAACCGTGACTGACAAAAAAAATCAGCTGTAGAGGCTATAAAATTTATCAGTTTGCCTCCTCTTTTCTCTTAGTTCAGTAATCTTTATTCATTTTAATTTAAGGTAGCCTAAGAATTATATACCCCGTCAAATGGTTACGAATTTTTAGCATTCTCTACGAAAAGCCTGTCCAAAAAATGGGATTAACTAGCTCCCTCTCTCTTCTATTATTGTCAAAGGAGGATTTGACATACTAAACCGTACTACGGTAATATCTTTACGATGTTCGCGAGTCATGTTTTGGTGAAAAGTGTTTTGCCATCAACAGATACAAATTTGTAGAACTAATTTATAAAAAAAAAACCCAACAATAACAATATAAAAAAAAACAGTGCTATAAACTGCTGAAAACCACCTCAGTCAGAAATCCAAGAGATCCTTATCAAAGACTTTGACATATTTCCTTGTTTGCATTTTCCTTCTTTTTTTTATCGCAGTAAAAGACATCCGTTAAATCTAGGTCGGAGCGTTCAATGGAGACCAGAATTACAAGCGCAGATAGTTAATTTGTCGAAAATAAATAGTAATGATGCATGGTGATAGGGCATCGGAGCGCGGAATCTGAAGGTCTGAGGTTTGATTCCTCATGAGAACTCAGAATTTTTTCTTTGTCCCACGCTCGTGACAAGACCTAAAAAACATCCTCATCCTCAGTATTCAATAATGATAATTATAACATAACTAACCTTGTTAAAAATATCCTGGTTTCCTTTGCATCCTTGAAATTCTTCATACCGGGGTACTTTCATACTGTACTTGATAATGTACTAAAGATAGGGAAGAGAGAAACATCATTTCGAATTCAGTACACAACAACCATCTTTATCTAGGAACTTTTTAGTCTTTATGATAAAGATGATCTATTTTCGGACCCAATATTATAGAGCCAAGGTGTTTTACTGAACGAGACAACTTAAAAGTTTCTTGCGACGATTGAGCAATTAGACATCTGATCAGGTACCAAGCTCATTTTGAATTTTGTCACTTAAAGTGTGCGTCGAAATGCTATAACAATCTCACTCCTAATTTTTTGTGGAGATTGGGAGGTACGGAAATAACAAACGCGTTAAAAGGCAAATTAAAGATGAAAACGTCATAAGTAGAAATAGCTTATCGATAGTATCAAAATAATTACAGAGGTGGGAGACGCGAGCAGTATGACTTTCCTGCTGTTGCCGTAAAAATCGCGCGCATGTATGGTTCAGTAAGAAGTGACTGTCATGGCGGACGCCATTTAGGAGTTCTACTTCATTTTACTTTGTGCGCTATATAGTTTCGTTCTTAAAATTTAACTTTCAAGGGCAGCAACAGAAAACACTGACGTCGTATTTCAATAAGAAATGCATCTTTACACTGTTTATTTACCTTAGAAGATAAGTTGTGGCAAACATACTTTCAATCCTCGACCTCGAAGCTCAAGTAAACCACTGGAATCAGCAACCTCGCAACCTTGATAAAACTGACGATATCCAGGGTAATAACGTTGAAATTATGACTTTCTTTGCACCAGAAAAGCTGCAAAAGACGCCATAACTTCTTGAAGCTCGTGAGTTCTTTCCACGTGCAAGACTAGTAGCAAACATGAATACTGATTTTCAAAGGTATTTGTTATTCAAATGAGTTTGGCCACTTTTTATCGACAAGCTTTACGGTTAGTTTCGTCGATCGTAAAATAAAATAGGATGGTAAACTATCGGCTGATTTTAAACTCAGTGAAGCCCAGCAGAGCCCCAGGGGTTAAATATTATCCTAGAAGAAGATTTTTTTTTCCAAATTCTTTTCCATCAGCTAACTAAACTTCCCACCATCTCCCTCTGTTCTGCTTTTGCCTTAAGATTTCGAATTCGTGCGCCCCTGTCGATGAAGGAGAAACAGCTGTTTGTAATCACTTTTCCATCGTTTAGAGAAACGCATCGACACTCAGTATCGTTAAGCTACTGCCTATATCCCACGGGCCGTTTTCGCTAGTTGCTGCACAAACTCGTGGAAGGAAGTGCCCCACTCTGCATTTTAACTCTTCGTTTCCAGGGCCCTAACCTTTTCAAGCAAACTGCGTGCAAGATGGAGATATCGATCTACGATAGTACGGTAGGGTACACTTAAAATCACAAAGGGGACATTGGTACCTCCGGTTGACGTCAAGGCATGAAATGATCGAAGGATCAGAATTACCCGGAATTCTGGTGTTTTGGGGTAAAATTAAAATGATTCAAAAATCATGGAATCACTGACAAAAAAATATCCTTAGTTAAGAGCGTATATAAGTTTTAATCTTCAATAAAAATGGACCTAATAACAACGAATTAACTTTTAATAAGGGCAATAATATATAATGTAGTAAAACTAATACATAAAACCATTTAATATGGTGAGTATGCAGGTTTTTAGAACAATGGAGCTGCCCACGGTGCAAGGCTGGTCGGAAAATTATCTTTCTATAAAATATAGCATTAAATAAGACAAACTGCTTCTTCAAAACTTGCATGTTATTCCAGTTGTGTTCACACATCCTCCATCTTACAGTAAATAGTTTAAACCCGGGGGTAGCATGTGATAGTGTGGTCTGATCGCCCGGGTGAGTGTAGTCCTGAGAGAAGGACGGAAGCGGTCATCATCAGAGTCAAGTGACTTCGGCTCAGGTTGTCGAAACTTCAATGACCACTACTGACAACACTCCTTCTCAAGACTGTTGGGATGAACAGACTACACTATCACATTTTCCATTTTCCTAATTACCCTGATCTTCCCTTACTTGCTTCGCTTTTTCAGTTATTCCCGAAAACTGCCTGCATGCAACAGGCATCGCCCTCTCTCAGTTGGAATTTGCTCATAACATGAACTCTGGATTCTGGATATCCCAAAACCTCAGTCCCTTGTACAACTTGTAGACAGCTTGTCTCTCATACAAAACGTTTTACAAAAGGTGTAGCGTTAAGGTGTGTTTTAGACACATACAGTATCTTCCTAACATTAGAAAGCCATGATAGCTCTACAAAGTTTTATAGGTGGAAAAAGGAAATTTAAAACTTTTGCTCTTTGCCAATAAAATAATCAACATGGAGGCAGGGGAAGCGTGAGAAGGGGTGGGCAGGGAATTTAGAGTCTACGTCTTTCTGTACCCTGTTCTCCCCTCCCACTGCATCTTTGACTCCAATCTTCCTTAACAAATTTTGGCAACTACTTTTCCAGCGGAAGTTACAAATTTTGCAATCTTTGGCTTAACAGGTCAAATACATAAATATCTGCAAGAACTATTTATTTTTTTAATATTGCACAAAACTTCCCTTCTCTTTCTTTTATCTTTCCTTTGCGAATAAAACTACAATTTGCCAAATGACAGTTTTGAAAAAGGTTCAGCTCAGAGCCATGCTTTAGTGCAAAACACTTCAGATCTGTTTCTGTTTCCTGACCTCTTAGGGGTTGTTATTTACACAACGTCTAACCCAAACCACGGTTTTAAGCAAGCAGTGAGCCTCAGGTATTCTCCATAAGAAGGTTGATTTAATTAAATACATGTTATTTCCACTGTTAGCTTTTGAACCTCTTGACACTGTTCACACGAAAAAAAGATGGTTGGGCTAAATTGATGATAGTTTAAAATGAGGTTTTGTTAAACAACGGCTAAGCTTTGTTTAAATAACCGGCCTTTAACCCTTTCACTCCCATAATTGACCAAGACAGAATTTCTCCTTACAATATCAATACAATATCAAGCAGACAAGTGATGAGAATACAGGAAAATATTAATTTGGGGATTATTAGTTGATCCAATACCAAATTCTCCAAATTAACATAACAAGGACTATACAGCAAACAGTAGGGAGAATTACAAATGAGATCTTGGGAATGAAAGAGTTAAAGTTTACACCCTCCCTACCCATTCCTCTCCAGCCTGCAGTAACCCACCACCCCTACCCTGCTGGTCTCTCAACCTACCTAACCCCTCTCTCCCCCTTTCCCTCTTTGTAAAAATGACACGGTGCAGCTCTTTCAACAAATGCTCAACTGAGATAATATGAGCAAAAAATGGTGACTAGCTATTGATTCAATTGTGTTGCTACTGGTGATACAGCTGATGTACTAGGCTGTGGTATTTGTTGTTGTTGTTGTTGTTGCTGAGCCAACGTTTGAGCTTGTTGAAGCTGCTGGAATTCTTCCTGTTCAGCCTATAAGTAATAGTATTAGAACTGAGCAGAGTCCAATTCAATCTGTGAGCGTATGAGTGATACCAAAATTGGACAACTGTGCAGTGAGAGTCAAATTTGTTTATCACAGACCTGTATGATTACAAACTAAATTGGACAACATGAAGTCTTATTACCAATTAATCATAAAAATTACAATTTCAGAGAAAAGAAGATGAGCTATGGTATAAAAGGAAGGGAAAATATGCTCTAAGTTAGGAGTCTGTGCATTGTTTCTATGGTGATTGAAATCAAGATTGTGATTGGTTGTTTTAAACTACAACTTTGAATGTGATTAGTTGATTTTAAACTACAATTTGAATGTGATTGGTTGATTTACACTACAACTTTCAATGTGATTGGCTTATTGAACTGTCCTATAACAAACTTTTTCAAACCAATCACAATTGAGGAAATTGTGATTTCTATGATTATGTAAAAAAAAAAAAAAACCCATGTGACCAAGGTCCCTATCATTACTCAGAATTGTTAATTTTAACAAGTAACCCTGTATGCTAATACAATTGTCATCTACACCAATTGGGTTTTCATCAACTGCATTAAAAAAACTCCCATGTTGATCAACATATAACATCTCCTTGAAATTCCAATATGTAATCTTGTAAACAGAAAATGAGCACAAACTACCCAATCAGATAATGGTTCTCAACTTGATTTAGCACTATATCCTACTGTCTAATTTACAGGGAAATTCATGGTCATAAGTGGAGAGAATCACTAGTTGGATCATGGGAGAGTTCTCCAATCTCTGACACCTAATGCATGTACTGTACCTGAGCTTGCTTTATTCTTGCTTGCTGAAAGAGTTCCTGCTGTTGCCGCAACAACTCTTCTTCAGGGATACCCTGAAAATGATATGGATGTAAATAAAAAAAGTATGATGGAGATACAACAACCAAAGATGTTATACATTTGACCTGACAAAAATTGGCAGCAAAAAAAATCTGCGTCTTTTGTGAAGATTCACACCTCATTCTAGTCCAATTTGCAGAAAGATTTTCTTCCAATTTGGTAACCTACGGTACAGTACAAATGACTACCTAGCGAATCTTTTGATACATTAAGTTTATAAACCGCAATTACAAGAATAAATAAACAACCCTGTACAGTCAAAAAAATTGGAATTTCAAGATAAATCAAAGAATATTCCCTGGTTAAAATGTTTTTGCTAACTCCTTGTCAACATTCTGATTGAAAAGTTGTCTTTGAACTTTTGGCCATAATTGAGAGTGGAATGGTTATGATACTGCATGAGTATGTCTATTCTTACCAGATTCTCCAGTCGTGTACTGGCTCTTCTTTTGTTCTGTCAAGGAAATAAATGTTAGTTTCATTCTAAAAGTCAGAGACACAGTGGCTTAGCAGTTAATTCACTTTTGCTTTTAGAGAGGTCCAAGTTTGAGATCTAGTTGAGTCATTGTGTTGTGTTCCAAGGAAACACACTTTAATTTCACAGTGCTTCTCTCTACCCAGCAGTAAAGATGGGTAGGCCATGATCTCAAAGGGAAGGGTAAAGAAGTGCTGAGGGGTGACTTTCTAAAAGACTACCATCCCATCCAGGGGGAAAGGGGGGAGGGGAAGTAATTCTTCTTGTTGTTTCATGCTATAGAAACAGGGATAGGCTCCAGCTGGCTGGGTGGGTCACTTGGTGCAAGAGACAGCAAGATCTCTATTACTCATTACATCAGACTACAGATTATAAGGTCCAGACTGGATCACTGTGTTGTGTTCTTGGACAAAACACTTTACTTTTATGGTACTACCTAGGGGTGTAAATGACTAACAGTGCTTCTGTCTACCTGAGGATATAAATGGGGTTTAGGTCACTATGACTCTGTCTACTCAGGGGCATAAATGAGTACAGGTCACAACACCTCTATCCACCCAGGGGTAAAAATGGGTTCAGGTCACAGTACCTCTGTCTACCCAGGGGTACCAATGAAAACCTGCCTAGAGAAACAAATGCATAAATTCAATTCACTTACTGCAGCTTGTGTTTTACATTCTTGAAGGACTGATCTCACTTCTTCAATGTAGGAAGTAAAACCCAATCCCTTGAAAATTAAAAAAAAAGGTTCATTTATTCAGAATATAATTATTTCATTCAAGGAATGAAATTTGATACCAAACAAGAAAAACTAATTATCACCCTTAACCCTTTCCCTCCCACTAGTGACCAAGACAGAATTTCTCCTTACAATATCAATACAATCTAAAGTAGACAAGTGATGAGAATATAGAAAAATGTCAATTAGTGCATTATCATTTGATTCAATAGCGAATTCTCCAAACTAAAATTATAAGAAATGTACAGTGGACAATAAAGAGATTTACTGAAGAGATCATTGGAGTGAAAGGGTTAATTTATCATTTTAGATAAGACATCTTAACCTTATATTATAGAGAGCATGCATCATGTATACCTTGCAACCTTTAGTGTTAAGAGAAGATATAATTTTTTATAAACATGTATCACCAACCCAAAACAACAGAGTAATTTGAGCAAAAGATATAAAAATAAATGCTAAAAAAATTGGAGGAAAAAATCAGAGAAAAACTTCCTTCTTCCATGAAGTTCCTATTTCGAATCCCTGTTAAAGAGTTTTCAATGACATGTGAAAGAAAAAACAGCAGATAGTTACTCATCAAGAGGATAAAATTAACCTTTTATACCATAACTTCAGTAGTCTGGATGTTTTAACAACTCTGTTAACCCATCAGAAGCCAACAATGCTGGTAAAACTGGATTAAAACTATCAGATATAACATTCACCTGTAAAGCTTGAAAAACATGCTCTGGTAGAATTGTCTTCTTCATCTGACGATTACAAATTTCATTTGCCTCTGATGAAACTAAATGAATGAACTCTGCAATGCAAGAAATAATACCAAACCATAAATATATGTATGTGTACAGTGAAAAAAAAGAATCAGTTCAATGGCAGGCATCATTATCATTAATATGTTTAATGCCATCATCAAAATTAATATTGACCCAAGTTGGTTGAAAGAAAATTTTATAATCACCTGTACAGCAGTTTAGAATAAGTTCTCTAGCATCATTAGAAACTCGCACATTTGGTATCATCTCCTTAATCATCTTGTTAACAGCAGCTATCAAGAATAAAGAATTTATCAATTGAAGATATGCTGTATCCATTGATGGAACAGTATAAATTTAAATATGAGTAAATTTAAATTTCAGCAGGAATATTTCGAGCAGGAAATTACAGTTTGATTGTACGCCACAATGTATCGAGTACTCTAATCAAATTCCTCGATCTCAAACCCGTGTTTTGGAGATGAATAAATAAGACGCTATGTAGATGTATATGAAAGCCAGTCAACCTCACTTCTTGACAATTCAATTCACAGGACTAAAAAAATTGTCTAGAAACCTAAACTGGTATCCAATCTCATTCATTTTCTTGTTCATAAAAATTCAAATGCAAAAATACTCTATAGATCTAACGTTCGCTCTCATAATCAAACAGGGAAGTAAGCTTGTACAAGTGACCGAGAAGGACCAATTTAGAGACAAACATCATATTTTTACGGCGAAACAAGACATTTATGACTAGAGTATGAAATTTGTATCCGATAATTATAGAAATAAAGAGTAACGTGTCTCAATAATCACATAAATTCATCACAAACCTCTTGGCAATGTCACATCATCGTCAGCTGCGGCTTCCGCCATCTTGGACTATAGAAATACACTAGAATCCATCTTATATCAAGTATCTATCATAGCGAAATGCCTAGTCAGCGCGGGCTCATGTTAATGACACGCTTCATCTCCTTGTGAGCTGACGCACACGATGTAAACACCGAAGGCTTTTCTCAAGAATTATCAGGAGAAATACTAGGGATATAACCGTGGAGTAAATTGCTTTAGGAGAAACATACAAGCGGGAAAAAAATAGAAAACTGCAATTGCAAGTAGGATCTAAGTGGGGAACTGGATAGCATTAGTGCGAGCTGTTAATTTAATTTTGTCAATTCTCTGAACCTTTTTTCGGATAATATATTTATAATGCAAAGAAAAGATTCATGTTTATCACTTCATAGGGCTGTATAGTTTAGGGCAGTGCAGTTTACTAGAGAAGACTGGCACTGGAGATCGGGGAAGAATAGCGGTCCCGCAGTAGAAACAGTTCGCTGTTCCCATTTCTGAGACCCAAAGACGCGCCCAACCCTTTCTGGGCGATATTCAAGTCTGTAGATGCTCTTAACTCACGAAAAGATCAAAAAAATATATTGAATGAGTTCGGCCAACAAACAGAGGACGGTAGAGAAAAGACAGTGTGAAACTGAGGCTGCTCCATGTATTTGGCTGCCATTAACCCTTTAACTCCCAGAAGTGATTAACAAGTAACTTCTCCTTAAAATATCTAAACATTATCCAGCAAACAGGTCATGGGAATATTCATACTTATCATGTGGAAGTGGTTATCTCGATATGACACCAAATTCTCGTAACTTATTTACAAGGAAATGTGTAGCAGCTAGATGGGAGAATTAACAATCAGATCTGGGGAGTTAAAGGGTTAATTAAGCTATGGAGCGATGTCGCCAAATTGGATCCACACCAAATGGGACAAAAGTAACCTTTATTAATCTTTTCATACAGATGAATTATCTCAGCGAATTGCCTTATTGAATTTGTCTGATTACCTTGCTAAAAGAAATGTATAGTGGTAAATGTTTTGGCAGAGAGCCAATGGGACATCAATAAATAACAAAGACTAATAGCAGCTGATAATATCTCATGCACAGTTGATTGATTGACCAAAATTGATGGCTTTTCATCCTTTTTGGGTCTCCAAAAACTAAAACGATCTGAAATTATCTCCAAATCGAGCAAAATGAAGATAGCGAAATCTAGCGAGATTCGTGCGTCTCGGGCTTTTCGACGAAAAATGATCAAAATTAGTTTATCGCGAGAATCCGATGAAAATTCATCCAATTTTGAAGAAGCCTACTGTTTTGAGCGAATTTTCGGACTAAAATTTCGTACAGAGGCAAATGTAACTTCGAACTTATGGGCAAAAAATCTCTCCAGCACTTCGCTAAGTCTCTGTTCACGGAGGAAATGCTCCGGCTAAAAATGAGATTAGTCTGGCGGACTCAATCTCTTAATTAAATGCTTGATCCTCTCTTTTCTTAGTACAAAAAGGCATCAGGAGCCTCGTAGAAATTCTCAGCGGCAGACTTCGTCTCTCCATCGTAATTGCTAGCAAAGAAACCTGGTATGATAATTTTAGACCACGGCCGACTCGCCTTTGAAGAACGCTCGTTGATGTCTGGCGGACAAGTCTTGAGCCTCTTAAGCTGAGAACGATGTCTCTTTGCCATTTGTGAATAGTTTGTCTTGAAGTTACAATAAAATTCTTCCACAAAAGTCCTCATTTCTTGGAGATGTTTGGTGTTTTCTCCATCTGGGTCACCTGTTCCACAAAAACGAATAATATTTGCTGGAGAAGTCACGTGATGAATGATACGTCCTTGGCCCTCTTCATACGCAGATATCTAATTGCAAACTTTTTTAGATAACTTTCTCAAAGTGAAACGAAAGAATTAAATATTAGAACGACACGAAGATGAAATATTTGGTAACTTTTTCAAATTGGTATTCTCCCCGGCTCTCATTTCATTCGAAAATCACGTTCACATTAGAAACACGCTCTTGAATAAAGACACCACCGGCTCACAGGAAAGACGAGCTTTGGAGACGCGGTGGTCGCCCTAAGAAGACTCTAAATCTCTAAATTATGCACTAGTAACCATTCCCTCGCAACTGTTCGTAACTGAGCCTATTACAAATGCTCGCACGGGGTTGCTTGGAAAGATGCTTCGACTGAAAGCTGAAAGCTTCGCCTTTGGTTTGAAAATTAGCAGTACTGCTTGTTGTATTTAATACTCACCGAGGTGTTCTTTCTTTCGCCCAGAAAACCATTGTATGAATTCCAATATAAGTCCCAGTAGAATTGCCAGCGACACGACTCCAGCCGCAGTGTACGTAAGATACCTGAACATGGTGTTCTTCGGATCAAACAAACCTGACGCAGTTTCCACACTTTCAGAGACGCGATCTTCCTATCGAAATGAAAAAAAAAGGAAATTGATGTCGAAACGACGAAGTGATTTGGTGGGACGCTACGAGAGAAAAAGGATCGCGAAGAGGCTTGAAACAAATGGTAGCAGTAAGCCGGTCATTCGTTAGGTGATCTCATCATTCATCAGCTATCCAATCGGTTGGTCAGTCGTCGTTCGTTCGTTTATAGGGTTATTCGATTGTTCGGTTGTTCAGTCGTTCGTATGCTGGTTTGTTCGTAGGTCGGTTTATTCGTTTGTTCGTTCCGTCGTCGGTTCGTTCGTTTTTTCGGTCGTTCACGGTTCATTCATAAATTCGCTTGTTCGTTCGAGGTTCGTTTGTTTGTTCGCTCGTTCCAGGTCCTTAATCACAACTAACATACACGCAAAAGGCAAGATCAAAATGTTTTCACGTAAATTGCCTTTATGGCGTGGATAAACTTCCCAATGTGCTCAAACATCTCGGCCTTGTGACTCTGCATGTAGCTTTTGGAGCACTGCAGTAACCTGGTCGAGTTACCAGCCAAAACCACTCCGTAAGTAGACTCGTAATCAAATATGGTGTGGATACGAATCCGAGGGTCTTTGAATTGATCTCTTTTAGTTCCAGCTTCGTAAGAGTCGATCAACATTCCCTGAACTTCTTTTTTGATTAGCGCCTCGTACACTTCGGAAAATGTTTCATAGGGATGTTCTGTAAGATAAATGCGGCACTACGTTTAATTTCGAGCATGGAAGGGCAAGAGATGAAAAAAAAAACAACAAAAAAAAAAAGAAATGTAGACTGAAAGGAGAACGAGGCGAGAGGCGGAGGAGGAGGCTTCGTACTGATAAGGCCCATATCTGCTACGGCTTACCGTTATCCACAATGGCATTTCTGGCCACAGCTAATCGGTATTCTGGAGTGTCATGAATTACTGCCACCTGTATGTAGTAACAAAATAAATGCATGTGGTCAAAATTTTATGATAAATTGTCCGTTATTCCCCATGGCTCTTACCCAGTCTTTTGCACGGCGCAGGTGGCTAACCCGGGTGGTTGCAAGGTATACTAACTTCGCTCTTAGAAAACTGTTCACATCTCGGAACAGATACTGTCCGTGGACAAATATCCGTGTACATTTTGCGCTAAATGGAGGCTATTGTTTTTGTATACCGTATAACGCCTAAGAGTTAATGGGACGCTCCAGGTAACCAGTTTGAAATTGGCATGGTTTTAATTTACGTTCACGGATCGGACGACCTGGCGATGGACATATGAAAAAGAGACGTGAAAGAGTAGAGTCAGTTGGGAAGAGCTAGGGGAAGGACTAGCAGCTTATATAAAAATATAATATATTATAAAAAATAGTTAAATTGCTCAAAAAAATCAAATCAGATATACCTTAGTTCCGTACAGAACAAGGTTGTTTTGAACTACGAAGAGTGAAACGGCAGAGGTCAGAGCACTGCTCAGTATGCTCATCAAGACGAGTCCAATAAGGATCCAAACAATTGCGAACATCTTGGACCAGTAAGCTGACGGAACTTTGTCACCATATCTGTCATAGAAAAAAAATGAGGAGAGTTTTTTTCATTTTGCTGTGAGCTGCTGAGACGTGAATGAGGACAAAAACAAATTCAATTCTCTACTGCGAGCAGTTTTCAATTGAATGTTGAAACATCACAACCGAAGCAATCCCAGTGACCAATCATGATCAGAGTTAAGGATTTCACTATCACAAGCCAGTAGGAACTTAACGTTAAAGCGAGGAAACGGCTTGAAGCGCTTTAAAACGCGAATGATCAAGGAACGATTGTTTTAAGATTGAAACGATTGTTAAAACGATTGTTTTTTTTTTCTGACTGGTTGAGAGATGGCGCGAGTTTTCTGGACCAATCACAGAATAAAGTAAAACTAAAGCACGTCGGATTACTTTTGACAGTCAATTGAAAATTGCTCTATTTATTTCTGTTTTGCTTACCCCAATGTTGTCATGGAAATAAAGGCCCACCAAAACCCGTTCCCCGATCCACGCCAAAATGAGCGAGGAAACTCTTCTGGGTTGTACTTTGTGTCCTGAGGAGAGAAAATACCTCACAGCTTCAGACAGCCTCAAAAAAATAAAGATATTGGTGAAACGATCAAAATAGTACCCTAAATTCATATATTGTAATGGATAAGTAACATTAATAGGACTGAATGGAGTCCAACCGAGTCTGTAATCATACGAGTGATTAACAAATCGGACTACCGCGAAGCTGGAGTCTGATTTGTTAATCATTAGTATGATTATTGACGGAATTGGACGATAAAAAGTCCTGCTACTAAGCAATCATAACTATGAAAAAATTAGCCGCTGGTTGAACGTTTTTTGAAAAACAAAAACAAAACAAAAAAAAAAACCCGGTAAATTCGGTGACATGTGCAACAATATTGTGCGCATGATCTGTATTCTTCACACAGACATGACGCGTCAGCTGACCGATCCCACTATCCAATTACAGGCAAGAGGCGTACACTATCCTTTAAGTTCTTAAATCTAGCTGGTGGTAGCCAATCACGTTCGAAAATTTTGTTTAAGTTTTAACTGTGACTGTAATCACCCTTGAGAACAGGGGAGTCAACTTTAATCGTATTTCAACTTAGATGAACCGTCTTGCTGACTCCTTAACTTCTACGTTACCTATGTAATCACCAAAGAACATTTCTCACCAGAAACCATATAATAATCCCAGCTATAGCAGCAAGAAGCGATGATATGACACAATAGGGCCAAGTTGCAAATACTTCACCCAGTAATCTTTGCGCCGGACTTCGATCGTCGGGTTCGATTATTATAAAGGCCACGCCCGGAGATTCCAACAGAGGAATGTAGCGGTAATCTGAGCCGTAATTTTCTTGCCACTTCCAACCGTATACGGGAAAACTGGTAAAAAAAAAAAAGTAAAAATGAGCAAAGGGAGATAAGGCTTAAAGGTGCATCTTAATGGGATCATGGCTTTTACGACTAACGGTCAAAATTTTGGCAAGTTAATGATTAACGGTGAGAAATTTTTTTAAACCGTTAACTTTTTTACGACTAATGGTCAACATTTTTCAATATAAACGCTCAACAGCTAAATTTTTGACCGTTTTACGGCTAACAGTTAACCCCATGGAGACCCTCTTAAAGCCTGAACCGCATATAAACAAGGCCTTACTCCAAAGCTATCTTGTCCAACATGCATAGCTGAAGTCGTTACTATGTTTTGTTTGTTTGTTTATTTAACCTTAATTTTTATATCTTTTTAGAGCTCCGAAAACAGATCCTGTGAAGAGCTTTCACCTTCGGACCTCGGGCCCGTTTGTCGAAGGTTCCAGGCCGTTTGTCGAAGGTTCCGGGCCCGTTTGTCAAAGGTCCCGGGCCCGTTTAGCGAGGGTCCCGGTAACTCAACGGGCCCGCAAAGCATTTTTGTTTTCATTTAAGATAGGAATTTCAAAATAGTGGAGAATTATGCAAGAAAACTGTCAGCTAAAGAAACGAAATGGATTGGTAGGACTGTCAGAACCTGCTTCTCTATTCTATAAACTTCGATTTAAAGATGTGGATTCCGGTCTGTTAAGTTGTCAGTACCTTCGAGAACTACCTTATGAACTAATCAAGTCTGTTAGCTGAGTCCTCTTGGCTAATCAAGGGAGCTTGTTTGCTCGGCAGCTTCGATGCATTACCTACCTGAGGTCGTTGCGATCTTCAATCAAAAGCTTCATGTTTCTTTCGCTTTCCTGCTTAGCTTCACCATTGGTGCCGTTGTACATGAAGTCCACAAACGATTCTCCGTGAGATGCGCATGTCTGACAGCACGTGACTATAAGGTCATCGAGGATTTGAGGGAGCATCCCTGTCATGTTCTCAACACTAATGTTTCCAGTATGAGTTAATGGGAATTGGTTCACGTATGGTGGGAAGAGGCGATAATTGGTGGTCAGGCGCTTGTGACAGCGACAAGTATCTAGAAAAAAAAATGAGGAGCAAAGTTTGAAAGCATTGCGACGCGAGTTTCGTGACATTCGAGCCCGCGAACGAGGCGAACGGGGTTTTGTGCGACAAATGAGAGCCCATGTCGGACGCTCGCGGATCTCTCGTAAACTTGCAACGCTCGCACCTCGAATGGGCGTTGCCACTCGTGACACAACGCCAATGAGAGGCTACTTGCATGCTAATAATACCCTAGCAGCAAAGCTGAAACATCGAGAGTACGTTCTTACCGACCACGACTCTTCTCCCTAACCCTTTAGCAAATAAAAACATTAATTTCATGTGCCCCTTCAGTGGAAAGAATTTCAACTAATTTCCTGAACACAACTGTGGGGAAGACACCATACCTCCTGCGGTGATCGCACTCGGTCCATCCCCCATGCGGCTAAATCCGGACACTTTGATCTGGTAACGAGTATATGGATCCAATCCTTCAAGAACAATTTCAAAAGTATCTTTTCGAACAGTTATGTTGTAAGTTGGCTCTTCCCCCTCCTCAACTTCCTGGTCTCCAATCCTCACGGCCCTGTAGAACACGCGGTAACCAAGTAATCTCCCCAGTATCAACTCGTCGTCAATTGGTCCCCACGTGACATTAACAGAGGTAGTTGTGGTGTAGTTGTACGCTGTTAAGTTCAGTGGCGTACTTTTAGTTCCTTCAAGTCAAAGAGAAGCTGAATTAACGGGTTAAAAAAGGAAAATGCATACTTTTTAAAATGTAACAAGATTTAGGTGTAGGGGCCTCGCCCTTCAAAACGCAAAGCGCACGCTTAGTGCACCAAAACAACGCTTGTGCATATCAATGAAGCCGGGGAGGGGGGGGTTGGTAACTAAAATAAAGAACTTTTCTCTAGCTGTTTGGTAGCCTATTAACACCAAAACTTAAACATGTTTTAAAGCTGTTTTGTTAAACAAGGATTAAGATTTTTTTTTCATAGAAGCTGCTTAAACCGATGTTTACTGAATTCATTTTTGGCACATTGAAAATACAAGTTAGTGAGTACTGGAAACCCCATGGAAAATTCAGTTTTTGTCTGTGTCGAATTTTCATTTAGTTTAACCCGGTTTAACTAAACATAGTTTGTTGGCGTGAACATGATGGTGTATAATGCCCCATTCACACCAAAGCTTAAACATGTTTAAAAGTTGTTTTGTTAAACACAGTTTAATTTAGTTTAAACCGGAATATTTTTAACTTGAAAACATGGAAATGCAAGTTTACTTGAATTGGAAAATCAAGTTTTTCGGTTCTCTGTTTATAATTTTCATTCAATGAAAACCAGTTTAACAAAACATGTTTTGCTGGTGTGAATGGGGTATAAGACTCAATACCACGAAAACTACATAATTTTTGGCGGAACATATCCCTAATTTTACTCCTTCTTCTCTAAACACTCACCCAGGTTGTCCGGTAATGCCAGATCCAAAGTAGCATTCCCCTCACCCTTCCTTGTAAATGCGACGATCCCAATGGTGTAATTGGCAAAAGTATCCAGATCAAAAAGAAACGCGTATAGTATGTCAGCGGTTGTGTTTTCAACCCTCTCCTCTGCGACCCCATCCAGCCGCCGATACTTGACTCTGTATCCGAGAATTATTCCATTGTGGCAGTTCTCAGGGACTGGTTTCCACTTTGTTAGGAGTGAAGTCAGACCCGGGACATCGAATGTGACGTCTTGTGGTGGCAGACAAGGGACTGGAAGAGAAATTGGTTGAAAGCATGGATGTAATATGTAATACAAAAAGTAATCACTACAGCGGCTATTTTCATGCAATAAACTTTGTAGCCAGAGTTTCCTATCATACAGCAGCCTGCTCCAGGCGTTTAGTAAGTGAAACGGAGCAAAACAGTTAACGGTGGGATAGTGGCGATGGAGTGAAAAGGCGAGGGAGGTCTGGGTCAGGTCAGGTCGGGTCGCCCTAGGCCACCCCCGAGTTTTTCGCTCCTTCACCCCTATCGCGCTATTTAACACTGGACTCCTGGAACAGAGTAATTAAAATAAATCGTCTATTGCTTTTTTTTCTCTTATCATTTAAAACTATCAATAGAAATAATTTTGTTTCAGCCACTGAATTATAATTAATGCAAATAAATACTTGATTGTTTTATGGCAATACCTCCTTCGTCCGTCCGCGCCATGTAAGGCTCACTGAATGGTCCCCGGCTGATTGTAAACGCGGCAACTTTAACATGGTAATGGGTCCAAATTCTGAGTCCTGTCAAGGTATGCTCAAAGGAATCATGTGAGGCCCTCTTTCTCCTTCTTTTGTCAACACTAACACCTGAGGTATTACTGGACATATTAACGTACTGAACATTACTTGGATCATCAACTAACCAATAGGCGATTACAAAACCTCTTATAACGCCATTACGGTCCTCATACGGGACTTGAGACCACGTGACTAGTAAACTCGTGGAGCTTTCGTTGTTGACGGCGGAGACTCCCGTGGGGGGAGAGGACGGGGCTGTAGAATTATAAAAATGATAACAATAATAATAATAATAATAACAATGATAACAATAATATTGTATATAAGTAAAACGCGATCTTGTCGTTGCAAGAATGTAGCGTCAGATAAGTATTCAAAATATAACCCCAGAGGTATGATATAGGGAGGGGGATCTGAACCTCCTCCCTCGCCTAGAATCTTTCCCTCCCCCTGAATTTGCCAATGACTTTCCATTCCCCAAAAACCCGCAACAACTCATGAGCTACCTGCTTCTGCTGTTCGTATCTCTAAAGGGATACTGTACTCGCTGTCACCAGTGGTGTACATCAGAATGCGGATGCTATACAGGGTGTATTCATCAAGGTCAGACAAGGTCCATGAGAAGTCTGTGGCTCGTTTTCTTCTCACAGATCCTGATCCGGTTAGCTGTACGTTTAACTCGCTAAGTGGTATACGCCTATACTTGGCCGTGGAATTCCCTTTATCCTTTCTGCAAAGATAAGAAACAAACAGGCAAGCAAAAAAACTGATTAGAAAAGACTGGGAAAAAATAAAGAGTAAGTTTCCAGAGAAACTGTGGTGCTGTGCTGTTGGAATAAGGGGAGGGGGATTGGCATCACAAGATCATTTTTTTTTCATCAACTGAGTTGATAATGTTAATTGGCAACCGTAAAGAGTTTCTAAAGGTGATATTTCGAGCGTTAGCCCTTCGATATTCGGTCTGATGAACCTCAAGGTAGAGAGAGGTTTTGTGAGAACACAGTATGTTGCCTAAAATCGCATCAAACAGACCCATGCCCGTTCCGCCTTTGGTCTCGGAATGAAGCATGATAGAATCAGCCCTCCTTATCTAAGGCCCGATTTAATGTTCATTTGTAATATGACTGAGAAGTTTACAATCGAATAAGCCAATAAAGTTCCACTGCAGTGTACACTAAAAATCTCTTGCTGTGCGTTTCCTTTCAGCAAATCTAAATTAGTTAATCATACCTGTAATACATGATAGTAAATCCCCGTATAACCCCATTCCAGTCTTCTTCCGCTGGAATATCCCACTCTATCGTTGCTTCCCGCGGTTTGACATGAGCAGACCTGAGATTGCGAGGAGAGGAACTCGGAGCTAAGGAGTAAAATATGTTCATGGCTTAATTTCCGCAATTAAAACTAAAGCACGTTATGAGGATCCATTTGCTTATATAGTTCTGCAGCTCCCTTGTAAGGTTTGCTTTAAACGCATTGAGGGAAAGAAAGTCTCCTTTTGCGTCAAGTAGTGGTTGATGAGAGCTCGTAAACTAAGCTTTTTTCACTCCTCTTAAGTTGTGGATGATACGCGTCCTACATACTGCTGAGATCAGCAATTTATGTAGAAGTATGCAGTATGCAGGACGCGTGTCATATGAACTTCGTAATAGGCCTCGCCCACCATAGAGTCTCTGTGACTCAGTAGTTGAGCATCGGTGCGCGGATTCCGAATGTCTGAGGGTCAATTCCTCATGGGGACATCTTTCTCTATTTTCAAAGTTCTTTCAGCGATTTGTCAACTGGAATAATTCTTTCATTTCTAAATGCCCGTCAAGCGAGGATGGCACATTAATGTTGCAGAATATTTATCAGGCCATAAGTAATTTTCGTTTCGTTTCAGGCTCCAAAGCAATCCGCAGCTTCTCCTTACACCATCAACAAATTACATGATACAACATTGTCTAATGCACCAACAGATTCTCGCAGTTATCGTTAAAAAAACCCTGCATTGCGCTGTGAGAATTTATCATTCAACGTGAGTGAGTACATACCATCCTCCGCTGTCTTGCAATGAAAGGTATCACTTGCATTTCCTTTGCCATAGATGTTATAAGCAACAATGCTAAACTCGTACTCGGCGTATTTTTCAAGGTTTCCCACAGTAAAGACCGTCTTGTTTGCTTCTGTAACATCTACCTCATCAAACGTGTCATTGGAACCAGCTTTTCTATAATATATATAGTAACCTGTTACAGCTCCGTCGGGGTCTGTGTGCGTGTTTGTAACGCCATCCCAAGACAGAACACAGCTTGTAGAAGTTTTGTTGCTCAGGCCTAAATTTTCAGGAACCCGATCCGGCGCTAAAAAGTGACAAAATTCGTTAATCATATCTGCTTCGACCAGTTACGATATTAACAATGCAAATAAACATTTATCAAAAGAGAGAACTTTGCTTCAGAATCCACGCCTCTAAGTTCCAAATAATACCATAACCAGACCAATTGAAAATGCGTTTACCGCTCTTATTCATTATAACAGATTGCCATAAGATGGGAAAAAGAGAAACTTCTTTACATCGCTTCTATCTAGAATGAACGTTTGCTAAGTCACGTAGCTTAAACCATCACACTCCATCATCAATTTGCCTAAATTATTCACCATACTGTTCTCTGGACATTTCCTAGGGCACTGACAAGGAAAATTTGTGTATCATTCAAGACGATGTTTGATTCAACAATATAACTGAAAGGAAAAATTAGATGCTAGTCACTCTTAAAGGTTTCGTCTGAGCAACTTACGCGGGAGAATTTTGCTGTCCGTGGAAACCACAACTGGTACGCTTGCGTTACCGTCAGCCACTGTGAATGCTAATACTCGGATTTTATACTTTGAGTCGATCTCAAGCTCTCTTATTTCAGAGGACAATGTATCTGCATCAACAGTTATGTTTTGATCTTCACTTTGTGAGTCGTTCAGATTCTTATAGATGATTCGATAACCACGTAAGACTCCGTATAGTGACCCTGGTAGGGGACTCCACTTGACAAAGATACTGCGGGCGCTGGTGTTGTAATATTCGGTGATTTCCGGTGACGTGGTAGGAGCTGAGGTATTTGAAAACAGCAAAAAAAGAAGAGTGAGTAGGAGGAATTATGAAAATATCTTTAATTAGCTCAAAAGTGACACTCTCATTCTAAATCTTCTTGATAACCTTCTTTCCATCCCCCCCCCTGCTTTGTCCTTCATTCCTCTAGAAAAAGTCGCTTTTAAAGGGGGGATTACCAAACCGTACTTGTACGCATTGACCAATTGTGGAAAAATTCCAGGCCCCGGTTGTGTGAAGGTTGGATAACACTATCCACTGAATAAAACTCTGTCAGGTGGATAACGCTATACATTTTGCTATCACTAATCCGCCGGATAGCGATTTATCTGTTGGATAGCGTTATCCGCTCTTTTGTACAATAGGGCCCAGAAGCCTAAGGACTAATAGAGAAATCTCTAGAGTCAACTGACACTTGTTCCTTTGCGTGACAATTTTAAAAGAGGCAAGTAACGTTGTCTTTTTCCTACACTTTTGAACCTCCACCTTCGAGCTAGATGGAAAAAACTCTGCTGTCCCATTGAACCAGTCTCTTTCGGCAGTGACCTTTGTCCCGATAACATAACATATATGAAATTCATATATCTAAAATCTTCGTATCGATATTGAATCAAAGCAGTTCGCACCAAATGTTCTTCAGTGCGATTTAATTTTTGATGAAATCATTTCTCTTATCGTATTTTCCAATACAAACAAAATTCTTCCTTGTATATATAATTTACAGGCTAAATCCTCTCTATTTAACTTCTGCGTTTGTATTTTCAATCTGAGATTTCTAATCTTATTTCTGTGCACGGATTGCAATACAATGATGGCATGTGCTCGAGTGAAGGTTTGATCGCCAGCGCACGGATTACACAGCCTTAAGGATAAAATGGATGGTTTCGATAATAATGATTGAAAAGGAAACAAAATATTCCTTACCGAGTTCTCCAGAGGTGACAAAGATAGGCTCGCTGTAGTTACCATAGGCAACAGTTTTGGCGGCCATCTTTATGGTGTAATTCGAGAAAGGCTGCAATCTGAGTAGCTCTTCACGCATAACTTCAATTTTCGCTTGCACCCATATTGATAAGATGATATTATCCTCCGTCGAGTATTCTATGCGGTACTCTCTAACGATACCGTTTCTTCCTGACTCGGGGACTGGATCCCATGAGACCATGATGCTATGCGCACTTGTGCTGTATCCTTTGATGTTTTGTGGAGGCAAAGTGGGTGCTAAGAGAGGTAAAAGAAGATAATATCGAAATAGTTTATTCACGCGAATTGTAGTAATTGTAGTTGTGAAAAACCTTATAACGAGTGTAACCCCTCGGGATTCATGAACAAAAGTATTGTTCCGCTCGGCCGAGCGTCGCACCGATGCAACATGTATTAAGTCATATTGAGTCATGACAAAGATAATGACTGCGGTATCAAACAAAAGTTCTTTCCTACTTTCTGCAGCGCCCGTTGGTAGTCAGATCGGAAACAAATAACCCTGAAATAAACAAATAACTAATAAAATAAATGAATGCAGCATTCCCACCTTACCTGTTTCGTTCGTGAGACATTCAACCGCTTCACTAAAATTCCCCCTGCCAATGTTATTGTGCACAGCCACTTTAATATTGTATGAGGTAAATGAATGTAGCGAGTTGATCTTCACTCTGGGAGAACTGTGGCACACAAGCGCTGCTATGGAGAGTTCGTCAGCCGATGATTGGTCAGCGGCGTCATTTTTTACCACGTAAACTTCATAACTGAACAGTTCACCGTTGACAAACTGCCTAGGTATACCATTCCAGGCCACTTCGCAGCTGGTCGGCGTGGCAGATTCAACTGAGAGACCCGTGGGGCTAGCTGATGGCTCTGTCAAGGTAAGGATAAGATATTACTCATATCTAACAATCCATAATTTCTCAAGGATTTCGGAGGCGTAGTGTCTCAGCGAGTTAACGCACTAAGATGTAAGTCGAAATCATTCGGCTCAGGCCGTAGAAAATTCATGGTTTCCGTGCTTTTAGGCAAAAAAAAAAAACACTCGACTCTCACGGTACCCTCGAATTCTTAGGAAAACCAATAAAAAAATTTGACGACAACCCTCGATGTTCTCCTTTTCAGGCAATAAACGGTAAAATTTACCGCCTGTAGAACCTCTCATTAACGTTTAAAATTGATTGGAATTCTTGAAAATTCAACAGGTAAAAGGATTCCTTTACCGGTTTGAAAATTTATTTTACCTGTCATGCGTAAAATAAGGGAGAACACTTCAACCCTGCATCATTTTTTGCCAATATTATCAAGGAAATAACTAAACCGATAGAAGGTGTGAGACTTCGTCGAGGAGGTTATTTAACACTATTCATTAAGCCTTAGGCGAACTTCGTTTATTATTATTATGGTTGTTGTTTTTTTTTAATTTTTCTTTTTGCACTATTGTTGTAAAGAGCCACAACATTTTTTTATTGGAGGTGTGCACTTTGGAAGCATTCCACTATTTTTAAATTTATTAAGGCTCCGTAACAGCACGAAGATATCACTTTGATTAACTGCGCGATGCTTTTGAAGTTCACTTTCTTTTAAAATATTTTTTAATGAAAACAAAACATGTTACGGATGAAACATCATCCATCGTCAGTTGTATAATGAGAAATCAAATGAAATTATGCAAAAAAATAATACAACATAGTGAGATGTTAACAAGAGTAACAAAAAAAGTGAAACTATTTAAGCTACGAAGGGAGACTAATTAGTATGAGAGGGATAAATTAAGATGTTTGACCTGGGAGTTTAAAGACGGCTGCTCCCAAAGGATGTGCATGGCTTCCTTCATTTTCAATTGGAAGCTTGTGGAAGCAGAGTCCAGAATCTTAAAACAATATCTGTTATACTATCTAGTATAGTATAAATAATATTTACTATTTACGAAAAGATATTTGTTTAAAAGTTATCGAAAGAGTTACTTACTATCCCCCATGGTGAAACATTCGACTGGGCTGCTGTAATTTCCAGTGCCTTTTGAAGTAAGTTCGGCTAATTTAATCGAGTAGTTGGTGTAAGGTTTTAGACCACTGAGAACAAAGTTTGTTTTATTGGAGCTTGTTGTAACATTTGAAGGATTCGTTGAGTGATTCAAAGACGTGTACTCAATCCTATACCCTAGTAACACTCCTTTACGTTGGTAGATGGGAATTGGAGTCCAGTGAAATGAACAGGAGGTGGGTTCGAGTGAGACCATATTGTGAATCACTGGACTTTCAACAGGAACTGAAGAAAAAGAAACGAAGAGAAGAATATTTAGTTTTCAAAATGCGTACTACATTGTGCATTTTGTTCATATCAAATGCAGAATATTTCGTTCCCTTGTGCTTCTACTTCATCGGCAAGTTTGATCGGGGAAAAAATATGTTTAGTTACACTATGATATGTATGGGTCAATTGACTATCAGGGTAAGGTGCTTGCAAAAGAGTGGAAATACACCTTCTTACGTTCGACTCCTAACACCACCTCCAAAAAAACCATGAAATCTAAAACTCTCCGTTGTTTTATGGATACCGAATGTTTTTAGAACCTTTTTTGTCGGAGTATTGTGAAACTTGAACCAAAGGCCAATCAGAATAACGAAAAAAAAATACAAGGAGCCGATGGGAATCCAAGTTCTTACCGTCCCCTAGAGCAGGCTGCGATTGGATCAGATGTTGAACGATGGGGAGGACTGGGAGCTACAAGTCATCCAATCAAAGGAAGACCCGAATTTTGATTCAGCCTGGCTGATCAAAGAGTGCAGAGAAGTGAAAAGCAATCCTAGATTTGTTTGGATGAAGCTTTAAGAAGCTAAGCAACTGCGCACCTACCCCTCCCCTAACTCAACACTAATCCTAAATTGTTGACTGTTGTTGTTTTATGGAGGGGTAGATCCGCAGTTGCTTTGATAGCAATATTGATCCATAACTTGACCCTCATTCATAGATTTTTATAGACTCACGGTCTTCATCTGTCAACAAGCACACAGCACGGCTGTTAGGACTATCAGCCACAGTGAACACTGTAATCCACAGACAGTAATTGGTGTACGGCTGTAAACCCTTAATGTCATAAGTAGTCAATCCTGCATCGAAAACCGTCTCATTCCTCAACGCCATCTCCCTTACGACATAGTTCGTTATATTGTCACCGTACTTAGTTTCATATACAGTTTGGCTGATAATATCTTCAGCTTTGGTGAAGAAGATCCGGTGTCCCCGCACCAACCCCGGGGTACGTTCCGAATGATTCGAAGGGTCCCAGGATATCCTGATGCTAATGGGACTGGTGGCAGACGCGACTACGTTGACCACGGGCCAGGGAGGGGCTAAATAAGGAGAAAATTAGACATATTTTAAAGATCATATTCAAAAGAACGCGAAAAGCAGTAGGAAATAGTACATGAATGGATGGAGGCAGTGTGGCCGAATGGTTAGTTGAAGGCCCTCCACCCGGCTGCTCATAGGATTTGTTCTCAGTTACACCGAGTTCAATTCCTTGACTGCACTTTGCGTATAGCCAGCTGCTCTGCCTTCTACCAGTTGGGGTTTCTGTTTATTTATCACGTTAATCAGTTTTCGATTTGTTGGAATTTAATGGCCACGAGTTTATTAGTCTGTAAGTGTTAAGTGTTACCCTCAATAAATAAAGTCTTATTATCATCATTATTTTTAGTATTCCAATAGGGAACAACGGATTGGATAAGAACTCTGGGGAACGATGGCCGATCTTTGTTTTCCAACGCTTCACTCGATTTTAAAAAAGCAACACAACTCGATCGCATTTTTCGCAATTTGGAGGGCGTTAACAAGCAAAGGCTTCCCACGTATATTTTAGTTAGGGAAGAAATACTTGCTTCACATATTCAATAATGACAACATATGGCCTTTCTTGCAATTTGGAGGGCGTTAACTAGAAAAGGCGTCACACGTATATTTTTATTTGGGAAGAAATAGTAGCTACATGACAACATATGGCTTTTCTCGGAACTCACGAAGTAAAGTTTTCCCAATATTTTGATAAACGTATCTAGGAAAAGTCAACATGTTCTCTAATCGTTTCGACAGTTCGAGATAAATTTTTACTGTATAGTTGATTGACTTTTTTTTCAGTGAGTAAAATGGACGATCAATTTAAGAGTAAGGTCTGGAAATTCAAGCATTTCACATGGTGGTGGTGTGGTGGCCTTATGGTTAATGCGCTCGAGCCCTGGCCGGAGTCACTGTGTTGTGTTCTTAGGCAAGACACTTTACTCTCACAGTGCTTCTCTGCACCCAGGTGTACAAATGGGTAACAGCAAATATGCTGGGGGTAACCCTGCGATAGATTAGCATCCCATCCAGGGGGGAGTAGCAATACTCCTAGCCGCTTCATGCTAATGAGCCACTTGGGCTTGTATAAAGGCTTTACATATCGTTGCTTGACTTTTTTTCAGTGAATAAAATGGACGAGCAATTTAAGAATAAGATCAATTTAAGAATAAGGTCAAATTCAAGCATTTCACATGCTTATGTACCTGTTTCGTCTGTGGCTATGGTTATACTAGCGCTTATTCCTTCACCCTCAAGACTAACTGTTGATACATTTACGGTGTATTTTGTGTAAGCTTCCAGATGTGTAATGTTTAAGTTGGGAGAAAGCCCTTTCGTATCATCGACCTTCATTCTTGTCCAGTTGTTACTGACTGTTGATGTTTCTTTGTAGTCAACCACATAACCAACTAATATGCCAGGAATGTCCTCATCGGATGGTGTATTCCAGGACACCTCGACTGAGTGTGGACCAGTAACTAGTGCCTTTAATCCGGAGACTGGGGTACTTGGAACTAACAAGCGTCAGCATTGCAATAAAAGAAACTTAAGTAATGTAATTTTCATTTAGAAGCTAAAGAGCTAAAACAGTAACAGAAAAAAAATTGTAACAGAAAAAATATCCATGAAGGTATCAGTCGAAACACGCTAATACTAAATAGCAAACGGATAAAAGGAGCGGATGAAAAGAAAAAATAAAAGAGAGGATGGAAGGAAAAGCAGAGAGACAAACAGATATACAGATAGTCAGACAGGCTGACAGACAGACAGAGGCCGACAGACTGACATACAGACAGACAGACAGGCAGGCTGACAGACTGAGAAACTGACAGAGCGACAGAATGACAAACAGATAGTTAGACCGGCAGATTGACAGACGGAGTGACGGACAGCCGGAGAGATAGAGACTGACTGACTGACTGACAAACAGATGGACTTCAGACTAATAAATTTATATGGAAAACTGAAATAAAATTACGTAGCAAATTCAGAAAAAAGTATTGGCCTTTCGTTAGCTGTTATGGTTGATTCAATTTGACTAACATTCATTTAGGTACCAATAATACAAAGAGACATAAAGACCACGAAGGGACATGCACACACTTGAAAATTCATCGTAAAGTCGACATAACAAACCATTGTCATTTCTACTTCGGAGGAGTACGATTCCAGGGACATTAAATACGTTTGCGCGAGGAATCCAACTATCCAATAGGAAACCAAGCTGTTTGTATCCTGCACTGTCATAATGAAGGGTCAAGTTACATGACACCCGTCCACCATCGTCCCTGCAGAAAGAAAAATTTTCTCAGCTAACAACTCACAGACTTCTTTATTCACAAACGAAACGTTTTTGATCAGTAATAGCTAAAAAATTTTCATAAATAGTGAGGTAGAATCTTCCATCTTGGAATGGACCAGGGCAGTTCTAATTGGTCGTTCGACTCCTCTTGTTCTTGAATTTTGAGTAGTTCTAGAGCGCACTCTCGATTTGATAATTTCATATATTGATCTTTTAGATGTATAACTATCTCGGATTATCGAATACTATGGGCTTTGCAGTCCTTGTCTTAAGAGAAATAATAAGTGATGATTAATTCCAAGGAGGTTTCTCGAAGCTAAGTCCTTCATTCCTGTAGATGCCTAATTCCGAGATAATAAACAATCCAGAAACACACGTGGTACGTGCAAAATTGTCGGTAGGAAACCAGATAGCTGAGTCTAAAAATGTTCTCATGTATTCGCATAAGTAACCAACAGCCTACCAGCATCCTGATAAAAATATGTTTTCTGAAGTTATCTTAACTTCTTGCATGCTCGAATAGAAGGTAACGATCTGGAAAAAGAGAGGATGTCAATGGATTATCTTATCTTTTCGTGAAAAAGGACGGAACTCAGTGGAAGTCTTCTAACTAACATCCATCCACAGATAATAAAAAAGGTAAAAATTTAAATAATAAATGATTGATATAAAACAAAAACAAGGGAAAATTAAATTTTCAGAAAATTTCAACTAGCTCAATGATCTTAAGATTAGGGCCCCTCCGGCAGAGGCCCAGAGGTGCTTACAAGTCCCAAGTGCGGTTATGGTGTTGTCATTATGTTTTCATAGTTCCAGTAACAAACCTCTTTCCTCAAGACTCGAAAAAGCGCCGTAAAATTTTTAGATTCTGGATCATGGAAATCATCACTCCAGGAGATCCCGGTAAACTGAAGGGACAACTCAACATGAAGTTTCTCGGGACCTTTAAACGACGAAAGGGCATTCAAACAGCAATCAGCACATAAAATTATTTATGTATGACAAATACCAAAAGAAGATCGAACGATAACACTAGATCACGATAAGCAAGATCCTAAGATTTGAGAACGAGTTCGACAAGAGTTAGGTTTTCAATCAAGTTCCCATCAAAATACTAGGAAAATATATACGCCGATCTTCTAGTTGACGTTTTACAGATTTAACGGAGAGCAAGACTTTTAAATACTTTCTCAATGGATCCGATGTGAGCCATTGAGGCCTATCTGCTTTTTACTTTTTTTTTAAATCGATATTTCCCTTAGATACCTCTATATGTGTTGTAAATGTTCACAAATCTGTCTTTCTCAAGAGACATGCTCCAAATTGCAATCTCGTCAAACGAGGCATTGGGGAAAGATCCAGCACCAATCGTGAGCGATGGACCGTTTGCGGAAGGAGTACTGCATGGGTCACACACTTTCCGACTGACAACTGTTTCCCCATTCCTAATGGTTAACATCGATTTGTTGTTAATATAAATTTTAATATTACGGCTTAAGTATACTTGAGATCTTTTTCCAATAACGTTTCCCATGAAAACTTTTGGCAGCGTCTTCCTTTTAAGATTCTTTGTCCAGAACCTGAGGAAAATTAAATTGTCACAGCTTCTCCTCCAGAAGCATTCTTTGCCTACGCACGTATCCAGTAGTCCGGCACATTCCATTCCGAATAACAGGACTCGATCTATTCTTAAACCTGTACAAAAGAAAGACTTACTTTTGGATGTTAAGAGATTTTTCCTGACTCTCCCAGGAGAAACCCAGATGTGTCCAAAATCCCTTTGCAACTGAAAATCTGTAAGAAGCCCCCAATGAGCTTGTGCTAATAGAGAGTCCGACTAGCTTTGATTCCGCTTCGTAAAATAATTGTGCCACTGTAAACCCGTTATCTAGAGAGAAGAACAACAAGTTTGCGCGTGCATATACATTCTGGAAGATTCTTGTAATCCCTTGCAAAACAACATTGAATCCAACAAGGACCCAGTCCTCTTCGTTACGAATATATTTTAGATACTGAGTTATATTTAGTACCGATTCTTACAAAAAGTGAAAAGAAAAAGGTGCTGTGAACTTCAACGAGCTACTGTCATCTTCAACTTACCGAAATGCAGGAAGATCTCATTGTCGCCGTTCTCCCTAGGATAATACTTCATCCACATAGAAATACTAAAATCTTCGGAACACTCCGGTATTTGACAAAAGGTGCTTAGATTTCCGAGGTCGACCCATCCACTCACACCATCTAGCTGTATGGCCTGGCCACTAAGACCCTTAGCAACTAGGCTCACCGTACCGTGCGCCTCTCCCCAACCCAGTCTTGCGCGGTCCTTTAAATCTTCGACAGAGTCCAAAGCCCAGTAGGACATAGCATCGTGGTAGAGATTGATAATCTTTTTCGGATCACCTGTTCAAAGTCATAGGCACAAAAGAAAATCTTCTTCTTGATGATATCCTTGCGTTCTTGATTTGATCTTTCTTAAGATATCTCATGGTGTAAACATGTTTGAAACCTTGCAAAAACTACACCATTCTAAAAGTGGACTTTTTAATTTAGTAGCGAGCTAATAGATCAATGTATATATAAACAGATCAATGTATATATGAATGGCACACAGGAGAAGCAATACTGCTCGTCGCTTGAAGGTAGAATTTCGCAATTCACGCGCGCAAATGGCTGCTGCTAATCAATCACTTTCCAGAATTTATGTATAGTTTTGATCATCAGTAAAAATCAATGAATGTAATAAGAGACCCACGTGAAAAATGTCGTAGCGATGAAACGTTATGCTGTTTTCTACAATAAAATTCCTCACCTTCCAAACACCACTCCACATTGCGCTCTGTCCAATCACAAACACACTTGGTAGTAATTTCATCACAGTTTCCCTCGTAGTGGTTGCATGACTCTTTGCACAAACTGTCTGGTTTTCAGAAAATATTGAGTGAAATCTTTATTAAATAGTTACTATCGGAAAATGCAGATGCATTTCTGCAGCGACAAGAAAAATTAAACTCACTCCCAATATGTAGCAAGAATTTTGTTTTTATCAACCAAGTTTACAGTTTAAGCTGACCTAAATAAAGAGTTTTTTTCTGTTTTCTTTTTTTCTTCAAAAAGCAAAACAAAAAAAAAACCTTCAATATACATGTGAGGAACAACTAGTCACTTACGTTTCTAAACTGGGTTACCTTTGGGGTATAACACTTCAATGTCAGAAATGCTAAAATTCTCTGTGTGTACAGGCAAAAACAAGCCATTCCACTTTTCGAATGAATTTCCGGCTTGAATGGAGCCAACTGACATCGTCTTCAATGAAAGATCACCATCACCAAATGTTGGTCCCTCATGTGGCCTCACACGTTGTGCCTCATGTCGTTTGTCGCTTCTAATAGGGAATATTTCGAAATCTTTGGCATAGCTGTTCCTCAATTTGAATAGAAACGCGCCTGTGTTAACAGCGATCCCTTTCTCTGCGAACGAAACAAGGAAATTAAATAATTTTTTACTATAGGGGAGGGGGGGAAGCAGGGAAAATAGGAAGTGAACAGGCAAGCATGCAGATGGGCAGAAAGCTAGGTAGGGACCAATCAGTGGAAACAGTATTGGGACGAGTAAAGCAAACTGAATTACATTACTATCGAGGAATACAAAAACTAAGAGAGGCGGGTAGGTGGACAGGTAACTGTAATGAAACGGGATGCCTTGGTTAGGTAACTACAGTGTGCAGACCCGTAAGAAATAAAATTAATTCGAGACGCTTCATTTTTACCTATACCTGGCTGTGTCAATGTGTGCCCAGCTCTCCCAAACCCTGATACAAACATGAGCTCTCCCTATTTAACTTCAGGGTTGAATTTAGCAATCTTAGGGAGAAAGAGGTTCTTCTAAATTGGGTAAAAGTTGTAGGAGTGGAAGGAATTGGCCGAAGATCATAATTTAACTGAGCATTCAAAGTACTGTTCGTAAATGGCGTGGGTCGAAGGGTGTGTCGGTACTCAGGCAAGAAGGTAAGGGATTAGGAAGGTAGGTACGTGGCCTGTTGACAAAGTTGGTAAATGATGATAAAATAGAAGGAAAGATGGGAAGTAGTTGGTTAGAAGGTAAGTCGACGAAAAGGTATCATAGGAAAGAAGGTGTGTGAATAATTAGGAATCTGTTGATGCCTGGGTTTCATATGCGTCGTAGATACACTTGGTACTTATTTACAAGTGTGGGTAATTGGTGTATCATTCAATTGCTATCAAGTGATCAACTAACCCCGAACCTCGTTCCAGTCAACTTCAGTGTATCCACCAAAGATGTAGTTGTTAACTCGCACTATTGTGACCGTTGCTTCTTTCTCGCCGCACTTAGAGTAAAAGTTTTCGATGTCTCTTCCGTCGACAAGAGCTCGGTAGCAAGGCACCCAGATGTCATTCTTCCCACGAGCCGTATGAAGTGCTCGCAACAGAGACAATTTCAATGTGGAAAGGTGACCAATGATCGCGGACTTTTCTAAGGCTGGAGCTGAAATGATCACGATTTGATACATGGACAATCGAATAAATTCATTTCCTTAAATGGCAATTAAGTTTAAAAATAAGTTCTTAACGTACCTTGAGAGGAACTTGCGTAGTCTGGGTAGTAATTACAAGTATTCGTTGACAGTTCTACGTTATCGAGGGCAATATCTCCAAGGAAACCGTCCCCTACAACTGCCTCAAATATCACCTATATCAGGTTAGAGTGACAATTAACATCTAATTTATAATAATTTAACTGGTTTAGCGGGATCTAGAAAAGAACGGAAAATTGACAGACAGACCGACAGACAGGTAGGCAGGCAGGCAGACAGGCAGACAGGCAGACAGGCAGACAGGCAGACAGGCAGACAGGCAGACAGGCAGACAGGCAGACAGGCAGACAGGCAGACAGGCAGACAGGCAGGCAGGCAGGCAGGCAGGCAGGCAGGCAGACAGGCAGACAGACAAACAGGCAGAGAGGCAGACAGGCAGACAGACAGATATACACGTAGAAAGGCAGACAGGCAGACAGATAGACAGGCAAACAGGCAGATAGATAGACAAGGTAGGCCCAACCCCAGGATTTTTTGAACGGTCTAAAAGACACGTAGGCAGGCAAGAAGAAGATAGGCAAGCAGGGGGGCAGGCAGATGAGCAGGCAGGCAGGCAGACAGGTAGACAAGCAGACAGGCAAGCAGATGAGCAGGCAGGCAGGCAGGCAGACAGGTAGACAAGCAGACAGGCAAGCAGATGAGCAGGCAGGCAGGCAGGCAGACAGGTAGACAAGCAGACAGGCAAGCAGGCAGGTAGATAGAAAAACACACGGACAGAGAGGTAGACAGGCAGACAGATAGACAGACACACGGAGAGACTGATAAGGGAACCTTAAGTTACCAAAAATAAGAAAGCAAACAAAATTAAAAACGAGCAAAAGAATCTTGGACTTCACAAATTAAACTACAAGCCTTGTTTTTTCTTATTGCGACACCCGGCCCTCCTCTCAACGTTGAGTTCTTTTTGTTGTTGTTGTTGTTTTTTTTTTTCAGGCTACCTTACTGTACTTCTACCAACATTGCCAACCCGGGACAATATTTCAAAATTGCGACGAGAATTACAAGGTACTATGCAACCTGAATAAAATTGGATTCGAACGTTCCTTTCCTTGAAAGGCCAATTCCGATCTATTTTGAATTGCTGCATAAACAACCTAAAATAACCATCCATATAACAAACGAACTAAATAAACCTCGACCGATTTCTTATAATTGTCCTTGCCTTAAAAGGACGTTGCCGCTGTAATTTCAATTTCCCTTGTTCCCAAAGGTTTCCTTGATCTCCGCTAAGTCTCCATTTAGCCACTGGGTCAGACTTTTTACCACGCTGTATGTAAACTGTCAAACGGCCCACGTGCTTTCCCCGCATGGAATATTTAAAAGACAAACATTTGTAGGCAGGCACTACAACTGGACTCTCAAATCGGATACTGTCACCTTTTATGCGAGGATAAGAAGACTCCAGGTGTATATAGAAGTCTAGAAATGGGAAAAAATTGGTTACATCTGGTGCAAAGTTGACCTTTTTGCAGTGTTATGGTATGGAAAATACAGCCAATTACGTGTAGAAGACAAAAGAGTTGTTTTAAAATAGACCGAATGCAGGGCTTACACGGCATTAGCTCTTAATACGGTTTCTGAAGTATGAGGCGAACGGTAGGCTTGCTTCTCTCATTGGATGGTACGTCACTGACTCTCTCGTAAAAAACCCACAGTAAGTCGTCAGGTTTCCCTGATAACTTACCTATCACTATTTGTAATAATCTCCTGGTGTAGGAGAGGCACTTCGACTGTCCAGTGTCTCACAGCACTCGAGCGTGGACCTATTGGCCCTAACATAAGTGTGCATATTCTCATGACCTTCACGTGCTATTAAGGACTGTGCTGTAAGGAGTATTATATGCTAATCACACCTAGATATTACAGAAAGGGTCAAGAGATCCACCATGATGACTGAAATGTGGAGACAGCGAAACAAAAGATTTAATAAGCAATAAAGTACCTTTGCGCGTGCGCTTTCAAAATCTGTGCATTTCCCACCCTCCCTCAGCAAAACCAAAACGTAATATAACCAAAGTTTGCGTAGTCTGAGATCGAAATCCCTGACGAATTTAACATTGAATTCACGAAACGGGAGTTCTGGCGCCGTTAGGTATGTCAAAAACATTGAGCTACTCCTAAAATTGCCAGGAAAATTTTTTTTTAAAGCAAGGTTTACCCTGGCGAAGTCGTCGGAAATTTAAACTCCCTTTTGATGAAAGTGAAACTCAAAGAACTTCACCCGTGACCAGTGCACTTACTATCAATAGCGTCACTGGGCGGTCCAGTCCCCTCACTAGGAACATTGCCCTTCCTTTTCGTCCAATTTCCTATTTTCCAAGAACAAGGTGAATCATCGAAGTCGCACACTTCTGAGAAAATAAGTTACAATGACTTCATGAGCCTAAGAAAGATTATTGATGGGAATAATTCATTGTGTTTGCAACTATGACAAAACAATTCAAAATGAATGGCCCACAATGAAAGAAAACGTGGTCAGGGTCCATGCGCTTTATTTTCATTGGAAACATGCCACCCCTTCTTGTCCATAACTTTTCAACACACCTCTCCTCATCTTTATTATCTGAATACATTCTATATACCAGTCAAGGTTCAGAAGGTCACAAAGCGTTTGACTTTAAAGCTTCGTAATTTAAACAGATAGTGAAGTTATAAATATGTATCACTTACTAGCACCTTAAGAAAAATTTTGAAAAAGCTGTACCTAACATCGCACGCAGCTTTCTTTCAGCAAACGCTTCACCAATAGAACCTATCCACAAACTAAGATCAGACAGTTGAATATTCTCGACAGCCCACATCTGAGAGGATGACACGTTGCCCCAAGAAGACATACTGGCTAAATTTATAACTTTGGCAGAATTCGACTTATAAGCAGCAGAGCGGCCACGTTTGTATCTATCTTGATCGACCTCCACGTTGTTTAAGTATATTAACGCTTCGTCGTTTTTCTTCAGCCGAAACGTAACCCGAGTCCAATCGATCGAGGTAAACGGCTCTTTTGTCTCCACATAACTATCCTTGGTGGAGTGATATTGTGCCTTCAGTGCCGTTGAAGATTTATTAATTAGCATTCCAGTTTCATTAAATGGATATCTTCCCGAGGACATAATGGCGGTGTCTAAAGATTGAATTAAACAATTCACAGTTTTAAAAGTGATCAGTTTATACAAATTTCGACGAGTGATTATGGTATCTCATCTAATGCACTGATAAATTCGAACCTTAACCATTCCCCCCCCCCCCAATCCGGGCAACCCATGCACATTCCGGGGGGGGGGGGAATTTTAACTTTGCCTGGGTGAGATGGGGATTCAAACCAAACCTGTTAATTATTTCCAGCGAAATTAATGTTCTATCTTTTAATATGGAGGTGTTTCAAGGCAAAAAGTTCTTTTTTGCGAGCAGATGGCTCAGGAAAAAGGTTTACAAGAAAGTCACGGTCGCTGATCTTGCTTTTTATAAAAAAACAAAACAAACAAAAAAAAAACAGACGACCAAATCCGGCACTTGGGTAAGGCATTTGAACAAAATTTTACAACTAACCAATCTTCCAAAGTTCAAATGCCGCAAGGGTTGCTGGAGGGAAAGTTGAAGCGTCGAATTGATTGACGCATAAGTGCAAGAGTTAAGAAACAGTTCAACGCAGCTATGCGTATTAACTTTTTTCATTTTCTTGAAAATTTAGGGCTACTATCTCTTCAAACAAGTTAAGAAAACAAAACTGTAACGACAGCTATAGCACAGTTTCTAAAACTACTTACCTGTTCCTTTGAAAGATCTACAGCCACTAAGTTTAATTTTTAAACAGGTGTCACTGCTGATTGGATAAACCCGAAGAATACGTGCTTGTACCATAGGTTTGATACTCACAGTGGTCACTCCCTCTACAGTAAACACCTTAAAGAGAAATCACGTCCACTTAAAGTTCAGTACGAAACCACCTGGTTTACCAATTTAACATTCTTGTGTAGGATGCAAATGCACTAATTTGACGATTTTTCATTTAGTTTATAGAGCCATTCAAACCTAAGTTATGACCCTTACGAGACGATACGCTCGTATCTCAATACGATACTATAATCTCGACAGGTGAGAACAACGTCTCAAGAAACAAAAATAATTTATAAGGTATCTTTTCTATGCTTTCCATCTCCGCCGGACAGTAAGGCGTATATGAATAAAGGGGGTAAGTTTCTAAAGAAACTGTGGTGCTGCGTTTATTGTTATTACCCTATTCGGTGGAACCTGTATGAACAGGTCAATCTGTATATACCTTTGTAGAACCGCTGAAGTTTGGATAATACTTCCAGCTTATTTCGTCCGTACTGTACTGGAGATTGTACTGACTGTTTCCTTCCGTTGTAATAGCGCTTAAGACCTTAATAATTCCTAAGTCAATCTCCAAGTAATCTTCACCACCACTAGCATCACTGGGTTTCCAACAGGTGGAAGAGTTGAAACGAGCTTCGCTTGGCTTGTTAGATTGCGCAAAGGAAGAAGCTGAGAATTTTTTAATAGGGAGCTCTTCTCCACAAGAACCTAATAAAATATTGCAGATAGAGTGTTTTATTTTAGAACAAGACAACATACTCATGATGTTAAGAGAATCGCAATTTTTTCATCAATAACTCGTGACAAAAAACCAATTAGTTAGCTGTTTAGTGTCAACATCAGCCTCTTCGTATGACTTTGGACTCTATCACAAGCACTTGGTATAAACGATTTACATGAATGAAAATGCCGCAAAAATATATACCAGGCGTTTTCTCCTAGTTTTAAGATCAAGGTGGGAGAACACTTGGCTGTTTTCAAAGAAAAGACTAACTTGCATTTTAATAACAGTTTCTCAGAAGTTAAGTTGACACACACTTTGGTCCTACACCTTAGAAATACGCTAGGTTATCTTTTCATTTTATTTCCTTATTGTTAAAATTGATAAAACACCTTATCTACATGAGAATACTCAGCTGCTTGGTACTAAGGGTGTCTCTGAAAATGAGGTCACTCTATAATTGGTTATAAAATCAACCCAGTAGTATATATTCCTAGCCTTGAAATGTTATTCGTTTTAACGCCGTGGAACGAGCAACAACCAGAAAAAAGAGAACGTAAATTATCTCTTGCAGAAAATACGTCGGCGTTTGCAGTCCAATACCTTCCTGACCCCATGGTCTCCTTCTCCACTTCTTCTCCCCAGAGATATTCGTATCCACAGAATCTCTAAACAAAGACTTATACTAACCTAGAACTCTAAACTGTTATTAACACTGATTTTAAACTTATGGGATGTTTATCTATTGAAAAGGGATTTCATTTGGCAACATCTTTCAGACTCACCCGCCGAACATCCATAAATTTCCATAGCAAACGCACATTCGACGTTGCAATTCACGGTTTCAACAAAAAGCTTTTGTGCAACGATCGATGGCGAAAAGATAAAACGCTTGATTGAAGATTCATCCTCTAAGGTGAGACCCTGCAAATGAGGAATGATGGAAGTATTTCAACACATCTGGCTAAGAGAAAACTGTTTTTTTTCTTGTCAAGAGCGTAGGACAAAGTAAGAAACTCTGATTTCCCCATCAGTGGTCGATTCTCAGATGGTCGTAACCCACGTGTAGCCGTACCCTCCCCCCTCCCCCCCCCCAAGGTGGAACGGAAGAGAGGAAACGTCTCCGCAAACCTGACACTAATCGTGTTCCGGGACGTCACTCTTATTTATGCAAAATAATATAACTTGATAATATTTTTTTGCGAATAATCGCTGCAAGAAATAACTAGCTTTAATTTAATAGCTTCGCAGCACCGTTTGCAAAGAGACGGACAATCCTCTTGGCCCACGTAAATTAAGATAGTACACCTGGCCCCGGTTGTTCGAAGGTTGGATAACGCTATCCACTGGATAAATGTCAATCCGTTGGATAACGCTATACGATTTGCTATCACTTATCCGTTGGATAGCGTTATCTGCCCCTTATAAAACTGGGCCCTGGTCTTGTCTGAGAGCTTTAACGGGCGGCACAATAAATATAATGACCGGTTTCTTTTGGAGGAGAGAGGCCATTGATAATATCTGCTTAATATATTAAAGATTTTCCGTTGCCAGTTGGTAACGAAACAGAGACATCGTTACCTTCTAAAAACATATCTATGGCTTTCTGTTGTTCTTCTTGAAATGTCTTTATCCCAGAAATCGCGCAAACTTGCCTTAAAAACCTGGTCGTAAATCAATGTTTTCTGAAAAGTTGACCATGAATGCACTTTGTTCACCATCATGTTTGTTAGTATGGAAATAAATTACAGTTTTATTACAGTTTTATAACTCTAACCGATCAGAATTGACGAAAAAAAACGGTGAAAGAGGTTAACAATAAAAATTCGTTATATTATTTCTTGCAAAAGAGTGACGTCACGGAACACGGTTAGTGTCAGGTTTGTGTAGAAGTTCCCTCGCCTCTGTTTCATCTGGGGGGGGGAAGGTACGGCAAAACGTAAGCTAGGACCGTCGGATTTTATGCTCTGATGCTCGGCCATTGAGTTACAGAAAAAGTTTTGGTTAGTAAGGCCAATATTAGGTTTCCTGTGACATGCATCTTGCATACTACAAGAAGAAACACCTTCGAAAGCTTCGTTTGACATCTGGGTAGCGATAGGAATTCATTTGTGCGGGTTTTACCACCGAAAATCAGCGTGACTCTCTCAATTAGAATGAACCGCCTTACGATGTATTATCACTATTCGCAAAGTCCAAAATTTCTCTTAACGTAAAGGAGACTGCATGCAAGATATCACACCCACGAAAAGGAGACTGAAATTAGTCATCAGGGCCTTAAGGAATCACAAAGATGGCCCAGGATGGAGATGTTAACCCTTAAACTGCCATGAGTGACCAAGACAGAATTTCTCCTCACAATATCAATACAGTAAATGGTTTGAACCCGAGGTAACATGTAATGGTGTAGTTTGATCGTCCGGGTGACCTATGCCACTTGAGTCTTACAGCCAATAACATCACGGCAAAACTGACCAATCAGTATGCACAAACCAGACTAAGTACATTCGACTGACAACAACCTTTCACTTGACTCTGATGATGACTTCCGCTCAGGTTGTCGAAACGTCAGTCACCACTACCGACAACAGTCCTTCTCAGGACTACACTCACCCGGACGATCAAACTACACCATTACATAAATATCAATACAATATCAACCTGTCAAGTGACGAGAATTAAAGAGGATTATCAATTAGGGAATTATTAGTTGATCCAACACCAAATTCTCAGGACTAGCATCATACGAATTGTATGAAAGACTGTAAGGAGAATTACCAATGAGATCCTGGGAGTGAAAGAGCTAAGAACGGATTTTAAATGACCAACTTACCTCCATCAAAAGTGTGCGGTCCTGACTTGACGGGCTATACCAAAATCCAAATTCTGTTGGATACATAGGATTGCTAGCATTTCTATTACCATGTGCATCTACAGCAAGGATTCGCCGAGGAGAACCCAAGTCTACCACCAACTTAGCCTGCTTTCCTATAGGAATCCAGGTCTTCCCCGGAGAAATGTTGAGTCTAGCTTGCCACGGTGCATGGTTTATTAAATAGTTACCTGTCGCCCCTGTGATCTGATCATTGGCAATCTCTCCATTGCTCATACCAAGGGGATGAAAGCATTCTTGATCACAAAAAAAAAAAAGATGCTGCAAATTTACTTCCAAAAATGAACGGATTCGGTTGAAGTGTGAATTTCCCCGTAGGCGTAATTTAAAACCTGCTTTCCGCCCTTGTTGGAGAAAAATAGTTCTTGCAGTGCATGTTAACGATTTGCTTATAGCAATATTCGTGAGACAGATTTAACGACATTGGTAAGTGTTTGTGTCTTGGATAAATACTTTTCTACCAGTTCTGTCGGTATTTGAATGGGACGTCATAAATTCCAGCTTTTTTTGCAATTGATTAGTTCTTACCTATATGAAACACTTCCACTTCTTCAGGCATAAAGTACCTACTACCAGCCAAATAATTGTGGGCGTCAACGCTACCGGACACAAGATCATCTGGTAAGTTATAGGATTCACCAAGACAACTGCTAGAGTTGATATTATACGCAGCCATATCACTGACTACCAAGTCGCTTTTACCAAACCACGGTCCATAAGAAGGATCATTGCGAATTGCATGTGAAGAGTCGTTTATATCAAGTTTCACTTTTAATCCCTTGTCTTTGTTGTTACTAAGTAGGAAGAGAAAAGAGTCTTGACTCTTTCTTGGTCCAGGAGAACCTTTGGGAAATAAGGTAAAATTAAATCGTCGGTAAACGGACTGGTAAGGTATAGACGGAAAGGAATAAGTTGACTTGAAATAAGGAGGTGATCAACTTAGTTGGCAATTGATTGGGTCTGGTTGATGAGTTTTTAAGTTGGTTTGTTGGACGATGGGTGGGTTGGTGAAAGGAGCGACGGTTTTAGATTTGGTTTTCTACAGGATGACTGTTTCATTGATTGATCGATTTATCGACCGCTAATTGATAGATTGGTCGATTAAATGATTAATTGATTGGCTGATTTGGTGCTTAGCCAATGCGTTGCATTGGTTGTTTGGCTATTTGTTAGTTGCTAGTCGGGTTGCACTGTTTACATTGATTTCATCGGTAGCTTGGATGCTGGTTGATGTCAGGCTTGTTAACTTGCTGAATACCTGGCTGGTTATTTTATTGACTTATTCTCTGGTTGATTGGATCGGTAAGTGACTGAGGTAGTTAGCTAATCATTTCAAGGCTGAGTAGCTGTTTGGTACGTAACAACGGTACTTTTGTTAATGAATTAGTTGGTCAGTTTACCAGCTGGCTAATAGGTCAGCTCAAGTTGGAAGATAGAAGGTTATTGGCCGATGAGTAACCTCTTATAAAATGATAAATATTCGAATTAATAAGCATATCGATAACCTAAAACTCTCACCTCCCCAGTCCTGGTCTGTGAATCCTCCGAATACAAAATCCTTTACTCTGACAAGAGTCACCGAAGGACCTTTGAAATCGCATCGAGCGTGGAATATGGACGCATTCCAGCCATGTTCTGAAGCTCGGTAACAGTTTATCCACCGCAAATCAGGGTCGACCACTTTATCCAACCAGCCCTTCAACACAGTTTGATGGTGGTTATTGTCACCAATGACCTCTGATAGAAACCCTGTTGGAAAAAAAAAGGTTCATGTTTTGAGATATTTAGATGGTTGCTGGCAGGTACCCTCTTGAAAGAAGTAGGAGATGCTTACGATGACTCGGTTGAAATGACGTGAGACTTTATAGCGGAAGACTCAGAAGCGAATTCAAAGGAATAGAACAATGGCTTAATTAAGCTGTCTTGGGCCGCGAAGGTTTAAACGTATCCTTTTGTTCTAAATGTGTCGATGAAACTGCAGAGAATTATAGCACATATTGTGATGGAAGTTTATGGATTTACGTCTTTCGCGAAACTTCGTCGACTTGGATATGTATTTTTTAAAACCGAGAGTTTTGAGAGCTTCAAAAAGAGATCTTGAACGAGAAATTTCGACCACTGTAGACCGAGACAGGATTTTTTTTCTTGCGAAGTTTACGAAGTACAGAGCAAGCCGCTGTTGAGTAGCCATCTTTCTATTGTCACGCGAGGTTTCGTTTAACGTCTTTAACAAAAAAATAAAACTGAAAGTCAAGCGAAAACGTAAAAAGAAAGTGAAATTACACTCTCATAAATCTGTGTCATTCACCGCTTGCGTTGTTTACATTTTGAAGCGTCGTTCACTCTTGATTGCAGAGCGCCGTTCTTGATAATACCGAATGAATTAATTGAGTTCTTAAAAAATACCTTTGGCAGAAATGCGCTAAACGCGAAATTATTTTCAAGGCAAGGTAGTATTGAATAAGTAAATAAATATCACTGGAGATCAGGTATTTATAACCTTTAATCAACTTCAAATTTATCCACCTTGTTTACTTTGTAATAGGGACCGAAAATATATTACCGCAACCAGACTTGCCGCCTCGCTTTCTAAGACCTGTAAGCATTCTTGCAAATGCTGCAAATTTAAGAGGCAAGTCCGAGTATTTCATGGAGAAATTTTATACTCATCAAATAACAATGGGGATTAAAAAGTTAATCAAGCAAAAAAAACTTGAAACAATAGAAAGATATCGCACCTAACTCAAAGGAATTCCGCTCGTTGTTTCTTTGCGGAAGGTAAACGACAATGACAAGAAGAATAGCTCGAATATATGAATACTTGATAACCTCAAAATTTTGGGTACATTCTTAAATCGGCGTAAAGTTGTAATGGTAGCCATAAGAAATTATTCAAAATATAAATTAGTCTGGTTTTTTGGGTTTCAACATCAAATGAAAGAACTTTCAAGAGATTTCTTTAGGCGAATCAAGATTAAAATGGACCTATAAGGTTTGGATTAAGAGGATGGACAAAAGGAAAAAAATACCCTTGAAGCTATGCTGAAAAGTATCCAACTTAATTAACCCCCTTCACTATGTCCAAGAATCGGAATGAACCGAAGTTTTGGAAATCAGTCGATGAGACCCAATATAATGGCAATACGGAATACCAGACGATCATCTATCGAGGATAAGTTGTTTGTTTCTTTGAATTTTTTTAAGAAGGTCTTTCCCTAGAGTTACTGAAAGGACGAGAACTTCATTAAGCGGAAAGAAAGACTCGTGGATCATGCATCCATCAGAATGATGATAGGGATACGTTTGGGGAAAGTTCTGAAAAACGATTTCCTCTATCTCGTTCGTGGGTTAAAAGCAACATTAATGAGGAGACAAATTTCTACTAAGTACCAGAGTAGTAGTTATTTATCTCGTTTCATTGTTTTGCCTGAATTTCAAAGGTTTCTCAAATGTCTATATGGCTGTCATATGTTTAGATGAGATAAGAAAAAACAAGTTTCGTCTACAACCTTTAAGTTTCATCCAAAAAGAGACAACAAGGTTGCCACCACATGCCGTTTTATTCACGAGGCAATGACCATTTGGAACAGAAACACTCAGGTAGTTGACATCCCCTACCGTCAGTACCCCGGTGCGGGTATGCGTGGCACCATCGCGAGCGAGCAACAAAGTAGAAGATGCGTTCTGACTTTGGGATTCGACAAAATGGCCATTTTCCAACTCATCCAGGCTCCACCGTCCCAAAATCTTAGCTGCACAACATTACGCAAAAAAGAGCAAATCAGTAAAATGTTAATCTGGATCTCGGGGTTTAAAGAACAATAGGCCATTTCCGAATTACCTTTTATCTTTTGCCCCTTCTTTTAAAACGAGGCCTGATTCTCGACCATTCGTATGAAAATAAGTTTAGTGAATAAAAACTTTCAATCAGACTAAAGGTTGAACACCAGGACTCGCTTCGAAAATGAGGCTAACGGTAATTCTAGAATGTCCTGTTCCATATCAGGAAAAACTTTGCTAAATTGCAATTGCATTAAGGTGGTATTAATTTTGATTTGTTAGAACTGCATCCCCATACATAACGGCCTTATTTCAAAACAAGCCGTCTCAATGCAAAATATTAGAGAGAACTTAAACGTGGGGAGTTACTACAAGCGACAAACGACAAATTTTCAACTCATTGCATTCTACTTTCAAACGTTTGTTCTTTGAGGAGGAAATACTTGCCCAAGCTTTGAACACTAGACTTTTTGCTATTTTGTACAAGCTTGATGTGAGGATTACTGGAAAAGCACTCTCAGTGTAAAATTTTGATGTTTCCCTCTGGCATAAACGTCATGTTTTATCTTCTTTTGTTCAAAAGCAAGGCATCTGGTCCCTCGGCAGCATATATTCATGTAGCCCCCTCGCTGATGGGATGTTTTTGTGAAATATGAAGAGCCAACTCTTGGGCTTTCTAAGGACATTCTCTCTAGATTCACTCAAGGTTTTCGAAATAGAAGTGACCTAAAAGCATTTGCAGGTCTTATGCCCCAGACTTAAGACCCGCATTCTCAGTTTCCGGTATAATCATCCTTTGAAAATTAATTAAACGAATTCTACCTCCAAAAATTTACAAGGCACAACAATTCCCTCAAAGAGATGTGATTGAAATTGTGGACTTACCCGTTTCCACAGTGAAACATCTTATGGCAAAGACCACGATAAGAACCTGTTGATAAGAAAGGCAGAAACAATACAGCGAGATATAACCTCAAAGCTCTTACACAATAATCCATCAACGTACCTCGAGAGGTTTAGGACCCATTTGCCCTGCAATAAGTCTTGATTTTAACACCTGAAATACGAAGTGTCAGGAGTCTCGTAACAACAAATATGTTATAACTTCCTCAATTGTATAAGTATTCGACGAAGCGAATACTTAGTATTTCTTTTTTCTATCGCAGCGATCAGAAACAAAAACTTCTGAATGTCTGAAATGTTTCGTAATAAAGGATGTTTTTAGTTTAAGTTGGCTATTAGCATAATAAAACTTTACAAAAAAATTGCCGACAAAAGCGTCATTAAGGTCTACGAAAGTTTTCTTTCATTAATACTTGATACTATATCTTCGGGGGGTGAATTGGCCAATTCAAGCCTTTGATAAACAAAAATTTCGCAATTGAGATATTCTCTCGTCTCGAAGAGCCATGTTCAAGCTTTGGGAAACACAGTTTTCCAATTAAATTGGATGATTTCGAAATGATTTCTATAAACATACTTAAAAGCATAGAATTGAAAATTATGGAGTTTTTTTAGCCCGTTTGGTTTTGCTTTGTCATGTTTTGTTTTGTTTTTTAAATTTTTTTACTCTTCTACGATTCAATTTTAGAAATTATTTCCTCGACTAAGTTTAATTCTTTGCAGCTGTGATCTGATCTCCTTGGGCTGAATTCTGGCAATATCTAATGAATCAGGACTGTTACGCGTTATTGAAAAATTTACCCTCAGATTCATTTGGATCTTGTCGTAGTCTGTACGTGCATACCGAGAAATTTAATAGTTTCAAGAAAAGACATACCAGCAGGTGCTTCGACGTCTAAAAAACAGTCCTAATTTTGAGCAATTTTTTGATCAGTTTTGATACTATTCAGCGCGGCATGACTCTACACAGAGCGCTTAGTTGCTGCACGACTTGATCTTGCTGATTGACCATTGTTAAAGACGATGACTTCTATTGAAATCTTGTCGGCAGCACTTGTCGACCAGACAACGTTTACGTAAGAAACACGGTCGGAAAGTGTTGTTTTTCTCTATGAGGGATTAGGAGCCATCTCACTGCTAGAGCTAAGCCCACAGAGAGTAATTTATGCGGTTTTTTGTACGGAGAATAGGAAAAAAACAAGACTAACGCGTTTGCGTGTTTCGGTGGTCAATCAAAACATCGAGGGTGCTGAAGCTGTGGGGATAATTCACCAGGGAATAATTCTGGATTCATTTTAACTCCTTTGCTCCGTATAGACGCAAAAGCAAGTGCATCGTAGCCTTTTCTGTCTGTCCAAAGCGAATAAAAGGGTTTACGTTTCCAGAGTGATGGCACATCCATAAGATCATTATACTGACCAGGGAGTAATTAAAGAGGAGCAATTTAACGAGCCAGCTGGAATATCCATTGATCAAAACAAAAATGTTTTCGTTGGAGATTATGGAAACCACAGGATCTAGATCCTTATGATCAGTGGCAAAGGTGTTATATGGATTACTTTGGAGATGAAGAAAGCCTGTGTATCGTTATGGGTTGTCTATAGACAGCGAAGGATGAAAAGAAAAAAAAACTGTAAACTGCTCAATATGAGGATAAAGTGCTAGAAAATTCAGGCGATCGCTGTCTGTAAAACAAGTTCCTCACGAACACCAAGATCTTTGTTCAGTAACACGGAACTAATCGTGCATTGCATAATGACGGAAAGAATCACTCATTATAATTCCCTCTTTCAAGGCAACGACGAAGACACGTTCATTGGTTAATACGGGGATAGAGGCCAATAAAGTCTTTTCTCTTTAAAGTGAAACGCTAAAGACAATACGTGGAAATGATCCTTGTATTAATCCAACCCACTGCGTTCCGTATGAAGGTAGCCCTAAGACGTTTGATACTCATGAACATTACAATACAGTTTCTGACAGCGACAGAAACCTCCGCTCAGCTTCGGAAAGCAAGGAGGACAACGAGGCGAGGTGAACGGCCCGCGATATTTTTAGTCTAGTGAACAAAGCAAGATAGGTCATGGCAAAACCACAGAGTGCAAGTGTTTGAACGGCACGAAAGGCCGATTTAGAAAAAAAGGCGAGGATGTGGGCAACTTCAGTCCTTCTTCGTCTTTGGCCATCCTAAGAAATAGTCAAATTGTTGTGTGCAGAAGATATAACGATCATTTCAGATATTTGATCGATTGCTAAAAATATTGCCCTTCTATCGTCCAGTGTGATCGATTGGGTATGAGCTGTCCTAAGAAGGACTGTTATGGTTGACAATGAGTGAAGTTTCGATGACCTAAACACATGAAATCCTCAGAGTCAAGAGAAGAGTTGTGTGACATTCAGATCATTACAGGCCCGTTTAAAACCTTAAGCTAGTCTCTGAGATGTTTTTTATATCTGTGTTGTACGACACCTACCACTGTGAAAAATATGTGCAGCAACTAGAAATTAGCCACTGTCTAAGTCACGCCCATTTAATCGAGTGTTTTAATTTCATCTTAGCCTTGTTACAACAAGAACGAGTGATGCTGAAGCAGGAATAACTTTTTATTTTTTTCCTTTCCCATAACGGTTCATCATCGCCTCTTCCGCAGAGTTTACATGGCGACTACTTAAAGCATCCTTATAGCCGTTCGCTTGTCACTGCGTGGTCCAAAGTCGTTTCATGCTCTGTGCAGTCATAAATCAGTTTGAAAACCCATAAAATTAGGAAAATTCCAGATAAAAGTGAAAAAGTCAAACGACGGGCTTCTGCTATCCGCGTTCATAAATCAAATTTCTTTATTTCACAATTCGTGGGAACAAATGCGATTCTCGTCGTTAGAAAAGCCATCAAAAGAAGATCTAGAATGATCGGGAGAAATTTGACTACGAAAGGCTCTTGTGATAAATATTAATTCAGTTCGCCCGATTAAAAAGGGTCTATGTTTTGTCACTATGTTTTGGTTTCTGACAATAAGCTGCAAAGCAGCACAAAGTTCGAATATGTCTTTTGTCTTAACCCGTAAACTGTTGGCTTATACCGATTCTTCTCTTCTCTGTGATATTTAAATATAGAAATATATAATTAAAAAAAAAAGGACTGAAAGAGAGCTTCCTTTCTCCTTACTTGATGTTTTAAATTGCTAGTGCAGCCGTTTAAGTCCAAAAAAATATCCAATAGAAAATAACCTTTCGGCGGTTTTCTTTTAGAGCTTAATGCTTCCGCGGTGTGGTGCTGTAAAGGTTGTTAAATTATTTAATTACATCCTGAATTAGTTACCACGTAGACCTATAAATTAAACTAATTAATCTAATTGTCTGTGGTGATCCATTCGTACTGTTTAATTCAAAGAAATAAGCTTAAGTTAAATTTATCTTTCTATCAATTATAAGTAATTCCAAGTAAATAAATGGAAAATGTGTTAAAAGACGGACGGTAGTCAAATTTGGAAAAGGCTTTTAGGGATTCTTCCCCAATGGTCATTTATTACACAAACTTACATTTAGATGCACTAGACAAAAACTTGAGGGTATATTTATCAGGCTAAAAAGCCTAGAAAAATTAAAAAGAAAAAACCGCATCAAAAGTTGAATTATTTTTTCAGTGCAGTGATATCAAAGCTCTAGATCACAGAGACTTGATAGGTATGCAAGTTCTTTATTCGGTTGGAAAGTGCAAACGAGAACTAAGCAAGCAAGATCTAGTAGGCTTTTCAACTCAGTCTACATCTAGCTCTTCTTGAGGTGTTCTTTGGGGCGTCGACCCTTTTATTTTGAAAGAAGACCCAACTGGGTGTCCTGCAACTCTTTCATAGTTTATTGATGTTGTGAGAACAGGTAGATGTGTAATACGTTTATTGATCTCATGGTGAAGCACCACAGTTTTTGCCCCCAAAAAATGCATCAGATTTACGAAAGTATCATCTGTCATGGTTGTCAGCAAATACGATGAATAATATCAGATGCAAGACTTATTTAAACGTTTTTTTAAAGGTTGGGATGTGTTGATTGCTCAGTCTGTATGCAAAAAGAGGAGCTTTTGTGTTCAAATGATGAAAGTTCTGGAATTAATCCTTTCTTTATAATAAATTAGTGGTATGACGCTCGTTAAACTTTCATCATTAATTGAAACGCAGCATATTCTCATAGATGTGACGCCAAACAAACGAAAAACGACAAGCTATAACGTTAATGACCTAACTTTTTCTTCTCGTTACACTTAGCTAATAAAGTGGTGAAGCAAGGATTTTGACCATAAAAGTTAAAATTTATTATGAATTCACTTACGAATAAGTTGGTGAATCAAAGAGGGAAACGTCTCAAATATCAGAGAGGTTTCATCGATGCAATCTGAGGCCAATATCTTTCTGATCATTAGGAAATATGAACCGAAAGGTTGACGAATACGACAGCTAACCGAATGGCATAATAACTTTGCGCGTCCAATTCATTTAACTCGAAACCTTTAAGTGAAGGTGCTTACAAAATTGTTTATCATTTGCATACGACTTCATTTACCTTCTAGAATTTAATCGTCGCTATATTATTTCAAAAGGTCTTACCATGAAATAATTATAAAATAATACGCAGTAAGTATAAAGCTGATAAATTAACTGTCTTTTAATTTGTCAGATTTTATCATGTGACTAGCTCCATGAAATAATTTTGTGAGTTAACTTGTCAAATTTCCTCCCAATAAATATAATTCGAAATTAGATATCCTTTACATTGGGCAAAGCGTATAATTGCTATACTTAACTCAATGTGGCTTGTGTGAAAATTAACGCCTATTTTTTCTTTACCTCCTCGACGCCATAAATTTAACGAAATTAACATAACAAAAAGTTGATTTTCTCTTAAGAGGTAAGTGAACCCATATTCTAGATAAAACTAGATAAAACCTGAATAAGAAAAAAACTTGATTTCGTTTCGCTCATAGACTTTAAATAACATCAACCTTCGTATTGCTATACGTTTTGAAAACGTACGAAAAATCGCTACATGGAAGAGGAGGACAAACTGATATTAATTTCGGCGGAAAAAAGCATTAATATGATATCACCACCTGAGGCCACCTTTTGTTTT